CTGAATCACTGGTGGGCAGTAACTGAGGATTAAAGGGAATATTCTCTGATTCAAGTATCTGTCAGACAAAATACACTGGCTATGGCTGTATAAACCGGCACACATGGCCCGCATGCATGTCCTCTGTCCACTCTATTGAGTCTGTCACAGAACCCACGGGCCTCACATGAGGTACTCGGGGGACGACGGGCTGTCACTTGTAGAGCCCGTCTCATGGAAGCAGTTGGCCCCGGACAGTTTCTCACACTTGAGTTTGTATGCGTCCCGCTCACGGACTAGTCTGTTGAGCTCGTGCTTGAGGTGCTCCACTTGTGACACGAGACTACTCTTCTCATGCTCCAGAATATGCTTCTGCTGTACACGTTTATAGCGGCAGGACTGCGCGTAGCCGCGGTTCTTCAGGGTTCTGCGCTTCTGTTTGAGCCGCATCACCTCGTCTTTACTCAGGCCCCGGAGCAAACGGTTGAGTTCGCGCACGGACATGGACACGAGCTGCTCATCGGAGAAGTGCATGTCTGCGTTGGAGCGCCGGTCGTGTCGACTGTGTGGCTGCTGCGGGACGTGATGCGCTCCCAGGACTTGCTCCGGAGACTGGGGGGACGCGCTGCGGAGATCGTCCTTCAGATAGGGCTCGTGGCAGTGGCTCTGCAGGTCCGGGTAGTGCACTGGCTCGCCCATGTGACCGTAGCTCTCGTACTCTGGCTGGAATGGTGGCTGCTGTGGATGTGCATGAGGGCCCTGCTGTGCCGTGGCTCCAATCAGTGCCTCCACAGCGTCCTCGGGCGTCAAGCCAAATGCCTGCGGGTACATCTGCTGTGGGTATGCGCTGCCATGCATCCAGAACTGTTCACCAGTCGCGTGTCCTCGTGGCTCGTTCAGCTGAAGATTCGGAGATGAAGGAACAGAGTTGCAAGGTGATGTACCGGGTGTCGAGGACACAGAGTCTGGTCTTTGGAGCTGGTTGCACGGCCCCACGAAGGTTCGGTCCATTCCCTGCATAGTCTCCTTCTTAACGCCAAACTTCACCAAGTCAAAGTCGTTGACAAAATCCATGGAGTTCTTGTGCAGTCCTGGCTGAGCCTCAGTGCTCAAGAACTGGTATTTAACAGTTCATGCACAAAAAGCTTTCTTTAATAAGTCCAAAGTAAGTCTTGCGCGAGGAGAGAGTGCGTGCGTAATTCTGTGCACAGCGTAATCGCTACAGTTGTGCCACGCTCATCACAGAGAAAAGCGCACTGTGCCTAATCTTGAGGAGCGCACTTTCCTCATAAAGGAGCGCGGGAGAAGTCACGCCTCCTGGACTACACCTCCGCGATCTTTACCAATAAGAACGCACACGAGCTGCATTTGCATAGAGTCTGTGAGGAGTGTGTCTATACGGGCTCTTCGTGACCATCATTTGACCAAAGCCTATAAAAGCCCATAATATCTTCAACACCAAGCTTTTACTGTTGACCTTATCTGCCACCAGATCTGTTTTATATTCTTCCACCTCAAGAGCCACCTCTCACACACGAAGCTAAACGTTCATTTAACTCAATTAGGCTATAGCCTACATTTTTGTTCCTTTCAAATGTTCTTCTCTCTTAATTAGTCCAATAATAAGAATTTCAAGGAGACTATAATAAGAGATAAAATAATAGTGTGTATTTAGTGTAGGCTAGTAGAAATTAGTTTTAAGTTAAAGCAGAACTGTGTAAGATTTATGGTGGTGGGGGCACACCACCTGCATGACTGAAAGAGGAAAGTTGGAAAGTTAAAACCAAACTTTATTTTTATGGCATAGAAAGATAAAGCAATCCCATTTCCATGAATAAGAAGCAACCTGTGGAGAGACAAGCCTGCTTACAGTGTGCATGTTTTTTAGTAAATGCTTTCAATAATGATTTCAATAATTACTGCTTTGCTTTAACTAAAAAGCAGATCAAGTTAATAAACGCTCTCCAGTTTAGCAAGTTTTCACCTAATGCACAGCGAAGTCTACATGGGTGTCTATTACAACTTCAACAGTTGAGCTTTTCTAGAAAGACGCCAATACAATCCAGAATTTACTTACTATATCCACAAAGTTCTCACCAAACCTCATCTTATCTACAGCACAAGTTCTCCACAATCACACACCAACTTCCCATGCTCTTCTGACTCTCTTCAGTTACATCGCTCACAGTTGCTCAGAATGACACCCTCACACTCAATATCAGAGGTTAAAGGGAAGCGCCTACCCTGATGTGACCCTTCTTGGTCATTGCAAACACCACACACGGGAAGCTTCATTGACAAGATAGAGAGCCTGAAAACCACTGTCAGCCAAATGTTAGCACGGAAAGCCATTGTTTGAAGCTGGGAAACAAAGAGAAGAACAGTAAGGACAGGCAATGAAATGTATGTCATAAAGGAAGAGTCCAATCAGTGGTAGTACCCAGAGGTTTGGTATACCCTGAAGACATAAAAAATAGTCAAATTATTTGGTATCCTGTGAAGACAGATAAGAATAACAAATCATCACTTTTGTGGCATTTTTCATATAAGATGAGTATGATCTCAGATTTAAATTATTAGGAGTTAGCAGATCATATTGTCTTGGTTTGATGGATAATGAAACTTTAAATTATGTCTGATGTCACAAAATAGCAGAGGATAGTGGATCAACCAATTAAAGTTATAATTGTAAATGCACTAATGACACTGTAATGGAAATACTATATGTAACAATCTAACAAATTATATCCAAATGGGATCTGGTACTGTTCACACAAAAGACAATGTCAAGAGAGAGCTTTAGCGTTAGGGTGAAGACAATGGGCCTGGTGCAATGCTGCCATCTGCTGCACATTCACAGACAAAACAAAATGTTTCAGCAGGGTGAGGAAATGAATAAAACTAATAATTGATAACAAAATAATTACAGTTTTTATTCCCCAGCGATGCAGCAAATCTCTCATAAATCAGAAACAATCAAACAAATTAAATGGTTATTTAGCATAGGAAAGAGCACTTTTCATTAAACACGCTTTCTGTCTTGTCCCTTTTTGTATATACAACATTCTTCCCACATGGTACTTGAGCTGTTGGGTTGTTATGTATACACAATGGTTTAAAATTCGGTGTTAGAACCACTTACTATTTAGTCTAGAAAACAAACATGGAGAGAACAAGTAGTGTTAGAAAAAAAACCTTGGCAAGACAGCATAAGGCAGAAGTTATGATAGCTGGAGAACAACTGAGGTAAGACAAAATCATATTTTTTGAAAGCATATTAATTAATGCAATTTTTTTGCCCAGACTTAAACTTCATGATGAGAAGCTGATCAAGGAGCGACGCTACCACCTGAGAACATACCCAAACTGTTTCGTGGGACAGGAGCTAATAGATTGGTTGTTAAGCCATAAAGAGGCTCCAGACCGGACAACAGCAGTGTGCCTTATGCAACACCTCATGGATCATGACATTGTGCACCACGGTAGGACAAAAACACAAGTGGATGATTATCTGGCTGAAATATCAATCACACAGACAATATAGTTAAATAGTTTTAGTGTTCTCGTAAGCCTTGCACTCAGTTGTTTTAAACATGTGCACTGTGAACTTCCAGTGTTATTGCAATAAGAGCACAGACTGGGGTAAGTGTAGAATCTAGGAATTGATGTAGTGTTTTTGTGCTCCACAATCATAACCATTTGGAATCAGAGCTCACCTATTTTTCCCTCATGTTTTCTTATAGTGTGTGATAAGTATTCAATATTTAAAGATGCAAAACGACTCTATCGATTTCGCAAAGATGATGGTACTTTTCCCTTCAACACTGAAGTGAAAATCTTTATGAGAGGACAGCAACTGTATGAACAGTAAGACTGAAAGTTTCTGAAACTATGAGCATGTGAGCAGAAAGTTGTTTGATGCAGACTAGTCTAATTAATAACTAGAAAAGCACTCAGAGAGCGCAGACCTCCGCCAAGGACTACCCCCATTTTTTATATAAATTGTGATAAAATCAGTCTTCTGGATCAGATCCGGATCAGCCTTTGGAATATGAAAGAGGATCCCATTGTCCATCCCTGAGTCAAATTTCATGGGGTTTGGTCAATAATTAACCGAGATATTGAGAAACAAAATTTTTGGCCCCATTTACCACAATGTTAACTAAAATTTCAAAGTGATCCAGAATCCAGGATTTCTTCCGGATCACCCCAAAATGAAATCAGTTCTTCCTTTTCACATTTCCAACAAATCCTGAAAATTTCATCAAAATTGGTCCATAACTTTTTGAGTTATGTTGCTAACAGACAAACAAACAAACAAACAAACAAACAAACGCTGGCAAAAACATAACCTCCTTGGCGGAGGTAATAAATACAACTTATTCCATAAAGCAGGAATGCATCTAAATCAATGTTTTGGTGTCCATCTCGTCAGGTTGATAGGGGACAAAAACTCAGTCCTTCAGCTAAGAGAGGAGCATGGTGTAGCTTATCAGCGAGCATTTCCTGGATGTCAGCTCATAGACTGGATCATACAGAATGGGGAGGCAGAGAGCCGGCGTCATGGGTTGGAACTCTGCCGGGCATTGCAGGAACATGGCATCATTCAGCATGGTGAGAGCACTGCTTATGCTTATTTCCTCTTTCAGCGTATGCTATCATTGGTAACTAGTTGTGGTTGGTCATTTAAAAGCATTAAGCAATGAAAAAAATATCTGCTCTAAACTGCTCTTTCTTTTATGCATTACCCATCTAGTGTCAAAAAAACATGATTTTTTTGACAGTGGACTTTTTTATCAGTTCTGCATAAATTTTCGTCGGCGTCGCAGACTATCTGAACTATTAAATGACACTGAGCAAAACAATGAAGAAGGAGGAGTGCTGTCTAAAGAAGAAAACCATCAAGACAGCCCATTTCTTGTCTGTAAAAACTCACTTCATGATGAACACAGTGGCTTTCAGTCTGGTACATTACCCTAGTATTGTCTGTATTGAACTGATAAAGCTGTTAAATAACTAACCTGTATTGCAATTACAGTGGGACTTCGTAAGGAAATGAAGTCAGTCAACAGTGGTCGCAGAGGCAGCTTGAACTCTCTTAAGATCCGATCAGATTTTCCTTCTTTCACCCCACTGTCTTCAATCTCTACAGTCCAGTGTAACCCTAAATCAGGCAAGATCTAAGTTTAAGACAAATGTTTAAATATTGACAATTTACATTGTATACTTCCAAGGCATCTAAAACAATACAACTTGCATTACTTTAGTGCTTTCTCGAAATTTCACATGTGAGGAGTTACTGGCACCCGGTGCACCATTCATCAAGAAAGTGTTGACGGTTGGTAGAATGATGAAAGTTTGGAAAAGTGGGACAGTGAAAAATATGTAAATTTGAAGAAAAAATAAATCATACTCAAATCATTATGAATAAAGAATATGTCTGTGAGATAAATTCATTTAAAAAACATATCAATCAAAAATATTGCAAGGCTATATAATATTAAAATTGATAGCTGGACAATAACATCTTCAAATGCTTAGATAACTTTTGTTCCACTTTACGTGAAGTCCCACTTTGGCCAACATTCTATGATGTTAACCACTGCGGAGATCATATGTGATTAATATGAAGACTTTCTCACCATCATTGCAGGTGATTGGAGATGCTCTGGGCTGGGGCTTTGTTGTCAGAGGCACTGCTCCTTGCTATATACAAGCTGTGGACCCAGGAAGTCCAGCTGCAGCTGCAGGGATCAAGGTAAAATACAATTAGTACTGGCCTAACTCATTCTGCCTGTAGAATCTGCTAGTAGGCTATGTAGACCTAACTCTTTTTACTTTTGTTTAGGTTCGCCAGTTTGTGTGCCAGGTTAATGGACAGTTTGTGCTGTACATGGACTACAGAACAGTGACTAAGCTCGTAATGACAGGAACTCGCACGGTTGTAGTAGAAGTTATGGAGCCTCTGGAAGAATAGAAAATAACTTGTCCAGTCTGAGAGGAAAATAATAAAAGATAAAATGTGCTTGTTGTTCCTTTTCAAGAACACACACTTAATTATGAACAAATAAAGTTATCATGGAACCACGAACCATTCATGCATAGGCCTACATCACACTCAGGCTTTTCCATACCAGTCCAGTCCTCAACATCTGCAACTTCCGTTTTTTTAAGCGACGCCATTTTGAAGTAAAATTGGCTCCAGCTTCAGCACATAAAGCGGGAGCTCGTGGGCCCGGGGCCCAAGAGAATATTCAGAAACCTCGCGGACCACAGATGGTTTGCATTGCGCAAACACGGATATATGGACATTACTGCACTACGCATTTTATATAGATTGTGAGATAACGGGTACATTCGCTGATGTGACAGCTAACTAGCTTGTTTGCTAATGCTAGCTGAGCATCAGAACCGGCTTGAGATCATCGCCGCACCTCCCAGCACGAATACCTCCTTTGTTAGTAGGTCGTTCGAAGGGGATCTAGTGTGAAGATTAGCTGCACAGCCAGGTAAAAATGCCTTATTGATCATATCTGCGTTTTAATAATTGCTATCAGTCTGCTACAAACACTGCTTTTCTGACACATACTGGTTTAGCATGGGTGATGTGAGAACGGTCTGGAATGTTAGCTCATTGCTAATCTGGAAAGCTAACCAAGCACACCCTGTCCATCGAATGAAAATAACATTACATTTAAACATTTTATACTAGGGATTTGAAGATGTACTACTCTGCTGATGACACACACAGCCACGACCTTACTTCACTTCCAATACCAAAGAGACGTGGTATTATTAAGATGTAATTTCTGAAGCGTTTTCTGTCCTTTAGGAAAGATGTATCAACTACCAGTAAATAACCTCGCCAGGATCCGGAGGGCAAGAAAACAGGTGAAAAAATCCCTTGGGGACATCGGTCTTGAGCTTTGTAAAGAGGCCGTAGAGGTGAGTGTAATATGATTATATGAAATGATATCTGGGAGTTTTGGAGAAAAAACTTAAACCAGGTGTATATGCTTTCAACAGGATTTCAAGGATTTTTGTCCAGATGAGCAGTTTGTACAGGGCACCCTTTGTTTGGATCTGTGTGCGTGGGATCCATCATACTCTAAAACACAGGTTGTGTTTTTTTTCTGTGTAATTTTTCATTATGTGGTGGTTCTTAATAATAACATTGAAATTATCTATGTTACAGGTATACAGGTCAAAACCATTTTGCTGCACTGAGTGTTCATTTTCCTCCAAGTACTACTCAGGCTACAAAAATCATTTTCGCAATGTACACAGAAAAATATTTGATAGAATACTCCTTAACTGTCCTTACTGCACCTTCACTGCAAGCAGGAAGACTATGGAGATCCATATAAGAATATTTCACCAATCCAGGCTACCACAACCTAGCACTGCAAATGCTCTTGGAACCCACCAGTATGCCACCTCACAACAAACTGGAATAAGACAAAAAGATTCTTTTCTTGGTAGAGGCAGGCAGACAGATGGTGTGGAGAAACCTGTGTACTATTGTAAAAAGTGCACATTCCGTGATTCATTATATAATGTTGTTCGGCGGCACATCTATAGGGAGCATTTTCAGCATGTTGTCTCACCATATCTTGCTATGGCCCCAAACCAGTCTGTTAAAAATGGTGTTAGCAACACCATTCTTTGTAAACGTTGCCAGTTCACCACTCGCAGTTACGAAGCGCTAGTACAGCATGTTGTGGAGTACCATGAACGGATCGGAGCTCAAGTAACTGCCATGGTTGGACATGCTAATATGATGGTCAGCAAGCCTCAAGCATCTCCCTTAACTTCACAGAGGGTCCCTGTAATCACAAATAGAGCTTCGTCTATCTCAGGTGATCCTGGAGTGCAGCCGGTGATTGGCTATTTAAAACCAAATGTTTCTAAAACCTACTCCTCCGGTGCACCAATTAAAGCACGTACCCTACAAAGCAAAGGCAGTTTGGCTGAAAATAATGTCCCGTTAGTTAACACAGCACAAACTCAAAAGTGGAAGATATGCACGGTTTGCAATGAGCTCTTTCCTGAAAATCTCTACAGCGCTCACTTTGAGAGTGCCCATAAGGCAAAGAAAGTGTGGGCCCTTGCCAAGTATATAATGAAAATCCACAACTTCACCAGCAAATGTTTGCTTTGCAACCGCTATTTACCTAGTGATACACTGTTAAACCATGTGTTAATCCATGGATTGACGTGCCCACAGTGTCACTCAGCTTTCCACAGTGTTGAGAAGCTTATAGAGCATGGGACTGTGGCTCATTCAACTCCTTTTGATGGCCCTCCTGGGGCTTCACCTTTGACTTTTGATCTCGCCCTCAAACAAGATAAGTCTAGTAATGTACAGCTGCTAGTTCTTACCTTCAATACAAATGAATCTGTCAATGGCCAAGATGACACCTTGCTAAATAGTCTAGGCTTGGCAAAAACACCTACATCAAACATGTTTGAGAATAAAGGACAGCAACTTACCAAAAATGCGCTCCCATCTATGTCCAAGAAACTTGAAATGGGAAAGACCCTGTGTCCGCTGTGTTTCACTATTCTGAAAGGTCCGATATCTGATGCTTTGTCTCTTCATTTGAGGCAGCGCCACCAAGTGCTCCAAACAATGCATCCAGTTGAAAAAAAGTTGACATACAAGTGTATTCATTGCTTGGGAGTATACACAAGTAACATGGTGGCCTCTACTATTACACTTCATCTTGTGCAGTGCCGGGCTGTGGGGAGAAGCCAGGCTGCCCTTGCCCTAAAAGCTCCTTTGAATCTGGGTACGTCTGGGTCAGGATCACTTAAACGTCAGCTTCCAATGCAAGGCTCATCTAACCCCAAGAGGATGAATCTAGGCAAGGAGTTGGCCACAAGTGGAAGTCAAGAAGAAGGCGTTGACCTGGTTCTGGATCCTTCCAGTTTTGAGCACAAGACTTATGAAGCCAGAAAAGAGTTCCTGACTGCCTATTTTAACCGCCGTCCCTATGTCTCTGCTCAGGAAAAAGAGAAACTTTCAGCTAAGTTGTGGCTGTGGAAAGCTGACATAGCCAGCCACTTTGCAGTGAAACAAAAGACATGTGAAAAACATTGCAAAACTTCAAGGTTATCGGTGTTGTTGGGCTTTGATATGAATGCTCTAAATAAAGTAAAACATGACCTGATTTTTGAAAACCGTACCCCTGAGACAACAACTACAGTGCAGAAAGGATTCAAGTCTCGTCCTCCCAACCCAGGTCAAAGTAGCTGTACCTTAAAACCTGGTGCGTGCATGGAGACCATATCGATTGACTCTGACAGTGAGCCAGAGATGGACAATAAACCAACTGAACAAGGAAGTTTTGAACCTGATGATACATTAGTCGAAATGTCCCAAATGGAATACAATCAACCGGATTCTGCTGACTCAATGGAAACTGAACATGAGACTCAAAATGAGACAAACCTGTATGGACAAGAAATCACAGATGGAGTGGAAAAACTCCCAGATGAGAAATCTCTGTCCTCAACAGGGACCCAAAGTGAGACTGTATTGTTTAAGCAAGAGAACACAGCTGAATATGCATGTGTGACTGCAACAACAGTTGGGCAAGAGAGTACTAATACAGTGGCGCAAAATGAGGCACAGAATACTGACACATGTTAAGGGTGAAGACAATCCTATCACTAAAGATGGGAAGCAAGCAGTCAGTGACACACAATAGTCAAGAGTGTAGAGGAGTCTCTTCCTGGAAGGATAGCACTGTAAATCAACATTCTTACTTAGAAGAATGCAGCAAATGGACAGATTTAAATTAAATTTACAGAAGCAAATTGGTTGTTCCTGACATTTTGTGGACTACACATTTTGACAGTTTATGCTGTTCATTTTAACTTTAAATGCTTTCATCGCTGTACATATAATTTTGTTACATGTCAGAGCGTTAGTCTTTTTTTTTCCACAATGAGTTGTTATTGTGCTTTTTACATTTATGGATAAAGAATATGTACACATTTAATAAAGCTTGTTTAACAATAAGTGGTTCATTATGTTAATTCCTTGCATCTTGAAATTATTTTTTACATCTATTGTTTCTCCCTAAAAGAAAGCACAATGCTTTATGCAAAATGCAAAATGTATGTACAACACCTAAACACCACACTGGAAAAGCGGGTGTAGCTTCTGAAATGTGTTTTCCAAAAGTAGATATCTCCAAGTTAGAAATACGTAAAAAAGCCAAAGCTACGGAGATGTATGTGTCCAAGCTAAAGCTGCTTGACACTCACATCGTTCAGGCCACCTAGCGCCCTATTTCTGAAGTCGGGGTACCAGTATATATAATTGATAAAAATGTTACATTACCAGGTGGAAATTATATCGATGAAATACAGTAACCAATAATACCAATAATACAATAATACAACCAATAATACAGTGATGCAACTTCAATATATCTTTTTATTTGAATATACGCTGTTTAAACTGACCATACGAAATAACAAATTGGGGGGTATTTAGAAGAAATAAAAAGTGTTAATATCACTGGCTAAAAAGTAAAATAAATTGTTTTATTTCCGGCGTTAATTTGGAACGCTTTGAAAAGGGTGGGACTTCCGGTTTATACAGTAGCGGAATTGGCCAATCGCCAGCGTGCATCACTGCCCAGGCCACGGAGTCTGCAGCTGCAAAAATGTCCGTATTGTGTCTACACTGCCAAATACAGAGGGTTAACAAGGATGTAGCTGCACGTCTAACATAAAGGAATAACAGGTAGAAGGACCATTCGTACGGATAGTCTTGCTTCATGATCCTCTTCAGAAAGACATTAGTTTTGAGCCGTGTTTCCGTTAAATTAGACCTCCGCTAGTTAGCATATGTAGCTAAGTCGACGACTGTATGGCTGATTTTAGCTATCAATCAGTTTTGTTGGAAGGTACTTTAACAAATCGTGTTTATGGAAATAGTTAAACATAACAGTAATCAATAGAATGTCGCGGAATCCCGAGGGTGGTCGATCCTTTGCTGTTAACACATTTAAAGCCATGTCCAACCAGATAAATAAACGCAATGTCATGTTGTACGACCCCCACCAAGGCTGGATTTTAGAACAGGTTGAGCCCTTAAACAGCTTTAACTACAGAAAAATAAAACAATAATAAAAATAATTTATATATATATATATATATATATATATATATATATATATATATATATATATATATATATATATATATATATATAATGTATATATATATATATGAATGTATATATATATGTATGAATGTGTATATACATATATGTATGTATGAATGTATGTATATATATGTATATATATACATATATATATGTGTGTGTGTATGTATGTATGTGTATATATATATATATATATAATAAATGTGTGTGTGTATGTATGTATGTATGTATATGTGTGTGTGTGTGTGTATATATATATATATATATATATATATATATATATATATATATTATATGGTGCCACTGTTTTCCCTAAATACGGTTTGAAGCTGTTAATGTTGGTGAAATGACTATGGTCACTTAAATAGTTCACAAGTCAAGTTTGTCTTTTTTATTGTAGGTTTGTATTGCTGTCTTATCAGTTTAGGCCTACCAGACTTCATGTAAACGGTGATCATTAAATAAACACTGGGAAAAAACATCACCTTTTTAAATTATAAATATGACCTACAACTTGACTTTTCATACAGTGTCAACTAAAGTGGTTTGATACCCAACTAACCTAAAGTATATCTCGCTAACATGTAATAATAGGTTAATATAACATTTTTAATGTCATACTATAACATTTTTCTAATGTCTAATGTTTCTCTAACTTATGCCACGGTCAGTGAGAATTCCAATAGCTAACTGCAGTGTGTTATTACTACATAATGCATAAGTAGTTTGGCATCAGCCTAATAACTGTTCTATATCACTGCTCTGCAGCCATCACCATGACAGCACCATAGCAACAGGTAATCAAATGCTGTGAGTATAATGTAGGAACTAGCTTCATTTAAAACTATATAACTGATATTTTGGACTTGTACAGACAGTTAACAGGTTTTTCACATTCATTTATCTGAAAAGTTTCACATACCATGTGCTTAGTACTTTGTGGAAGAACACCGCTTCACTATGTGTCATGATCTATGACTCCACGTCGTGCGTTAAAACTCCATAACGCACAGCTCCTCATTGTGTAATTCTTTCATATTTTTATGACGATGATAAATGCTGGCCCATGTGATGTGATGAGCATTTTTTATTTATGGATGTCTTGTCTCATGTTTTGTTTTTTGTTTGTATTTGTTTTCAGATGATCCTCCAGTGTAATGGCATACATTATGCAATGATCGGCCAAACCATGGCGTGCGACTAGGCTTTGTGTTTGTGATTCACAGTTTGGAAATAATGTCTCCCAGTAACCGAGAGCTGGTTGAATTCTTCATAAGCTACAAATTATTGCAGAAAAACTACCCAAGTTCGCTGCTTTTGCCAAACCCTGCTAGGGTCCAGTCTGACAGCGACAAGGCAGCTAATGTCCCAAATGGTCTGCTAGCAAACCCGAATGGCAACAGACAAACACTGGCCTCACTGCCTCCTGATGATCACTTAGAGGCTATTAAGACTGCTCTTAAAGACTCTGCAGATGAATTTGAAGAGTTATTCACACAAGCATTCAGCAACCTTTCGTCTCAGCTCGACATCACACCTGAAACAGCTTATAACAGCTTTAAAAGTGTCATGGACGAGGTGTTCAAGGATGGGGTTAATTGGGGAAGGATTGTGGGTCTTTTTGTGTTTGGAGGGGTTTTGAGTGTGGAGTGTGTGGAGAAGGACATGAGCAATCTGGTTCCTCGCATTGCTGACTGGATGACTATCTACCTGGATGAGAATATCACCGCATGGATTCAAAGCCAGGGAGGCTGGGTGAGTAACTTGTCCACAAGATTGCTGACATTTAGGACAGTACTAAGCACATGGTCACTGGTCAGTCACTTATCATGCCAATTCAAATGGTCTGGAAAAAATAATAATGAAGGCAAGATACTGCAGATGAATAGGGAAGACACTTTACATATACAGTACCAATACAAATTTTAGTGTAGTTTACTTAGATACATTTAGATTTAAGAAAAAGCATATTTTTAGCATTTTATGTTTACAAAATGAATGTTAACAAATAAAGCATTTATTTCGAAGTTACACCATGATTCAGCAAACTAATTAAAAACTTCATGGCGTAGAGAAGAAACTGATGTTTAAATTTATAAAATAAAAGAAAATCACAAAGTCTCATTTTAAATGGGTTAAATATGAAGTTTATTTTACTTTTTGGGATTTCTAATTTCTGTTTAAATTTTTTATTTTTTTTTGCATTGCAGCACAGCTTTGCTCAAATTTTTGGGCAGAATGCAGCAGCAGAGGCCAGAAGATCTCGAGAAACTCTGAAGAAATGGCTGCTAGTTGGAGTGGGGTTGCTAACTGGAGTGCTGGTTGCTATGTTCATTGCTAAGAAACAGTGAAGGTGCTTTACCAGATTACTACAGCACGCCTCAAGTAATGCTACGCCAATCAATATAAACAACCTGTTTAGTTAATGTTTACAAAAATGCTTTGTCTGCGTGTGCACTGACAAGATGTGCACCAGCCAACATGGCATGTAGGAGTGACCATTAATAATGTAGCTTGGTGAGCTCCTCTCACCCGCTGTGTTACGTGATTTTTATTTTTTTAATTCACAACAAAGATATTTGTATGTAACTCTTAAGACTGGAATTTATTTACATCTAAATTTGATAAGCTAAAAGTCAAAGTGATTTAGCTGGTTCAGTGAATTGAATATTTTGTTTCTTCTATCCCAGGACCAATAGAGCTCAACAATGATCACCCACATTGAGGATTCCTGAGTAAATTTCCAATTCATTTTTCCTATAGATCTTCATCAAAGGAGTCATTAGAATTTGAAAACATTTCAAACTACTGCGTTTTGAACATTAATTACCACACAACAGGTTAGCTTCCATTGTACGCTGACATTTTGAAAAGTCTATAGGGAAATTGAAAGGGAATTTTACTTTGAGGATCTCTAGGCTTTGACTGTTGATCTCCTTAGTAGATGCTCAGAAACTTGACAGTGTATGTTTCTTTTTCACTTGTACAGTACTGATAAGTTTCTTTTTGGCTGCACTGGAGTTTCAGGCATGCTTCAAAAAATAAATATATTTATGTTTTTGCATGAGTCTACTTCTTTACTGTAAAGAGCAGCTCCCTGTGGTTGCCCACTGCTCCTAACAGATTGCTCCGGCAGCAGGGCGAAAAATGTGTAAAATGTATATTACTAATTTTCCTCAAAAATAACATGTCTTAAAGGTGCACTGTGTACTTTTTCTTATGTGAGGGCTGCCATCCACTTGTTTCCATTGAAGGTCTTCTTTTGCTGCAATGTTTGTTTCTATTGCTTAGAAATATCTTGAAAAACAAACATCCGTTCTTACAGTGATTTAGTTGTCTCTCATCAGTTCTAACCTTCTTGAACTGGTGGTAGTAATAATGGCATAGATAGTAGATCCTTCACCAGAAAAATTTGATAATGCACATGCAACCTTAAATCACATGGAGCTTTTTGTGACTGTGTTGACACTGTTCTTCAGTCCATTAACACATGCCAATAGCAGCAGGATTTTATCCAAATGGTAGGCCAAATATTCATTGTGTACTAAATATCCCATATAGGGTCATTGTGCTGCTTTATTCTTACCACCTGGGGGCGCCATTGTGCCATTGATTTAAACTGTAATATAACATCAGACCTTTCCTACGCTGAACTCCGTACAGCCCTACCCAAAACAGAACAGCTATAGAGCCAGAGCAGACAGGACAGAAATGGAATACAAAGTTCTAGTCATGAGTGAGTGAGTGAGTGGTGTTGGTTTCAGAGTGCTGGCGCTGTTGGTGCCATATTCTCTGGAGCAGATAGAGAGCTTCACTAGAGGCACTCTGGTGAAGGGTATACTAGTAACCCTGCTACGATAAAGTCCCACTGTGTAACTTGTTTTTGTTACGAAATAGACTATATGTTTGTTTTTTTCATTTGGGATGTTATTTCACTGAACTAAGTAGACAGACATGCATTACATGCTTACTTGTGTAGATAGACCAGATGCACGTGGGCTATCTACACAAATCTGGCTCTGAGCTTGTTTTACTTGGAAGAGGGCCTCTTCCTGCATGTCTTCATGGAAATGTTGTTCAGTTGGCAATAATTAGGCCTATGCCACATTATAGTACAACGGTTTAGGGGACACCATGGAGAGTGTTATTATGTATACTGCCCTACACAGGCAAAAGTCCTTAACTTGCCAGAGTGTGAAACTGAGAAAAATGACTTCTTCAAGCTTCAAAAAAGCTTCTGTTTTGTCTAAACAAAATTTGACAACTAGTTGCTTTAATGAAATATTTGTATGTGAAATATATTGAGCTCAAAATTTACCTTTGACCCTTATTTGGCATTTACTGTGCTACTGCCTTATGCCTTTGCACAACTCCTTATTTTTGACACAGGACACAAAGGCAGAGTACAGTAACTACCAAATAAGGGTCAAAGGTCAATTTTGAGCTCAATATTTTTCACATTTATTCACATGATAAAGGAAGTCTCAAATACCCTCAAAATGACATAAACTCATTTTTGACCCAACATGTTACTGCTGTCTGCCTTTGTAGTACTTTACTAGTACTAGTACTTTCAGTTTTCTATTTCCATAGAATCATGCAGGTGATGTGTAACCTCTATGAAGTTACATAACATAGTGTTGCTTTAAACATTAGCTTGATTTATCTTTTTTGAGAAAATACGATATTGCGGCATGAAACTTGTCATGTATTTATTCAGTTACAAGTGTTTTGATCTACATCACCTCTCCATAGATCTGACATGTAACTTGGTTTGGTGGCACAACATACTGTACAGGCAAAGTGACCCTATTTTTGGAGGACCGTTCCCCAGAAAATATACATAGTGCACCTTTAAGCAAACACAAATAGCCTATACAAAAGAATAGTCATTTTTTGGTATTTGTTACTTTGACACTTGTTGATTTGTCCTTAGTGAGTTTACTTATTAGGTTTTATTAATAATAGTCTCTGCAAACGTAACTCTTCCTGACGTAGCCGTCTAACTGTCAGCACTTGGCTGCGTGGACTAATGCCAAAAGTAAAAGCTCCCATGGCCTTACTGATAAACTTATCAGTTCTATACACTCCAAGTGCATAGGATCCCCCCACCCCAGGCCAGAGTGTGAACATAGTACACAAACCACAGTCTGCACTGTTTTCATGTTGTTCTATAAGCTAATACTTTTGCATTTTCTAGCACCAGCAAGACTCCCTTGAAAATGTACTGTAATGTGACTGTGTACACTGTACAATACACAGTACTTGCAAAGGCCTATATTTAGAAATTTATATCTTTGAACAATTATTCATAAATAATGTTTATACACTGCCAGAAAGCATGGATGCATTTGTATTTATCTCTTTTTGAATTGTCTGACCTGTTGAGATCTTTGGTAGTGCAATATTTTACATCTTGTTTCATATCCTTTCTACATGGGGAGGAATATTTTCAATATCTAGTAATAATGATTTGTCTGTCACCCATATTGTCAGGAGAAATAAAAGAGGGGGTACATTTATTTGATATATGGGAAGAAAGGCTGCCTTCAGGGGAGTCTAAATTGAGAAATTGAAATTTGCGACATTTGTGAAAGTGTATTTGGTAATTTGATAAGCTTTTTTTTTTTTAAATGACAGTCATTTATGTAATTTATCTCATATCATCAGCTGTTATCATCTAGTTTTATCTGAAAAAAATGTCAGAAGCAGGTGTTTGATTGTTGTTTTGGTTTTTGGATGGTCTTTTTGCTCATTTTACTTTAACTAGAATATATATAAAGAGAAGCATTATGATACAACATATAAGTAGGCCTACTGTAACTAATTAAGTCTTTATTTATATAGTACTTTTCACAGACATATGTCACAAAGACACATTACAGATCATTATTCAGCATTACTCATTCACTCCATACCCAGTAAGGGTAAGCTACTATTGTAGTCACAGCTGGGGCTGACTGACAGTACCAGTCATTGCCATCAGTTCCTCTGACCACCACCACTCACACCCACACCACTTTCATACTAGGCAATGTGGGTGAAGTGTCTTGCCTAAGGACACAATGACAGTATATGTGACTAGAGCACCACTGTGGCACCTGATTTTCCCTGTGGTCTCCCATCCAAGTACTAACCAGGCCCAGCCTTGCTTAGCTCTGGGAACTGATGGGATGTCAGGCTTTGACAAGCCAATATGGCTTGTGTGGTTATAACCTACAGCCCAGAGCCAATTAAAGCACCTTTTCCTTTTCTAAGGTCCCTAAATCTGAAATAGGGCTTTAGTTAGTTAGTTTAAACTTTCCTCTGATTTTATGTTTGTCATTTATAATGACTCAAAATGCATAAAAATGTATCTGCAATTTGGTGTGAAATGACCCTTTATACAAAAAATTCTATCTCCTTTAACAGAACAAGAATGGAACGGCAACATCGGGTTGCCCAAACCTTTCTGTACAGATTTTGTATGTTCTCCCTGTGTCTGGGTGGGTTTCTTCCAGACACTCTGGTTTCCCCCATCAACTCAAAGCATGCACCATTGGTAAAATCCTCCAAATAACATAATTCTGACTAAGCCCAGCTACAAAATCATGGAGTTGGGTCCCCAGATGGGTAACTATGTGCCCACTGCTAATGAAGAGATGCCTCAATGGCACTGACGGATGAGTGAAATGCATTCTAAAGCAGTTAACTGTTTTCTTGGAGTTTTATGGCAGTGTCATGGATTGGGCTGCGCTGACTGAATCAAAACTTGATCACTTTGAACATTTCTGCCATATATTGATGTATATATTGTGGATGCTCAATAACATAGTGATCTAGGCACACTTTCTCACTAGATGTTGGTTCATGTGATCTCAGGCCCTCAGGTTCTGTGGGCAAAGGCCTGACCCCGAACCCCAGGCCTGGCTCCATGGTGGGTGCCACTCTGGATAATTTCATGATCCTTGCTTTTGTTCTGAGATCCTGAGTGTCCCAGACTCCACCAGAGCTGCCCTTTGCCACAGGTTCTGTTAATTTTTTTTATGGACAGAATTTCTAGGTGTCAGAATTTCACCTCTGCTGTTTGCAGATTATGTTGTCCTGATCAATACAACATGCACTGGGGCGATTTGAAGTCGAGTGTGAAGTGGCTGGGATGCAATTCAGCTCCTCTAAATCAGAGGCTGTGTTTATCGAGCAGAAAGAGATGCCTAGCCCTCTCTAGGTGGGTGGAGAGTCCCTGCCTCAAGTGAAGGAGTTCATCTGTCTCTGGGCCTTGTTCACGAGTGAGGGAAGGATGGAGCGTGAGATTTACAGATGGAATGGTGCAGCGTCTGCAGTGATGTGGTTGCTGTGTTGGAGCGTTATGGTGAAGAAGGTTTCAAAAGGCAAAGCTCTTGGTTTACCAGTTAATCAATGATCCTACTCTCATCTATGTACCAAAAGTACAAGACCATCGATACAAGCGGTCTGGTGATACAAGCGGATACAAGGAGTTTCCTTTGCAGAGTGGCTGGGCACTCCCTTAGAGATAGGATGAGGAGCTCAATCAGGAGCTGAGAGGAGCTTGGCGTAGAGCCACTGCTGACCCACATTGACAGGAACAGCTGAGGTGGGTCAGGCATCTGTTCTAGATGCCTCCTGGACGCCTCTCAGGAGAGGTGTTCAGGTTATGTCCCACTGAAAGGAGGCCCCAGGCAAGCTCAAGGACCTATGTCTCTCAGCTGGCCTGGGAACATCTCGAGATCCCCAAAAGTGTTTGTGGAAAGGGAAGTCTGGGCCTTCTTGCTCAGACTGCTGCCTCTGCCACCTGGTCCCAAGAAAATGGATGGATGGAAACCCAATTTTATGAAATATGAGGACAATTGCAGCAGGCTTTTCAGTGCATCAGAACCCTGAAATTTGAATAATTAAATAACCGAAAGCTCTGTATTTTCATTATCAGGCTGAAATTTTTGTCAGCCTTTATTTATTTAACTTTTTATTAAATTAATGATTAATTGTTTAGATATTATTACCCACAAAAGAATAATAAGTCTAAATGTGTCACTCAAAGACGTCTATTGGTATATATTTATTGTACAGTCTATTTTGTAACATTCTGTTACATGCTCCCAATTGGTATTGTATTCTGAATACTTAAAATACCCTGTAGTCCTTTGATTTAAAAAACTGCATTGAATACCACCAAATGAAACTGTTCTTCATTTGTTCAGTTAGTAACTTCACAATACTGTACCTAGCCCTTTCATGTATGAATTATGATAGGCTACTTCAGGCATCTTTAGGCATGAAAAAAAAATCACCTTAATTTTTTTCAAACATGCATTCTTCAAGGAGTTGGTGACATGTTCACTAGGGTGGACAACGCACATTTGAACAACAAATGAAATATGTGATTGAGAAAACTATTTTTAAAAACACTGCTCTGCGCTTCAAAGGAGGTGCGGTGGCACTGGGTCTTCCTCGTCTTGGTGTCTGGATGGAAGTTGCATTTATTAGCATACGAGCTACAGACGCCTTGAAATGCAGAAGATCCTTCTTGTCACATTCTGTAGATGTGCCAGGCAGTCACGGTGGTCAAGAAGTGGAAAAACACTTGGAGGTACCATCCTTTTTTGGGTTTTTTTGTTTTTGTTTTTTTTGCATCTGTGGAGGTATATTGCTACACACTGATCCATGAGACCTACACCTCCCATATGGGTGCTTTGCCAGTTTCCATACAAAATAACCTTTTTCTGCTAAAGACACACTGCACTGATGTACTTAAGTACATCTGAAAGAGTCTGCATATTGGGAATTCAGAAACGAACACTCATGAGTCTGTTGGGGATTGGATGACTGCTGTTACAATATCTGGGTATTTTTGTAAAATGTTTGAATGAGTCAGTGAAGATAATCATGTTATGCAAATGTGTTGTATTGTCGTTGATGCCCACGCATTTGTTATTGGCGTTGTGCCACATGCATTTCATATCGGTTTCCACTAAAGGTTATGCAAAGTGACATAATCTCCAATTTTTCACCACCACAAAAGCGCATCAAACATTTCACTCCAGTATCATCAGCAATTTGTATTTTTTTTTCTGAAAACATGACTCCAGAGATAATTTCCTTTTTCCCAACATTACAGCCAAGCAGAAAACATTTTACCACACACCAGTCCTTGCAAATGTCAATTTTCAAAGTTCTTTCTTGATGCTCCATAGATGCACCTTTGGTTACAACAACTCCACTTCTTGTAATAGAAAGATTTCACTTTACCCATTTTTTTCCCTGTTTCTCTCGATAATCCAGATTCAAACCCATGCTCAGATCCATCTTCCCTTCCCATTCCGCAGTCGACTGTGACTAAACAATTTAAATTTATTCTCTGCTGGTTAAGCAGATAAAACAAAGCAAAGCTTCAAAATTGCATCTGATTTTGCTCATAAAATCCTCATAAAAGCACAAAACTCCACAACAGTTTAATATGAAGTACAGTAGACTTGATGATAAATAACAAAATTTTGATTAAAATGTCATATGGAATCTTATAATTTTAACTCAAATTCTAACCTTTTTTAAAATATATATATATATATATATATATATTATTTTTTTTTAGCATCAATTAGTCTGTTGGATTTAAGTGCTTTAAGTGGCTTGGTTTATTTTACAATTTCTGCAGAATTTGCATAGGGAAACTAAACGCTTACTGTAAAACTGTTAGTGAAGCCTGTACAAAGGGTCCATTATAAAAGAGAAGTGAGCACAAAGGTCTAGATACAACTTAGACAACTGTGGCCAACTATTCAAATTACATCCAAAACAAACCAACCGAATACAGTAGCTGCACATAGAGAGGTGGGATGATGATTGACATACTAGATAATATCATGAATGCTGTTTTGAAAATGTGGTGCATTTTAATATCAACTATATAAATTAATAATAAATAATAACAAAACTGTTGAAAATCCAATCCTGTGATCAGTGTTTCCCAACAATGGAGGAGACAATGGTGTCATTTTTGCAACTATAATCTAAAGATACTTAGTCATTTTTTATTAGCTGCCCAAGAGTTATTTAAATAAAATGCTAACAATTGTAATGCTGATTTAATTACGAAAACATTGAACATGATGACCAAGTTGTTGTTGTTGTAATTTGGTGATTTTTTAGTTTTCGTTTGTTTTTAGAGAAAAACTTCTATGTGTCCTTTTTATAGGGGCCATAGGGGACCCAGATACAGTTGTGATTGTACTATTTGTGGAGCGCAGGCTATATACAGTTCCACTGAAACTCAGATTTAGCACAGTTTTCTTTGACTAAAATAATATTGTCTGAATATAGTTATCAGGATACTAAAAACAACTTTGATATGTTTTCAGTGTTGTCCACTCCTAGCTGCACACATTTTATTGACCTTACAATCAAATAAAAGAACCCAATGCAAAAAAAAAAAAAAAACATTAAAAGCAATACTTCAGTGTCAACAGTGCACAAGGAAACTCAGCAGCATTAGGGATAGATCAGTCTCACTCAATAGTCTCTAAACCCATCAGTACAAGTTAATCAGTGAAATAGAAAGTCCAATGTGTAAATAAGGTTTTATAAGTTTTCACCATACAAGAGAAAAGATGGCGATTTCAGTGCCAGAAGGAACACATCACAAGAATACAGAAAGCAAAAGCAGATTGTTTAATTTACTCATGATGAGGAGATTGAACAATATTGTTCAACATGCTCGGGTTGAGGAGTCTCCCTCTATGTGACAAGATCTGGGATGAGATCATTAATGTCCCACCATGTCAGTAGGCATATCACCTGAATTGAGTTATAACACACTAATACAGCAAGGACTGGAAATACATTCAGACATTTTATTGGGCATCTATAGTTACAAATATAAGAGCAAAATACATGCAAACCATACAAGAAAAAAACAAAAACAATTGCTCAGATGTCCTCAGATAGAAAAGCCAAACATTTTCTCCCCTGATGTTCCAAAAGAGTTCCCTGTTATAGCTTGCTCTTGCAGCAGACTAAAGTGCCACACTGAGGGCAACACCAGTGTGGGCTACACTAGTGTGGGCACCATGCCTGAGCTGAGGTGGTGAGTATATGGCAGGGCTCCGGGCGGGTGCAGGGCGGCTGGGCCTGAGATGAGGTGTGGTGAGTGACTGTATGTTAGCAGAGTCCCAGGTGCTAGAGAGAAGGGCCCACTCTCCTCCAGATGAGACATATGGGGCATCTCTGAGTATGGCTCCATCATGGCTGTCTTCTTACTCTTCTTGTTCTTGCTAGACACCTTTCTATTGCGTGTTTGAATGCCATCTTTCTTCATGGTCAAGGGGCGGTTAACCTGAACACATATATCAGAGTATGGTTAATACAAAGGAAAGTTAGACATAGTTTCATTAATGTGTGTGCACCACGCACATTGTGCAGTTTAAAGTAGAGGCCACAGGCGTTGCACACAGGTTCACCATTAGAGTTCCGCCTCCACAGTGTGGTGGTGCTGGTGTGGCAGTTGGCACAAATAGTCCCTGCTCGCTTGCTCACAATCTGAAAACATATACAAACACAACAAGTTAATTATGACTGGTTTTATATAGATATTGGCACATATGTTCAATATCATCAGGGAGCGGAGCTAATAATTATGTATTTCATTGGCAAGTTGAAAGTGCTAAATGATGGTTATCATTTAATCAAAGCCCATTAGGCCTTGTCCATTAGGAAAACAATCAAAACTTCTTACTGAAGCTTTTATATTGCTTTTTTTTGTGTTTTTGTTAATATCATTTGTGTGTTTATACCAGTCTTTTCTTTGGCCGGATCAGAGGTCGGTTCTGGCCATTCATCTTGTGGTACAATCCACAGGCGTTACACAGGTAGTGGCCTGTCCCATCACGTCGCCATAGAGGGGTGGCTGTGGCCCCACAGTTCACACATTCTCTGGCCTCTGGAAGGAAGTACATTTCAAACATGAGAGTACATGAATCATCAGTTTGTACAATGTAGTCATCTTATCAGCAATATACTTTAAAAGACTTCACAAATTGAAATCTAATGTTTCTCTTTTTTTTTTAACCTGAACGTGATAAATTTTTTTTAATAAGTTTTTGTACCAAGTGGCTTCTAATGTTACTGACCTGGTGTAGACACCCGGAGCTTGCTGCGTAGTTTGGGGGAGTAGGAGGGATTGATCCAGGTGGGGCTGTTGTACAGGCCTGTGGAGTTGAACTCTTGAGGGGGGGTCATGTATGAGCTGTAAGCATTTAGCATGTGATGGGAGGCTGGAGTGTACACACTCCCCGCTGCGGGGGTCAGGTTCATAAAACTGCTGGTGACCACAGACCCCCCCAGAGGGCTGGAGCGCTCAGCCTTCAATGCATCCTGCAGCCGGGGACTTTCACAGGCCTCCCTGCCTGGGGATGTGCAGTAGGATGAGGGGAGGCCCGGGCTGTATAGAGACACACTGGGCTGTGCTTTAGACAGAGTATTGCTGCTCCAGCTGGAAGAGGGAGGGTAGGCCGAGCTCAGGGAATGACTGCTTGGACCATCTAACAGCTGCAAGTTGGTGAAGAGACCAGGAGAGCTGAACACCTGCCGCACTGTTTACACAGACAGAGGTGTAGTTAAGAGCTACATACAACACAGTATAACACACATTTAGGGAATCAACAACATGCATTCATACACCTCTTTAATTTAAATATCACATACACTGCTCGCAAATTATTAGGAAAAGGCTATATTTGCATACAAAGTCACACTGTAGTGTTTTTATAAAATGCATTTGTTTAGTAAGGACAGTGCATAATATTAATGAACATCTTCAAAAATTAGATTATTGTTATTAATAGCCTCTGTCCATTATAGAAAGTGTCCCCCAGTAAGAGATTGTGATAACAGTGCTCATTAAGGACAAGGTTATGCTGATGTCTAAAATGCTTAACATGCATCACGGTGAAAATACTGTAATGACTCAGCACTTCATGGACTCTTGCCCTCATGGGCATAGTGTTGTGCTTTTAACTTTATGTTTCGGTTTTCACGCACAACCATGATTGGTTTTCACACACTTTTGACAAAACAATAAACACATCAGAATAAATTAAAATGTTTGAAGCCATAACCAATCCATCTTAGAAAAATACATTTTACCTATGTTTAAGCAATTGTAATATTTCCTGCAGAAATTAAATGTATGATCAGACCAAAACTGACCTGAGTTGTGTCTGTATGAAGGTCTGCTGGTGCTGTTGAAGAAGGAGGGCAGGATGTAATCTGAGTCAGAGGCAGAGAAGAAGGACTCGCTCTCATCTCCAGGGGGCAATAGACCCCCCTCTGAGGAGAAACTGGACAGAGGGTCTGAGGTGAGCAGTGATGGGCTCTCCCAGTGGGAGTGTTCTGATGAATCCTCCATCTTAAGTATCTGACAACATAAATGTGTTTATGTGAACATAAGACCAAACCAAGCTAATACAAAATCAAATCATGTTTTGCTGTCAATGCTAACATTATGCCAGCTCAATGTCTCTTTCTTTGTTGCTATTGGATTGTCTAATTTAAGCTTATGTCCTTGAGTCTAGCTCAGTGGCTGAGTGTCTTTGACTAAGAAGACTATACAGTACCACTGTCTCCTCTCGGGCCTTACACCAATGACTTTAGTTAAATATTAGGGACTAGATCACTTGACAGCAGGCTTTCTTAAACTTCCTTTTCTAGGATCCTCATTTGACTGTGGTTGAAAGCTACAACTAAAAATAAAGAGTTGTACAAAATGAGTGACAGCAGCAGTGACCAAATGGTTCCAGCAGGCCTTTTTATACACTAGGTGTGACACTTACATGATGCAAAAGAAGGGCCCTTAGGGACACAATGTGTACAAACAACACAATATAGTGGCTACAGGTGCATTTTCTTAAGATGAGCCTGATGTGGCTTCTAACCATTTAAAATATGCTCACAAAACATGTACATTAAAAAAGGACAAACAAGCATATGAAGAGAGTTAAAGATCGTGTTTATAGAGTTGATAATAAAGTTGTAATTTTTTATGTAAAAAATGAAACTATTTGAAAACAGCAAATATGGCTAAAACATTTTAACTTCTCACTGAATCTTAAGTGGACTGATAACAAAATCTGACATTATATGAGCTGATAAACTGATAAGTCTGAAACAAAATCAGTTTTTGATTAATTAAAAAATTGTCACAATAATAAATGCTTGTTAAGAATAAAGAAAATACCCTTGACATAGCATTAAATTATACAGTGATGTTTTGGCCTATTTTTACTTTTCTTTTGAAAATATTTTTCTGAATCCATTTAATACAGACAATTACATTGGATGAACCAAATGCGATAGTTATAGAAAAATGTAAATTTTCAATACATGGAGGCTTTTAGGGCAGTTTGGAAGAGTAAAATGAATAAATTAACAAAAAACAGTGCACAATATGAATGTTTTCATTTTTAGAACACACAGAAGAGAGTCCTCTGACATCAGGCATATTGACCCTCAGAGGACAAATTCTGTTTGATTCAGTTTTCCAAACAAAGTTAATGGGACTAGGTGCAGAGCTTAGAGGCAAACTTACCTGTAAAGAGGTGGCAGAAGAAACTGGCACTGGTCTGTCAGTGATGAGACGATGCACTGATGACTTTACAAAAACTCCTCTAACACACTGAGGGTTAGGACTGGAGGGCGGCTACAGTTTAGCGGAGGACACACCTCTTTTGTCTTCTTCAACTTGAAATTGAATTGGTTCATTAATGAAATAATTTAGTATTGCATACAAATTTAAAGTTCTCTTATTCTTGTAAGTAGTACCAATTTACAAAAAGTACAAAAACTGATAAAAGGCCAGAGCCTTGTGTGCCAGTGAATTAACTTCATGGTTCTCTATGTTCTATTATGGAGAAACACAGCCTGAAAGTATTGTTTGGTCCCATAATCAAACCTTGGCATGAACACCATAACAGTTCTACCAATTCAGTTTCATGAAGATCATGGCTTGAAGCTTACATTTGGGCCTAAAGCACAGATGACAGTGAAGAGGAAAGTGAGGAAGAAAAGTGATGCAGGAGCAATATTGTTCAGCCTCAGATAAGCATCATGGAAAAGAGCCTAATGGACTTTTAAACAAAGTGAATAAAAAATGCAAACATCTCGGTTTCTTTGTGGTGTGACAAAGCTCACTGGAATACAGCAATGCAAATGCACTGAAAGTGGAGCAATAATATATAGTAAGATATGGTCAAACACAAGTCCTATTCTATCACACGTATTTGATAGTCAAAGTGGAGCTCTCATCGACCTCTGTCTTCATTTTCAGTTTTCAAAAAAATCTATTGGAAAACTGTAGGGCACAAGTCTGGCTTTATATTTAACTAGCCACAGCAGTAAAATGCCTTACCAGTTAAAGCAGATAGGAGTGATCAGTTGGACAATGCAAATTAAAAGTGCCAACAAAATGAGCAGAATCTGAGTAACATTACAATTGCAATTTAATTTTAAATAAATTGGTCAGGATACAAGTTAAAATAACCCCAGTTTTGGTCCTTGTTTTGACAGACATTGCAATGAACAACTCAAAAATGTGTGTTTTAATTATATAGCAAATATTTATGTTAACTGACAGAAGCAGGGATGCCAATTTGAACCATCAGCCCTTCCAACCACCTCCGTTCACTCATACAAAACATTCATACCAGACAAGATGAGCGAGGTGTCTTTCTCAAGAACACAACAACAGGATGCACTGCTCTGAGGATTGAACTGCTGACCTTTGGGTTAGTGGGAGAATGAATCTCACCACTGCTGCCTATGATAATCTAAATCTAAAACCTTACTACAGCCACAAATAGTGCTGTTTTTAAAGGTACACTGCGCAACTTTTCTGGTGGGGGGTCCGTCACTTGCTTGTCTCCATGGAAATGTTATTCCCTTGTCTAGATTGCTTCACGGTAGAAATGATCTATCTCAAGGAAGACAAATATAGGCTATATTACAGGTCAGATCTATGGGGAGGTAATCCTTTTCACAGAGAGTATTATTGAATTTTGAGCAACAGTAACACCCGTAATGGATACCTTCTAGACAGATGTATTTAATGTCATACCGTGCACCATTTAACTGAGTAAATTAGAATCCAGAAGATAGAAAAGCACATAAGGCCTCAATGATTCAGCCATTTTTGAAGCAACCACGTATTACAGTATAAACTTTTTACCTACAGTATAATAATTTATTCTACATTCTCCAACTATTCTCTCTTTGTTTTTAGATGTTCATATTGTCTGTGCTTTGGTGTGTATAGTAGAGTGACAGGGCCGTGGCTGTGCACTGGAGGCTGCTTCGCTCAGATAAGACCTTATCAAGATGGAAGCATGAGACCAGAGTTTACAGGCCTGCTGCTCTCTGCCATCCAAATACATGGGTTGTCAGGACATTGCAGTGGGATTGTGGTGTGTTTTTATTTGACTGTGGCGAACTGATCTTAACCCCTTCTGTGCTGGACTGTTATGTTGAGGCACGTTATTGTCCGGCAGTTGGAAGCGACAGTGATGGATGGGGCAATGTTTAGCTGCAGCTTCTGAATTCCCAAGAAAGTGAGTGGCATGTAGGCGGGGGTCTTATCTCACACATGCAGTCCAAAGCTACGACAACGCACTATCACCATGCTCTATGCTCTTGACCATGTGTCTTTACGTAAACTCTCAAATAATTGTCTCGCGAAAAGACTATCAATAATAACTCGAACATTGTTATATAAAATACAAAATTTCAGTTTTACAAAGAGTGAATTATCAATCCTTATATTAAGTCAAAAAAGTATTTCAGCATAAATATATTCCCAAATCCATATCATGAATTTAACCTTTTTCTGATTAACCACAGTTAAAGGGGTGGGAGTGGACTACAAACAAGCAGTAAGTCTGAAGGAAACTACAACACACACCCATGGGCAATAGTATGACAGGGGAAAATAGAGTCCACTGTGTCCAAGTAATCAGCTCTGTAAAGTTTGTCTCAGGTCTAATTAGGAGGCTGAGTAGGTTTTGTAATCCTTTTTGCTAGAGCTCTTGTAACTCACTCACTACTCTCTCAAACGTTTACATAAAATACACACTACAGTTGTTGATTATAAAAGGTAAAGAACATTATACAAAACTGCAGTATGGAATAAAGCAGTACATTTGTGTCAGTGAAAATGTTAATTTAGAGCATAATAACTTCATCCATATTCTATTCACATATGATTGTTTCCCTTTATAAAGTTAATGCAGATAGAGTATATGAGACATGTAACTCTTTGCCTTGACAGATGCCTTTTTGAAAAAACAAAACAAACAAACAACAACAACAAACAAACAAACTAACAAACAAACAGGTAGGAATTTGCTCAAAGTGTTCAAAGAAAAAAAAGGAAAAGGAAGAAAAGAATAAGCATATATATGTTATAACCTTTCATGACACATTTCTGTTTTCTGTCTTGGAAATCCTCATGCTGTTGTCTTATCTGGTCCCTGATTGGTGTTTTTACAACTCTCAAAGCACAATGTGTTAAGTCTATGGCTAGACTAAGCAGTAGTTGTCAAACTATGGTACAGGGCTACTTACATAGTCAAGGAATTGCAATTTTGACATAGAAAAAATTATGTTTTCCAACCGCAGATAAAAAATACACTTTCACATTTGTTTAACATGATCTGAGAGTGGTAAATATTTAACAAATACAGCCTCTACTAACTATGATGGGGTGATAAGGTTATCCTCAAATAGTCAGCCTTCATACATTACATCCATTTCATTCATGCATTTTCATTTTTTACAGTTTGGCTCATCAAGTGATGGTGCTTTATATGTGATGTAATTTAAAGCAACAGAAGACCTATATTTTCTATTGGCTAATTATGTTGACACTAGATTGTCAATTAGTATGAAATATGATATGTAGTAAAAAAAAAAAAAAAAAAAAAGTTGGAGATAGAAGTATTTTGGGAAAAAATCAAGTGTTCATTCAAAATCTGTACTTTTATGCATTTTATTTTATGCACAGTTTGAAGCATGATATAGGCTTTTGCTGAAGAAATTATAGATGATAAATGATAATATTGAAACTATTTGTGCCAATGATGCAATAAACGAAAAACAAATTTAGACCACAAAAACAATTCAAAATCTAAAATATTGTTTGATGAATGAAACACTTTAGTACTTAGTTTGCATCTGTAATGGTTCATTACATGTCTATGGCTCCTTATCATATAGCTAAAAAATGACCAACAATTTCCCAGTAGTGCAAATAAATTGCACACATGATAAATATTGACCCACAAAATATTGTTCCATCTCTCATATATTGAACGATAGCCTATGAACCTTGTTTTACTGGAGTCATACTTCTTATTGCCACTCAACAGCCCTGCCAAATGTTTCATTGCCAAATCAGTCAGGGGAACAGCTGAGAAAGAATATATGATTTGTGTGAAAAAATAAAATTAAAATAAAATAAATCATATTCTAAACGGTTTAAAAACGTTTTAAATGTAAAAACTGTGCACCTCCAACATTGAGTGGCTCATTTTACCCGATGGTCCAATTTACCTGACTTAACCTCACCCTGGTCCTACTTTATCATCCGTCTGAAGGCGTTCATGTCTGTAGCCCACTGCCCTCTAGCGGCCAAACCGTAGGATACATGCTTCTGGACTTAAGACGGCGGCTGTAGTATAACGCTTTCAAAATAGTGATCATTTCACTCCACTCGCTTTCTCTTGCTCTCTTTTATGTCCATTGTATTATTCTCGAGTCGAAATCCATTTAAAGAAAAATTAAAATTAAAATTCAAAGAAATATCCTACTTTACTTTTAATTTTATTTTTACTTGCATTTTAGATTGCAGAATTATATAATTACATTTAATATAGGCTATTATTGGAGCTATTATTATTATTATTATTGAAAACTAGTGGAAGATACACCTACAGTCAATGGGCTAAACACACAGGATTATTTCACTTAAAGTTTACTCAAGATGTGAACGCGGACAGCCTCCTGGCGAAACCAGTGAAGAGACCGAGATGGCTGCGAGCCTGACCCATGGCCTGACCGAGGAAAACGAAGCAGTCATTATCAAACTAATCATGATAGGGAACTCTGGGTAAGTGCTAAAATGTGTTATTCAGTTTCGGTATTTCTTTATTTTTTGTTGCGCTGGAAGCATTCTCTTGTTCCAGGGACTTGTTTTTGGTGAGAATAGGCTACAGCACACCTTCACTGTGCTGCTGGTCGCTGATTTCTGTAACCTAAGGTGCACATTGGATGTAAAACTGTTAAATTACTGCATGGGTCGCTTTTAGCACTGTGGTCTAATTAACTGTCCACAGACTAAGTTATGACACTTTTTATAGCCTAAATTATTTTCATAATATTTTACATTTGATGATTTTGGTTACCACACCCAATTACATTCGTAACGACAGATGTGAAATGTTATAGACTGCTTTAAGTGTTATTGTAAGTAAAGATAGCAGGTGCTTTTGTCCCACAGTGTGTCCTCTGTTCTTCTGATAATCTTCATGTGTGTTTGCTCAGGGTGGGAAAGTCTTCCTTCATGAACAGATATGTCAGCCACCGCTTCACTAATCTGTACCGGGCCACTATTGGGATGGATTTTCTGTCCAAAAATGAAACTATAGACGGAGTCAGTGTGACTCTGCAGGTAAAACACACCCGCTGCTGTCTGTTTGCCTGATAAATACCATGGGAGTATTATTTCTTTCAACCCATACATTCAGTGGTGGAATGTAGCAAAGTAAAACTATTTAAGTACTGTACTTAAAGGTGCACTGTGTGTTTCGGTTGGGGGTCTGTTGTTGCTCTACCAGGAATGTTCCACAGTATGATATTAAACAGCACTGCCTTTATGGCTTTTTGGCTTTATTGCTCAAAAATACCTAGAAAAACAAGTATTCAGACTGCGAGACACAGATCTGACCTGTAACTTGGTAACTTGGTCTGGTTTGGTCTCCATGAAGATAAAGGTTTAATGCCATATTGCAAAACATTCCAGACAAAGCCATATCATCTCCATGAAGAAATGGACCCTCCACCAAAAAAGTTAGGCAATGCACTTTTAAGTAAAAATACTGGGTATCTGCACTTTACTTTACTTTTTTTACTTTTAACTTTTAAGTATTTTTATTATTGTTTGAGATCTGCTGAAAAGGCCGAGGGTTTATTTTAACATGTTCATAATGTGAGCAACACAAATATACAAATAAAAACAGCTGATCGATTCAGTTGTTTCTGCACAAATCTACATTTGAAGCATTATTAGATATTAAAGTCTGCAAGAAGTAACCTACTCTTACTTTTTACTCTTTAAATATATTTTTAAATATGTATTTTAATACTTTTACTTAATTTTTTTTCAGGTGATACTTTTACTTTTACTTGAGTATTCTTTTTTTTTCTTTGCTCCAGGATCTCTACTTTTACTTAAAGGTGCACTGTGTAACATTTCGGCTGGGGATCTGTGAATTGCTTGTTTCTATGGATATGCCATTGCTCTGCTTAGAATGGTCCCCAGCAGGGGCGTCCAGCCTTTTTCCTCCAGTGACCTATTTTCACAAAACGAAAATGCCAGAGAGCTACTAGTTTTAGTGGTCACAAGAAATTGCATATTATAAGAGCCATGGCAAGTCTTAGATGAGGTACAGTTAGATGCCTATAAAACATAAACCATTTTCCATTTATTAATGCACAAAGTTAAACATCAAAATGATACATGTATAATGGTAATAGGCATTTAATTAATCAAATTTTACTTATTCAGCACAATAGGTGTGATTCAGAAATCCCTTGGTGAGCTACTTGGAAAGGGGTGGAGAGCTACAGGTTGGAGACTCCTGTTCCACAGTATGACATTAAACAGACCTTACATTTATTCAATTACAGGTGGTTTTATTGCTCAAAAATACCTAGAAAAACAGGTATTCTGACTGTGAGTGAGGTTGCTTCTCCACAGATATGACCTGTAACCTGGTCTGGTTTGGTCTCCATGAAGATAGAAAGGTTTAAAAACAATAACATCTCCATGAAGATAAGCATTTGGAGGACCCCCCCACCAGTAAAGTTACACAGTGCACCATAAAGTAACAAAATTGAGTAGTTTTTCCACCACTGCATACATTACACTAACCTTTTTCATGTGGCAGATCTGGGATACAGCGGGCACAGAGAGGTTTCAATCCCTGGGCTCTCCTCTGTATCGCGGGGCTCATTGCTGCATTCTGGTGTTTGATGTCACCTCCCAAATCAGTTTCTCTTCTCTGGAACAATGGAGAAAAGAATTTTTAATCCTGGGAGAACCAGAGAACCCTGAAACCTTCCCATTTATTGTACTGGGCAACAAGACGGACCTGCTAGAACGTGAGGTCATTCACACTCTTATTTTGTTTGATTTTGTCCCTACGCTTTTGTGACATTTGCACCTATTTGAAAAACTCTTTACTTTAGATAAACTGTGGGCCTATTCCAATTCCAACTGAGCAAACCAAGAGAAATATTTGGTGCTAAAAGCCTGATCTTATCTGATCTAAGAAACTAAGCACATCACCCACATTGCCTTCTATGTGTGGCGTATGAGTGATCAGTGGTGGTCGGAGGGGTTGATGGTGCAGATTGGCTGCCTTATTATCATTACTAAATAATAATAACAACGTAAAACAACATAGCTCCTGCAGATTCTAAGATTTTGCTAAAGCATTGTAAATGAAAAATAAGATTTTGAAATATTTGGCTGTTCCCATGACACAGTAAACAAACTACCGCACAAAAACAAGACTGTATATCTGATACTGAGCTAAAATTAAAGTAAAATAATCTAAATAAAATCACATATTAATATCAAATCACTAATTGTTGCTCTATGATTAGGTATACATGTGACACAGAAATTTACATTTGATGAGCTTTCACCAGGCCTATTGGCTCTTTCAGGTGTCCCCGACAAAAGCACAACAGTGGTGTGCGCTCTTTGGAGCAGAGTACTGTGAAGGAAGTGCTCGAGATGATATTGATGTGGAAAAAACATTTCTGAGAGCAGCACGGATGGGGCTACAGCAGGTATGTGCAAAAACACTGAGAAAAGAACATAACACATTATTTTGTTGAACATGTTTATTTTTGATGATAAAAGATACATTACTCCCTACAGTACAAAAAACACACATTGGAAAATACAGGACATTTCCAGATAACCTGCAAACAGCCAAGAGAAACTGGCAACAACTGTCAGTGCTGAAGACTCACCCATCCAAACATGGGCTCAGATCTCCACACCTTTAAAGATGACCATCTAACCAAGGCGCAAAAAGTGACCCAGCAAAGGTACTGTGGAAGGAAAGGACACCATTGTATACCACATGGAGAGGAACAAACTCATTTTTTTTTATACTTTTGAGAACCTTGAGATCTTATCTAAATTAAGGCATTACTACTGAAATACACTGCTTTTTGCATGCATGTCTAGTTTTGTTCAACAGACACACTGACACGCACAAAATTATGAATGCATATGAAAGGAAAGCTCATTTCTAGAAAGAGAAATCAGGAGAAACCACATATAAACCCCAAGTGCAAGCCTCAAAAAAGACTCATAGTCTGGTGGTTACCATCACAACTAAATTGGCCCATACAAACATTTACAGTAGAGTCCATTCAAAATCCTTCCTGTACAAGTTGTTTGTGCACAAAATTATTCAAAGTCCTAGAATGAATTCCCCCAACAGAAGTATATTAGAACAGATCAGGGACATTATATATTTTATATATACTGTATATTTATATATATGTTTCATTTATAAGTAATGACACAAAAGGCAATTGAGATGACCAACATGTAAAAACAGTTTGTTACAGATAATTATATAAAAGACCAAAATTTTCTCCTGTGGCGGTTAGTTAGTTCCTTGCTTGAGCAAGAATATTTTACAAGAGTGTACACTCCAGCTACGCAAGCTTTTTTCCAGAGAACATTAGAGGACGCCCTATTGTCATGTCAGTTGCGTGCACACCTGTTGTCCGAAATACAAAGTCACGAAGAAAACATAACAATTTATTGAATGGTTTCAAACAGTGGAGGAATGGGGAATTTACTTATAAAGAAGTGATATATATTAATGAGCATAAAAAGCACAAAACAACTGATTGAGATACATTTTCTTAAGGATAGGTATGGAAGTCAGATGTTTAATAATAATACCCAGCTCAGGTTGCTGTTTGGCAAAGCAGTACAAACATTGGGTAAGATGTAGTAAACAATATATATATATAAAAAAAAAAAAAACACACACACACACAAGCTTTTCTCTCATTGGGTCCACTTCAAAGGTTCCCTTCACTCCTATAATTTCTACACTCCTGCTTAGAACATGTACAAATGTGTCTCTCTTTAACTGCTGTGGTAACAAGAACATACAACTAACTTAAGCATTAAAAATACAGTGGCTTTCAGAACTCTGCCACGGGAATTTCCTCAAAGACAACCTATGGGGATGTACTGTTTAAAAAAGATGTTTTTCTTAAAAATGCACACACACACATAGCAACAGGAGGGAAATGCTTAAAAAATACAAAAATAAACTACACAAAAAATCTTCTGCATCATTGCTAATTTTTTTGGGAAGATTTTGCAAGGTATTTGTGTGCAGCAAGTCTCAGTCCTAGCAAAGGTATTCATTTATCCTCTACAAATCTCCTTTGTCATTCTTTTCATGTCCAACCACCAGTCCTCATCTTGGGGACAGTGCACAGTGATGACAAAGCCAGGAGACTGGAGTCCAGAACGATGGCTGTACAAACTTGTTTCTTTATGGAGCAAAATTTCTTCAAGCAAAAAAAAAAAAAAAAAAAAAATTAAAGGAAAATAATGATGTCCTTTTCATTAAGGACAAGTGCTTTGTTTCCATATTTTTTTTCCTTTCATTCACTAATGCCTCAACAGCATTTTCTCAACACTGTACATCATTTCATGTAGTCTCTTTCTACATCTCCCAGGGATTCACAAAAAAAGGTAAAAGTCACACTGTGGCTGGTTCCCAGTTTGTGAAAAATGTAAATGTTCTTTTTTTCTCTATAAAGCCTGACTACTAAAACAGGTGGAGATTAAAAAAAAAAAAAAAAAAAAAAAAAAAGACAGGGTAATGTGCTTCTAGTTTGCATTTCTAAAATTAGTACAACCAACAGAACCAGGAAGAAGGGAGTATCTACAGGGAAAAAACTCAGATTGACTTTTGTCTTGGCTTCATAGATTTGTCTTCATTGCGTTCTTGATCTGAGACACGAGGATGAACAATACGGATTGTATGGTGAGAGGGGCGGTGTCCTCTTCGGTAAAAAAAAAAAGAAAAGGAAAGAAGGGACTTAAGACCGGGACAGGTCTTATTTGCCAAGTCACTGATCTGTCCTAGCTTTCTTTGGACCAGCGGTCTTACTGCAAATATGCACACACAGAACAAAAAGTTAATTTGAACTGCATCACATTAAAACATGTTGAATACGCTTGTGTTAATGGGCAACACTTACCCATCAGGAGATGTTCCTGGTCTTTTGGGTGCCGGTTTTGCTGATGAAACATCTTTGCCAGATTCTACACATAAAATACAAATGTAATTGGTGTATACATAAAACAATATAATAAATTTTTTATATTTAACATAACATATAATAAAAATACTTTAAAAATGAATTTGTTGCTCTGTCACCTTGTAGCCATCGAACTTGAGTAGCAGGACCATAGCCCTTCTCATTGCGGGCCGCAATACGAAAGATGATAGCTGGCTTGGTTGTGTAGTCGATGTGAGCGTTGGAGAGGCTGGAGGACTGCACCAGACAGGAGGGACTGGGCCCACAATAAACACGCATAAAGGCCAGTTGGGCTGGGGTAGAAGCTTTGGCCTCCGTTGTCTGGCTGCTCTGAATGGCCAGGTAAACTGAATATTCAATAATCTTTCCAGAGGTGACAGAAGGTGGCTCCCACGTTAGGTGGGCTCCATCAGGGCTCTGTTGATAGACGTGCATGGTTAGAGCTGCTCAATTCAATAACTAGGGTGGACAATATACAAATGACATTGCTTACCTTGCTGATTTTGATGGCACAAGGTGCTCCGGGGAAGCCAGGCAGGCAGGTCTTGAAAGCAGATATCTCAGAGAAAGAGCCACGCCCACAAGCATTTATTCCTGCTACCCTAAATTTATATGCTGTTCCAGGCTGGAGCTCCATTTTCTTCATTTGGCTATAGTCTGGCATTACACCAGAGTCATCCTATCAAATGCGACAGTTAATATAGATTTATTATTATTCAAACTGTTTTCAAAAATGTAATCAAGAAACATACATCTCCAAGAGAGTCATCCGATGGCACATAGTAGTGGGTGACAACCATATTAGTCACTTTTACTATTCCAACATCAAACCACTGATTCTCCTTCTTTACAACAGGCTTCACTGGGGCTGGTTGAGGAGCTTGTTTCTGCACACAAAAAAATACATTATATGCATGTATTTATTTTTCTCTTAAAATACTTGATTGTAAAGTCACTTACTTCTCCTTCTAGACCATTTGCTACTTCTGCTAAGGCCGCTGCTGCTTGCAGCTTGGCAGGACTAGCTACTGAAACAGAACCTGCAAATGTGCTTGATGGGGCTAATGCTGCAAAAAGAAAAAAAAAAGCTATGATTTGCCTGTTTGAACTATTTAAATTAAGTTAAATATTTTCCTTACTGTCTGAAGCAGTATGTGGGAGTAAAGATGCTACTGCACTTGTGACTGCTGCTGCCATTTCATTATGACCATTGCTTTCAACTGAGGGGTCATTGAGGCTGTCAGCGGGGGCTAGTCCTTCAGTGGGCATACTTGTGTCCACAGCACTCTGCTGAGCAGCTGCCTGAGCCTCCTGGAGCTGTTGCTGTTGCTGGACCAGTGCTGCCAGCTCCTGCTGTGTCAGCATTATTGGGATATTGGTGGTTTGCTGGCCCTCTCCAGCAGAGTCCCCCTCATCTAAAGACAAAAAACATCAACTGATAAAACTGACCCCAAAACACATTATATGGCTGGTACCAGACAGTGACTCACTCATGACTGCCTGCTGAGCAGCCTGGAGGACTGCCTGAATGGCTAGTGCTTGAGCCTCTTCAGTGGCTGCTGCCTGAGCAGCAGCTTCAGCTGCAGCGGTAACAGCCAGCTCCTCGTCCGACAGCCCAGTCACCATGAGTGATGTTGCTCCCTGACCCTCAGACATCAGCTCTGAAGGAAGGTTCAGAGCAGTGGATGCACCTGCTTCTCCCTGTGTCTCCATGGCTGTGGCTCCTTCCTCTGCAGAGGCAATTCCAGTTGACGTGTCTTCAGTTTGCATGGGTTCCTCAGTGGAGCTGGAAGCTGCGTTTGCACTTTCCGTGATCGAAGAGATCGACTAAAAAAACAACAACAAAATAGTCAGAACCTGCATTCATTTTAATAAAGGCACAGAGTACAGTAGTGTCTTTACTGGTACAGCAGGTCCCGGAGCAGGAGTAGACTGGGTTACAGTAGTAACTGCTCGGCCCTGGGTGGTGCTCACAAGGCCAGTGGCTGCTGTGGCGGTGGCTTCCTCTGTGCTGGCAGTAACTTCGGTTCCTTCTTCCGTTTGTTGGGCTAGCAACAAAGAAAACAATATAAATCCATGGTGTTTCCTTATCCCCATGATTTAAGTATATATGACAGGTTTTCATGTTTCTTTGTTACTTGGGTTAGTAGAATAGTATTACCTAGGGTAAGTATTTATCAGAGTTTTACATCAGTAAAGTGAAAAAGTTCAAAAGAAAAATACAGAAAGTAGCAGAGTTAATGCAGAGCAAAGTCTACATCAACAACACTGAAAATTCCATTCAAATGCAGGTTAAATTTATTAGCAAGGGACACATTTTTCTAAGACATTTAACAGTGTCCTCCATTTTTATTTGTAAAAACACTTTTCTGTAATTTAGGCAAGTTTTGATCCTTGTTACCATAATGGTTGCAGAAATGGAATTATCCATGTATGTCAAATCTGCTGTCCAAACAGGAAGTAAATCGATAAAATTCAATAGAATTTAAAAACAACTAGGAATATTTTTTAGTAAAATCTTTAAAAATATTATCATAATTAAAGGATGTATGGAGGATTTTTTTTTCATTTCAAATTGTCAATGATGGCATTATAGAGATGCAGTAGCCTTGAAATTATGATGACCAAAAAAAAAAGAATAAAAATTCATCAACTCTGGATGTGGTGGGGCTAAACATTTGCCAATAGAAAAGGAGACTGCCTCGTTATCTGTTAGCTGATAGGTTGTCAATCAAACTCCCTACGTTTCTAGTGTAACTGACTTGCCTGCGCACTGCCATTACGTGGTTTACGTACGTCTGTCACACAATCCACAGACGCAAGACGCACAGACGCTGTTTACTCCACCAACGCAACAGTTCTTAGCGGCTTTTTTGACTTATATCTTCTTGCAGTTTGCACAAAGTTTGTTGCAGTGGCAGACAAGAATCTACGAACAGTTAGCCGCAAAAGAAAATCAGTTTTTTTAGGTCGCTGAAAGAAGAAGACAAGGGGAAAAGCAGCAAAGCCAAACTAAGGTGATTCTTGGAGATTCATTCCAGCGATGGCGCGACTGAAGCAGACGAAGGGTCTAAAGACTGACGCACTGGTCGCTAAATTACTTCTGGACAGGTCACTTCTGCTTATTATGAAAACGTACTTTCTTTCCAAGAGCTAGACAAACGTTTTTCAGGACACGAATGCGACATCCCATGTCTGAAAACGTAATTTTCAATGCAAAGAAAGAGTTCGCTTGCTGCTGCGTGTTGTAGTAGTAGCAAGTTTATTCTTACGGAATCTCCACGCACCCCTCTCTGCACCCCTTCCTGCTCCTCTCCCTGCTCCCCGTTACACTCTTCTCCCTGTTCCTCACTTCTCCGTGCACGGAATCTCCGCACACCGCTCCTCTCCCCGTTCCGCTCTTTCCCCCTGCTCCTCACTTCTCTGCGCACGGAATCTCCGCGTACCCCCTCCCCTCGCTCCTCACTTCTCCGTCTTGCCTAACCAACACTGTAGTTAGTTGTTTACAAGTTATGTGCAGCGATGAGTACTTGTTTTCTAGAAACAAACCTGTTTCTGGCGTAAGGAGGAGGAGGGAGGAGGCGTTTCTACGTAGGGAGCTGTGGGGGAGGAGGGGTGGTTTCACGCATGCGCAACATTTGAAAAAGGACAAACAGTCGCTGGATTTCTCGTTCCTTGGAAAATCCTCTATACAACCTTTAATAACTATGATTTTGTGAAAAAGTACTCTAACCTGTCATATGCATGTTAAACTACGTATGTACAAACCTGTGCCGTCAGCCGTCTCCATACTGCACGTAGCTGTGGTGGCGGTGTTGGTGGTCCCTGTCTCATGAGTTTCACAGGGCGGATTGGAGCACACCCTCTGAGCCAAGCCTGATGCTGTACTCGTCTGGTCAGCTCCCATACTAGAGGTGGCAGTGGACGGGGTGTTGGTGGTCCCAGTCTCATGCGTTTCACAGGGCGGGTTGGAGCACACCCTCTGAGCCAAGCCTGATGCTGTACTCGTCTGGTCAGCTCCCATACTAGAGGTGGCAGTGGACGGGGTGTTGGTGGTCCCAGTCTCATGCGTTTCACAGGGCGGGTTGGAGCACACCCTCTGAGCCAAGCCTGATGCTGTACTCGTCTGGTCAGCTCCCATACTAGAGGTGGCAGTGGACGGGGTGTTGGTGGTCCCAGTCTCATGCGTTTCACAGGGCGGGTTGGAGCACACCCTCTGAACAGTTGCTGCTGGGCCAGCGCTCATATTGGACGAGGCCTGGGTGGGTGTGTTTGTGGTGCCGGTTACATGAGTCTCACATGGAGGGTTTGAACACACTTTCTGAACCCCTCCCATATTGGCAGAGGCTGTGGTAGTTGTGTTTGTTGTGCCAGTTTCATGAGTTTCACATGGTGGGTTGGAGCACACACGTGGTGCTGACATATTTGCAGAGGCTGTTGTGGCAGTGTTGGTGGTTCCCGTTTCATGCGTCTCGCAGGGTGGGTTAGAACACACCAGGGTGACTGTCCCAGACGCATCTCCAGATGCACTTGCTTCTGTAGAACTAGGTTGATCTGATGTTGGTGAGGCCAGGATTGATACAGGGAGGTCTTGTACAGGCTGAGCCTCAACTCCACTTGGAGTAGTGATAAGAGTTACCTGTGTGGGCTGGTTCTGGGGAAAAAAAAATGAAATCAGACAGATAATGGAGGACTTAAATGAAAAAGGTTTAAAACAATTACTGTTAAAGCTTATAAAATATACAGAATATTGTACAATACGTCAAGTAGTTGTGACGTGATATATTAAGAGGTGTCTTACCTGCACTGTGATTGTAGAGGAGGGCAGAGTGGAGGCAGAGGTCAGGCTCATCTGAGGTGCTGACACAGTAATGGCAGTTGGATTAATGACCTGACTGGACAGGGTGGCTATGGTCCCCAGTGTGGTTACAGGGGTGACCAACGATGCAGTAGAGGAGTCTACAGAACCTCCAGACAGACTGGTGGAGACTGTACCAGTGACTGTACCAAGAGTAGTGACACCTAGGACCATAGAACAAAAAGACGTGCGTATTTTTAGTGACAATATCCTTTTTACTTGACAAGGAAATGCACAAGTTTACCTGTAGTCCCCTTAACAACCAGAGTCGTGACAGTGGGTTTAACTGATGACACGGTCACTGGAGTAACAAGGCGAACACCCCCTACGGTGCTCATGGGCACAGTGCGCAGAATAGTGCCTGGTTGCCCAGGAGCACCCTTTAAAACCACCTGCACAAGAGTGGATATTAAATGAAAATGGATTTTTTTTTTTTACACTAGAACAAAGTTACAATAAATATGTACTACAAAATTCAGACTACCCGTACTGATTGTGTACATTTCAACATTTTAAAATATAAATTTAAATGTATTTATTAAATTATAAAATTTTAATTTTAAACATGCTGCTTAGAATGTGATCAGGTGTATGGTAACGGCTTTCCTGATATTTCATTGGTGGATTTTAAGGATGTGCAGTTTCTTACACACGTTGTCAAGTTAGCATGTTTGGTATGTTCTGATTTCAGCGTGTATTGGTAAGTAGCTGCATACAGATTACAGTTTCTGTCCCTGTGTTGTTGTCGCTGTCTGCACTGATGTCGTTAGTCTGTTTAGATGCTTTGGAGATCTGAAGGAGAATATCATATAACTAACTCAGCTCTACTCAACATTATTTAGTCTGCAAAAAACCTGATGCACTGAAAACCCAATTTTTACACCTGACCAAAGAACACTGGGTGCATTTTTTGAGATGTACTTAAGTACTTAATCTTGTAACTGGTTATTTACAACACACAGTAACTAATACATTTAGTCTTGGTTAACATAGCTAGCTATGATGGAAATATTTCAGTCCCATGCTTTCATGTAGCATGTTTGAGGAGTGTGTAAATTCACCCTTTACCTGTGTCAGTCCTTGTTGGCCAGCAGCAGTAGCCAATTTTGGAACAGCAGTAATGATTTTACCAGGTGTTCCAGTCGTCATCACCTTTGTTGTAAGGATTGTAATGGGTGATTTCAAACTTGTACTACTGGTGACACCTGCATTGGAAGAGAAGTATACCATGTTTATAGTATTAGTATTTGTTTGAAAGTAGATCAACCATTTGAAAATGAAGTACCTGTGGCCCCAGCCTGACTCATGATGGCAGACATAGGGATGGTCTTAATAATGGTGGTGCCTTGCTTTGTGGTGGTAGGTGAGACTCCACTAATGTTGAGGATTGTAGGCTTGTTTCCTGTGCCTCCAGCCTGTGAGGTGGTGATGATAGTCGTTGGCTTGCCATCTGCTGAGGTCACCAGTTTCAGGATAGTTCCAGCTGGAAGGGGACCCTTTGTCTGTAAATAGAACAACAAATTATACAAACCATCTGGACAAACTGATGGTGTCTGTCTCAGGAGTTTTAGGTTGTCTCCCATTTTCCTGCACTTATTCAAATAGCTGACCTGTATGATCTGTGTGAGAGGGTTAGTGGAGGCCTGGCCTGTGACAGCTGATGTCTGCACTGGCTTGGTTTGTACCACAGACATCATCTTGCCAAGGTTGGAGATCTGCCAACATAGGAGAGAGACTCAGTTTCATGAGTCACCAGCAAACACTGGGGAGCACAGGGATTTTAGTGGATTACTAATTTAATGGTATTTCTAAAAATTGACGTAACCATTATACATGCAGTTAATAACACCATGCTCCCCGTTTTCCGAGTTCTCCAACAGTCAACTTAACACCCTCCTCCACTGGATTACAACACAATTGTCACACTACAGTGACACAAAATAAGCTTGAATCGACATCAGGCAAACAGGTTATTGTAAGTTTTCACAAATTCACATTTTAAGTTGATTCTCTTACCAAAGTTCCACTGCCACCCATGGTGAGAGGACTCTTAACTAAGGTGATAGTCTTGGTAACTCCACCAACAACAGTAGTGACCACCTGGGCCTGCTGGGCAACTGTAACAGCACCTGACTTGTGGACAGTAATGATAGGTCTGGTAGTTGTAGGAGAGGCTGCAGCTGCTGTGCCAACCTGAGCAGCAGCAGTCTTAAGCATTCGAGTGGCTGGGTTGCTCACCTGTAATGTAAGAAATATAGTGATATTACTAGATAATTAAAAACAGAACAAAGAAGAAAGGTAATACTGCATGTACCATCACAGGAGAGGCAACTTTGACAGTTGTTGTACCAGGGGAAACTGCCACTGTTTTCAGTATTGTAGCACCAGCTGGAACGTTGAGGACAGTACCAGCTGAAGAGGGAGGAATTTTCTGAGTAGCTGCTGCAGCTGCTGCTAAAGCTGCCATGCCACTCATTTGTGGGCTACTTCCAATTGGCTGAAAACATTAAAATAAATCTTTACCATCAAGTTGTTCAAAGAGCAGATGACATGACGATGACAAAATACACTCACAGATCCTTGGGTGGTCTGGGCTGGAACAACCATTCTTACACCTGGTGGAAGAGCGGTTACTGTCACAGGGGACTTTCCAGGCTGGTTGGGGCGAACTGTGACTACTGAAGCTCCTGTGGCAGACTGTTGAGCTGCTACTTTTAAAACAGCTAGGACACAAAAGAGAATGACAGACATTTGAGCATGCCATCACCTGTCTGACAAAGGGTCAAAACTGCTTGAAGGAAATCACTTATACCAGTCTGTGTAAGGCTTTGAGCAGCGGGGGCTGCTGCAGCTGTAACAGGACTCTTTGGAGAGTTCACAGGCTGGGAGGGAGTTGCACTGACTAGAGGAGAAGCTGGAGTGGCAGGGATGTCATACTTTTGTAGCTGCAACAAATATGTATCAGCGGTAGAGACTGCTCCCCAGCTCACCTCCAGTGAGTTTGTGTTGGCACGGACCAACTGAACTCTGGCGGGAGCATGTGGTCGTTCTGAAAATAAAACCAGATTAATAAATAATGATCACATATTTCTTCAAACCACCTGAGTGATCCAATCCAAAGGCTAATTTGATAACATACCAGTCTCTAGGTACCATAAGTCTTTACAACACACTTGGTTGTTCCATGCTTTACGATAGCCATCACGCCCACTCCAAACATAAAGGCGCGAATTGATCGAAACAGCACAATGACCTGCACGGGCTCTGGGGATGTTATCCTCAAGGGTGTCCATCAGCACAGTTTCCCAACACATGGAATCTATGGAGAAAGGTATAAAACATAAAAACTAAACCACAGCAATTCTGTTTTGGAGTGAAGCCATTTAATCGATATTAACTTACCAAGATTTAGACAAGCCAGGGTGTTGGTACACTTCCACTCTTTTTCATGTGTTGCTACTTTAACATCATCCATTACCAAAGGAACCCATCCTCCAAAAACATACATCCTGTAAAATAGTACAACAGCTTTATTTCAATAACTGTTTAATGTTTAGATGTTTATATTAATAATTACACTTTTCTCACTTATTTGTAATAGTAGTTGCTGAGTGAAGACTTCTTGGCAGAGGCGCAGTGCCATTAACGGATGGTTTATTCCATGTCAGTGTATCTACAAAAAAAATAAAATAAAATATATATATATATATATATATATATATATATATATATATATATATATATACACACAAAAGGTCTTAACAAAACATTAAAGTTTGTTACTGTAATCAGTGTAATAGTTGCCATCGCCTGTGTCCCATGCCCCTTTGATAGTGTTCTTTAAAATTCATTATTGTTAAATTTCCACATTTGCATTACAATCATGTTTGTTTTCTGGTTTGTTTTACTTTGACACTTTTCCCAGTATTTCCATTTTTCGAACAGGAATTGCAATATTACATGTAACATGATACAGTGTTTGGTTGCAGTTTTGTTAATTATAGTGATAGACTGATGTCAACTAATGTTTTGTCCAAATCAACACAACCCTCTAAAAACATGCTTTCTAAAAATACTTGTAGAACAACATTTGCAGAACAACATTTGCGGGTGTTTTCCCCCTTATGGGTGGTTTTCAGATTCACATGGGGGTCAACGGTAAAGTTTTCCTATCAACTACATGGCACTTCATTCTTTGATAATTTCTATTACTGACTTTACTCTAGAAAGCACCATAAAACAAAAATCTGAATTTTAACATTATTATTAGCTGGTCTGCATTAAACATTACTGTCCTGTAGAATGTTGTCATGCCGTCAGAAACCTGGCAATATCTTACCAATATCAAGTGTCCAAAGATCTCCAAGGCGGCAACCACTCATTCCTCCATAGATTATTAAACGTGATTTTCTGCTAGTCTTTTCTGTGTATACAACAGCTGTGTGGCTCTCACGAGGAGGAGGCAGAACACCGTATGTTATCGGGATATCCCATCCAACCACACTGGAACCAGGGCGAAGTTCCAATGTGTACAAATCATTTAGATATCTGAGGAATAAAATAGAAATGATTATTTTCAATAATTATTTTTATAATTTTTGAACAATATGGCCAAAACATAAAAAAATTAAGCAATTGCATTGTTTACATATCTACACAAATTTACTGTATTTTACTTTATTGTAACTTAAGTTTACATTTCTTTAAGCTTAATTCTAAATGCTTTAATCAATGTGTTTAAAATGGTCCAGCATTAGTTTCTATTCTGTATTATCTTATCTGTATTAGAAGACCATCTCTGCTTTCACTCTGAAATCCTGCATAAAAATCTAACTCTGCATATAACAAAGTCTTGAGTAAACTTGTTATAAAATAAAAGAGGTCATGATTGAGTGCATTTACCACTCACACCTCAGTGTCTCTATGGATTTTTTCTCCCATGAGGCTGGTACGGGACAGAGCGGTTTGAATGTTCCCGTTGTCAAAAGCAAACCAAAACGGCCCGTTTGATGGGCCCAAAGTGGCCAATGTGAAGTTCTGCCTCGCAAAAGTAGTCTAGTGTAGACCAGCCCTGGAAAAGGTCTGGCTGAGCTACACAGCACTGTGCAATAATTAGACATGAGTCAATGTGGGTGAAGATGTCCAAAAACAAAAGCAAAATAAAACAAAAAATCATAATTTCATGACTACCGTTGACTTGTTCTAGTGATGAACAGACACGTTCCTAGAGATGGAACTTAAATGTTGAGCAAACATGCTGAACAAAATAAATCTGGCCTGCATTAACAAGACTAAAATAATTTTATTTCTAGAAGATATCACCACACTCAACGCATTTCATGAACAGATGGTAAATCTGCCTTACAATGATTAAAACGCACAGTTCTGGCATAAATTATGTTTTTCCCCTACATTTGTTGCACTTTGGTGATACCAGACTGCCTTGGCTCCTATATCATGTAACTAGTAGTTCTTATAGAATAACAGAGTAGCTACATGGTTTGTTGATCTTGTTTTAGAAAACAGGGTCACAAGTTGGGCACACACTTTTCCTCAGGCAACCACGTTGGAAGTGACCTTCAATTGTTAATTTAGCAATTTTTCACATTGCCAATTATCAAAACACAAATTAATTCAATTTATTGCCCTGTCAAATTAATTCAATTTATTGCCCTGTCATATTTAACTGTCTGATAACATGACCTAAAAGTATACCTTGGAATATTGTTTTTTGGATCCTCACTGTCATTGGCAAGCCCGCCAAAAAGGTAACACTTGTTACCCACAAGAGAAAAACTGTGCCCAAGACGAGGACAGGGAGGGGGGCCATTCTTCGGATTTTTAGCTTTTAACTTTTTCCACTCCCATCTGCTGGCCTAAAAATAAATTAAGTAAATGAAAATAAGGAATAGAGTAACATATAATGTGTTATTATTAACACGATTTTATATAGAATAGCATAATTGTTACCTGCAGTTCATAAAGATCGTTGCTGTACTTCCCATACTCGACCATACCACCAAACACTAGTAATCTAGTACCATCACAGACAAAGCCATATGCAGCACAACCAGGGGGGATATCACCACGAACTGCTGGTATGAACCACTGATTTGTAGCTAGAAATGAAAACAAAAATAAAGTAGCTGTTATTAGACATATAATGACCACCACATATGGACAGGCTTCTCAAGAAACTTTTAATCCCGCCTTTTTTAATGTATTATGAAAAAAGCCCAGCAGAGGGCGCACATTATATATACATTTTGCTTGGTCTTTCGATGCACTAAACAAGTTTACACTCAACATTTTAAGTTATAGAGCAGCAAAACGTTGATCTTTGTCTGGTATAAGAACAAATAATACAGACGTAATAATGTTAAGTCACCTGTGTTGTAGACGTGTAGTTCATCCACTATCCCCTCGTTTCCGCCGCCAAAGACAACCATAAGTTCTTTGATGGCTACAGCTCGGTGTCCGTGTCTGGGACGCGGGACCGGGCCAGACCATCCTAGGACCCGCTTCCACCGCGGCTGCAGGACCGACGCCGGGGTCCCAGTCACCGCGGAGCCAGGGACAGACATGACTCTGTGGTCGGGAGATAAAGAGTGTTTTTATAACGAATCATGATATTAAAGTTAACTTTTCCGAGTTTCCGAGCACCGTAGGTGCGAGCAGTGCACCTTGCATTATTCATTACACTTTGTCTATAGCCGACACCTATGTAAAAGTTATTGATTAGACAATCAATTATTACAAAACGAATATTGTTTCTAACAAATGAATTCGTTATATAGAAGGAGCCATCTTGCATCAAACAACCCCGCTAACACTAGCAAAGCTAAAAAATGGCGGAAGCAAATGAATAACAAAGATTACATTCTTTGGGCCTCATGAACTAAATAGTATTTAAGCAGCTAGAAACTGCCTCGATTCAGTAACTCACGGACTCCCCACCTCGGGCAAACATTTAATTCAAAATTATTGAGTTAGCAAGAGCCTGCTATTTTCATGCCTCTCTGGGAGTCGCCATATTGTAGCTAGTAAGCTAAGTAGTCTTTGCATTCAGGTTCTAGAGCAATTTACAACCTCAATGTAACGTAAAAGACATTGAGGCAGCTTCCAACCTATGAAACAACAAAGTAATTGTTGAAATTAATTGGTTTGTGAGCGCGCCTGCAACACTTATGCTATTTCTGGTACTACAGTCCGTTAGCGTAAAAGGCTAGCTTCTCAACCCAATTTACTGAAGCTAACACCGTTAGCATTACGATTGGCATCTGTCAAAATGTTGCCCCATTTACAATAAAGTGCAATGGTATTGTGGAGTTATGGGTTATGCATAATGCACCTGACACAAAAAGAATTGCAAATGCACAGCCAAAACGCATCTAAACATAGCGTGAGTGTATAAACAGTGTGTTATTATGTTTCATGCCGTCTCTGGAAGCAGCCATCTTTTCGACGATCGGCCTACTTCTACAGCTCCCACAAGAAAAATGGCCGGGCGGTTTGCCACAACAAAGCATAATTACCCTCTAAAAAGCAACAGTTCCATAGTTCACTTACTTATTTTGGTGCAGTGGTCAAAGAAGCACTGGCAGGCTCTTTATTCTTGCAAAATTAATCCAAATTCATTCGATTTTTGCAGAAGTATTTCCTCTCATGCCTGCCTGGAAGCTGCCATCTTCTTGACAACTAGAGGCGGAGGAAAATGGTAGAGTTGGCGTCACCCGAAGTAAACATGGCGACAGAGCCGCTTGCAGCTGCTTTTGGGACTACTTTACTCAAGTATGTTAAGCTTTCAGTTTGATCACGTTAATAAACCAGACTCCAAAACAACATTGGGATTCCAATGCATTAAACATCAACTTTGAAATGATGATAGCAACTAAAACCCTATTGTTAAGGTTATTGTCCCTTAGTAAAGATGGCGACATCCGCACACGGCACTAGCCAATTAAAATTCAAATGTTTAAGAAGAAACGTACGTATATTTACAAAAACATTTTGGGAGTTAACCATGATGTGGTTCATACATACTGACGTGGGATTTGTCTGTGCTGTTGCATTTGATGCTATTTTAATAATTTTGCTATCGCAACGATGATGGCTTGCGCACATCGACTTTGCCACGCCCACATTGCACTGCGCCCTCCACGGGGAGTAAGTAGTAGTGATCTAGTAGTGGGCTTAAGTAATGCATAAGAATTATATCCGGGGGGGATATGATACAGTTACATATAATTAAGTCAAGTGAAGTGAAACTCTTTGATAGAGGCTAGGATGTTTGTAGGCTATTGCCTTATTGGTAGTTTCAGAATCTAAAATCTGATAATGGGACCAAGACAGATTTCCATTTTGGTTAGGCTAGGTATTTTGATAAAAATAAATAAATAAATAAAATAAATCTAAAATATAATTAAATGTTGGACTTGATCTTTTCTTTTAGTGCCTAGATCCTAGAACTCACAGAATAACAACAAAACATTGCAGTTTACCATTATAAAATGTTTCAAAAAAGAACACACAAGGCTATTAATTTTAGCTGACCCCCACCTGTACTGCATATTATTGGCTTGTAGAATGTTGAATGCATGCTGTCGAATATCTGAAACTCAGCAGTGGGGTATGCTAACATAACATGAAAATTAAGATTCTTGGCTCTTTTAAAAAATGTAGGCCTATTGCTATATTGCACTGACAAAATAACTGATTAATAGGCTATATAATTGAGCAAGACTAGATGTTTTGGACAAACATGACATGGACAAACATCAAAATATATAAATAAATAAATAAAATACTACTACTACTACTACTACTACTACTACTACTACTACTACTACTACTACTACTACTACTACTACTACTACTACTACTACTACTACTACTACTACTACTACTACTGCTACTACTACTACTACTACTACTACTACTACTACTACTACTACTACTACTACTACTACTACTACTACTACTACTACTACTACTACTACTACTACTACTGCTACTACTACTACTACTACTACTACTACTACTACTACTACTACTACTACTACTACTACTACTACTACTACTACTACTACTACTACTACTACTACTACTACTACTACTAATAATAATAATAATAATTAATAATAAAACATGAACAGAGCCAGACACTGTCATAAATATTATCTATTTGCATTTTTGTGAATAAAAAAGGTTGAAAAAATCCTAGCCTATTTTGCGAATCAGGTCAGAAAGCAAGTAGGTCTAAATCAAACAAACTGGCCTAGTGTAATACCTTTAATGCAACTAATGTAAGGGTTTAGCTGTGATAAGAGCCTTAGAAAAGATTTTACAGACTGATCACATGAAGGCACCATCATGTCATGGGCCACAACCTAGATCAGGATTAACCTTACCAGGTGAATTATGACAACGGGAAACATCCTGTGTTTTCTTTCTTTTTTTTTTTTTTTTTTTTTTTTTTTTTTAAACTTTTATTTAAATCTTCTTTTCATCATCACAAGATACAATATATGGATCTCAACTGTCCCACCCAAGAGTTTGAAACAGTTCTGAATCTGAAAAGATATCAAATAAATATTTTAAACAGGCTATATTCTTTTTTCTTTTCTTTTCTTTCTTTCTCTTCCAGAACCTGCTGGGCTTAAAAGTGGGCAGAACTAACATTCAGACATTTATCTTATGTCTTTTTAAAATTATGGCTTTTGAAATGAGTAAAATAACTTATTTAACTTTATTAACGATAAGCTTTAGATTTTAGGTTTTGTTTTCCATGTCTGTGTTATTGGGCTTTGTATAGTAGAATATTTAATTATTGTTATTATTTTTTCAAAGATCTTACTTTCTTTTCTTTTTTTTTGTTTCTGTAAACAAGTATAGGCTACTTGTAAAAAAAAAAGAAAAACAAAGACACTTCTGTGGGTGTGCTGCCAATCTGTAATCCGTCCTTTTCCTGACAGGGTAACAAAAGTAGAGATCATCCATCCTAATACCAGCAGAAAGCAGTTTACCTGGGGGAATACTGAATGTGATTAGCAACAGTATTAGCGGTGCTGACTGGATTTGCATGCAGCTGAATGCAGCTTCAGATTAGTTCCACCATAACTAACACAAATAACCTCACACAGTTATTCCAAGATAAACACTTTGCAGTGTTTCACAAGTTCTTGAATATTCTCTCATATTTTTGTGTGCAGTTTAATTTATTTTTTATAATTCCTTCTGATAATTTATCTTTGTCCTTCATGCTATTTTGTGCCATTGAAGCCATTTGTGGCTTCCAGCTGTTTTATAATCTCCCTAGGTAATTGAGACCTATTAGTAAATAAACCTCTGAACTATTTAATGAGATAACAGGTTTAGTTAATTAAAAGTTTAGTGGGACAGCCCTATAAATGTACCTGCAATCATATTTTGTGGCCATAAAGCTAAGGTGCGCAATCAAGCAGAATACGGAGTAGCAAATGCAATTCTGACACTTTTTAATAAGCAAAGATGAAGCACGGACGTGTTACAGAGCTCCCAGAGGACTTCTATATCCCCATCCCATTAGACACAAACAACATTACCTCTCTTAGTCCCTTCCTTATTCCTCAGGACCACTTATCAAATCCTGGCACATTTTATGCAATGTCCGTTTTCATGTTTTTCATATTTACCGTGGGCACTTTTATTAATGCTCTTACTGTTGCGTGCACCATTCAATACAAAAAGCTGCGATCCCACCTCAACTACATCCTGGTAAACCTGGCCATCTCCAACCTTCTTGTGTCCATGGTGGGCTCCTCCACTACATGCGTCACTTTTGGATTCAGATACTTTGTCTTTGGACCACTGGTATGTAAGATCGAAGGCTTTCTGGTGACACTTGGAGGTAAGAATACAACTTTATTACTCATGGAATATATGAATCTATACGAAGATTAATGTTCTGCATTTCCAGGTATGGTGAGCCTGTGGTCTCTTACTGTGATTGCCTTTGAGCGATGGCTTGTCATCTGTAAACCAGTGGGGAACTTTATCTTCAAACCAGATCATGCAGCCGCTTGCTGTGTTTTCACTTGGGTCATTGCATTAGTTGCATCTGCACCTCCACTATTTGGATGGAGCAGGTGTGACCATAAGACACTTTTTTTTTCTTCAATTTAATGGCTTTAATTATTGTTATGGAGTAATAATTTTATTCTTGTAGGTACATCCCTGAGGGACTACAGTGTTCATGTGGTCCAGACTGGTATACAGCCAATAACAAGTACAACAACGAATCCTATGTGATGTTTCTCTTCTCCTTCTGCTTTGCTCTTCCCCTCTTTGGCATCTGTTTCTGCTATGCTCAGCTGCTACTTACAATGAAAATGGTAAGACAATGCACTTTTTTGATCTTAAAACTACATTAGAAAAGTGACCATCTTAACTCCTTGGTTTACTTTTTATAATCACTTTCTAAAAAAACACTGCTTAGAAATAATCATGGAACACGATGAACACTGAACCAAAGGATCACAGCTAAAGGCAGACCACTATACTTAAAAGCTCCTCATATAAATTCAGGTGCAAAAAAAAAGACTTGAACTGGATTTTTAAACTTGTTTTAAGTGTTCAGATCAGATTGAATTTAATTGCTTATACAAGGAACAATATTCTCTGGTATAAAGACAAATATAACTTGTTGTGAGATAATTAAGCTTGAAGTAAGAAAATTTGTCAATGAGGTAAAATTGTCGAATTTTCTTCAGGCTTAATTAGCCTGCAATTAGTTATAATTGTCCCCATTCGCAAATCATTTGGTCTTGGTTCATACACTTAATACATCTTAACTTGTCAAAACAACTGAAAAAAACAAACAACAAAAAACATCCAGAATTTAAATACATTTACTTCATCTAGAAACTAGTGATGTTATCTATGTATTTAATCATGTATGGCACTTTTTACACAGCAACAAAATTTCCATTCCACTGAGTCAAAAGTGGGTTAGGCACCTCTAAATGTAATTGTAGGGATGCTTATTATGTGCGAAAGCCAGGTTGTGATTGTGCACGTCTCTTCAATCAGGCGGCTAAAGCACAGGCTGAGTCTGCCTCTACCCAGAAGGCTGAACGGGAGGTCACCAGGATGGTGGTGGTCATGGTGGTGGGCTTCCTGGTGTGCTGGTTGCCCTATGCCACTTTTGCCCTATGGGTGGTCAACAACCGAGGGGAAACTTTTGATCTGAGACTGGCCTCAATCCCCTCTGTGTTTTCTAAATCTTCTGCTGTCTACAACCCAGTCATCTACATAGTCCTCAACAAGCAGGTAAACACAACATTCTATTTAAAAGTGGCATAGGAATTTATGGTGTTGTGCATAGAATATAAATTCATTTGCATTTTGTTGTAGAAGTTCATGCATTTCTTTAAAAAATTAAGTGAAAGACTACTTATATGAACATACCTATTTTAGGCTTGTACAGAAAAGACATGATTTGTTGTCTGTTTCAGTTCCGCTCTTGCATGAAGAAGATGCTGGGGATGAGTGGAGGAGATGATGAAGATTCCACTGCAGCTTCTTCTGTGACAGAAGTGTCTAAGGTTGGCCCAGCTTAAATGTTTCCTGCAGGAACCTGACTATTGCACTTGTAAATATATAATGTATGTTTATTTATGCAATAAACCACATAGTGAAACTGTTTTTTTTTTTTTTGCACAGCAAGACTTAAAAAATCTAACAAAAAAAGAATTATATTAAAGTTAAGGTGGCAAGTATTACCTGCTTCTGGTTTTATTTAGTAGTGCACTTGTGTGTGTGTGTATTTTATTATTACACATTCCTTACATCAAACACTCCAGGAGATTTGTACCGCACTGAAAAGGCAAAGTGCCAAAAGGCTCAAACCTCCAGCTTGATTTAAGATCCACAAGAGGATTGTAAAGAGATACCTCACATCAGATTAGTGTCTAAAGTCAGATTATCTGCACACAAATCCTCCATGTTCTTCCTTCCTAGAGGGATTAACCTGTTTAAAAGGTATTAGTTATATATGTTGGTTATACACAGACCAAATTCTGTATCTACAGACTTTTATATTCTTGTATAGACAATGCTGCTAAAGTTATTGCTTGTTGCCAAACATAAATGTGTATTGTGGTATGAAAATGTTTCTGTTAATGGGCCTATATTGAATGAATTCATTTTGTGTGTGCATTTTGCTACACATACTAACTGGATCTAAAACATTACAGCAAGTAAGTATTTTAGGTACGAGCCATTTTCTCATCAAATAAAATAATATTGAGTGATGCAGGCACCACTATTCCATAGCAAAATTAATGTCAAACCAAGGGGTATACCGATAAGGCAAGATACCGGGATCGGTATCGGCTGCGAAACTAAGCATTTTAGTGTATTGGAATGGATTGGATTTTGTGAATGGATCGGGCGATATACGTGATATCTTCACGGAGCAGAGAGGGAAACAAAACTTTGGACAAATCGAATGGTGGCGCAAAGCAGAACTTGCTTACTTGTCTACATGTGTTAAATAATCATGTGCTCTGAGCAGGCTTTTTTTTTTGTCTTTTTACAGGCCTCAAACATAAATGATATGGTGAAAAAAACTGTCTTTTCAAACAGTAAGATAGAACATCACCAATATCTCTGTTACAATATTCTTAAGATGCTGTACTGTGAAGGATAGACATACATTGTTTTACAATATTTTAACAAATTATTACTATTTTGAAGTAGCCTAGACCTTTTTATAGGTTATCTTCAAATAATTTTATTCAACTGGAGCCAAATTCACCATGGAATAGACTATTCCATTAATTATAAATGTACAGTATATAAATTGTCTAAGTAAAATGATTAAAAAAAAGAGAAGATCGGTATTTGGATGAGATCGGAACGGTATAGGGTATTGTAAATTGGCTTATTAAAATCTGTATCGAACTGGGAGCCAAAAAAGCTGGATCAGGACATCCCTAGTCAAAACAAGTACATATATAGTAATACTGGCAAAAAGTAAAATTCATAATTTGTAATAATTCAACATTTTTGCCTATTTATAATTTACATTTTACATTTCAGCAAAGGTTCAGTGCTGCAGCAGTTAGATTAGGTCAGAGTTTTAAATCATTCACACAAATGAGTATGAGATCATAAGAAAAATGAAAGTTTAAATGTTTAAAGTTCATAATCTGTCAAGAGAAACCATAGACATACATTCGTCAATGTTTAGTGCAGATATTTAGCATTTGTATTATTTCTCCCACGGATAAATGTCCACTCCATGTCACCAGGGGCCTGCATCTCCCGACATCTAAATGCCTGTGTTCCAGTTCTTATAATTTTAATATCTAAGCATAATCTGTTCAGATTTGTAAGAATTTTGTATAGGACATGCTCAATGCAGTCATTTCTTTCACAGATGACCTCAGTCCACTTTCAGTCAGCTCATCTTCTTCAGATTGACTTGTCATCTCAAACTGTAATCCCTAACTACTTGGTCAAAAGGTGGCACAGTATATGTCTGGTAAATTCAGTAGGGTGTGTGTTTCATGGATTCTCTGTAAACCAAATCCTTAGTAGCTTTCTGCTCATCCAATTAGGTTAAGTAGTATAAAATTCCCATAAGTTCCTACAAATGCAGGTTTAACTCATCTGGTAAAGCACAAAAGCACAAAGCCAGAGCAGACCTCTTCATTTTCAATCTGATGTAACGGCTCAGAGGCACTTCCCTTGGTTTGTTCAATATTTCAGCTCAAAAATATGAGGGACAGTCAATCAATGGAGTTCCATGATGACTTCTGGATCCCCGTCCCCCTGGAGAGCAACAACATCACTGCTTTCAGCCCATTCCTAGTGCCACAGGACCACCTGGGCAGTGCAGGCCTCTTCTATGCTATGTCTGCCTTCATGTTCTTCTTGATGGTGACAGGCACAGGCATCAACACGCTGACTGTTGCATGCACGCTTCAGTACAAGAAACTGCGTTCTCATCTCAACTACATCTTGGTCAACATGGCCCTGGCCAACCTGTTGGTGTCCACCATCGGCTCTTTTACCTGCTGCTTTTGCTTTGCCTTCAGGTACATGGTCTTGGGACCACTGGGATGCAAAATTGAAGGTTTCACTGCAACCGTTGGAGGTAAGGCATAGAATTTTTTGTTGCCATATAGCAAACCAGTTACCACCTTCCTGTATCCATCCACATGTGGCTGAAGAATAGTGTTCATTGTCGTGCCAGTATACAGTGGTTTTCTACAGAGATTACTATTAGAAGGTTGTGCAAAAATTAAAAAGTAAACCATACAATTTCACTGTGAAAATATACTGCATGATCCTCCAATTTCTCCTGATCAATGAAATGTCTCTCATATCTATCATGGCTGTGATGGTTTTGCACCTTCTTCAGCCCACCTGAGATTAACTCTACTAATTGGTCCTCATTTGAAGAGGTATATAGTCTCTCCATGAAAGCCCTTAATTCACCATTGGAGCAAACCTGAACCAAACAAGGTCAGGTTCTCAGACTAAAGTGATCCATCTATGACAGTTCTGGTGCAACAAGATTGTGAGAGTGAGTTGTGGGACAAGAAATGGAAATTACCCCATGGCCACAATCACGTGTGTTTACAGCATGTACAGCATGCATCATGTTCATTCTCAGAATTGCCAGGATGTTGTAATGCTGCAGTGTTTTTTTTGTGTGTTTTTTTCTGGTAAAGTAAATAATATTAATAGCATGTGCCTCCAGGTATGGTGAGTCTCTGGTCTCTGGCTGTTGTTGCATTAGAGAGATGGCTGGTGGTTTGCAAACCATTAGGGAATTTCATGTTCAAGTCAAGCCACGCCATTGCCTGCTGTGTCATCACATGGGTCTTTGCTCTGGTTGCTGCAGTCCCCCCACTGGTGGGATGGAGCAGGTTAGACATTTACTCACTGAATATTATGTCTTCAAATAAAATAGTATAGTGACAGACCATATGTGTTGCAGGTACATCCCAGAGGGGCTGCAATGCTCCTGTGGTCCTGACTGGTACACCACTAACAACAAGTACAACAATGATTCCTATGTGATGTTTCTTTTCTGCTTCTGCTTTGCTGTCCCTTTTTGCACCATTTTATTTTGCTACTCACAGCTACTGTTCACACTGAAATCGGTAAGCTCCAGTGTTTAAAGTGTGACTAGTCAGACTGGGCATCACATTTGAAGTGCATGAGGCCGACCTATTCCATTTTCAATACTCCCAATGCCAAGAAAGAAATTTGGACATAAAAAAACTGCATTTCTTCAGAATACCACCTTTTCTTTTTAAAAGATAATATCTTAATTGTATGTAGGTGTACATGTTTTGGGGAATTTACCAAACATTACTGGAACAGTAAAAAAGTCCAATAAGGAAACATAACTGATTTGAGGGCATACTTGTCAATAATTATACATCTTCTTTATAGGCAGCAAAAGCACAGGCAGAGTCTGTATCTACCCAGAAGGCCGAGCGAGAGGTAACCAGAATGGTGGTGATCATGGTGCTAGGCTTCTTGGTGTGCTGGATGCCGTATGCCTCCTTTGCCCTCTGGGTGATTAACAACCGCAGAGAATCTTTTGACCTGAGATTAGCCACTATCCCCTCCTGTTTCTCAAAAGCCTCCACAGTCTACAATCCAGTCATCTATGTCCTGCTCAATAAACAGGTGCCTTTACATTAAATACTATAATAGACCTGCTATAATACATTAAATACATCATCTTTTTTTTTTTTTTTTTTTTTTTTTTATCTAGTTCCGTTCATGCATAAAAGAGATGTTGGGGATGAGTGACAGTGATGAGGAGTCCTCCACAGCTACGTCAGTCACGGAAGTTTCCAAAGTAGGACCTGCTTAGAATACACATAATTACTGTAAATATTGTGCAATGAACTGAAAAAAAAAAAAATAATAATAATAATAATAATAATAATAAAATAAAAATTCTGTATTATATAAATAGAATGTACAACTGAGAAAATAATGGAGAAATAAACTTTGAATTAAAGAATTGTTATAAGCACAGTGTCTCCAGTTGAGATTATCATTCTTCCACTAAGAATGCATTTTGGGTTTCAACACTTCAACTCATACATGTACTTTGGGTGAATTTAATGAACTGGTGCTCATAATTACACATATTTTGTTTCTTTTCTGAACCATAATAGGATTTTTGCCACTAGGTGTCATACTAAACCACAAGCCTCTCTCTCCCTCCCTCTTTTTTCCCACCGTTGCCTCTCGCATCAGCTCGGATTAGACATCAGGGGGTCTGCTCTCACTGACCTGCCCCTCACTTCTGTTAGAAACATTATGAAAATACAGAACATTGACTGAATAGTACCACTAAACTCGGGCGTGATAATAATAATTTATTTATTCTAGTTGTCTTACTACTACCTGTACCCAGTATGGTATGGTAGTGTTAGTACCCAGTCCACCCGCAGCGTTTGAACAGGTAATCTGTGTTCCATAGGAATGCATTTTTGACACAGTTCACAAGGGGCAACATGTGGTCATGTAGAAAATTGCACAAAATATGCCCTCTGGTGTTCAAATGTGGAATTTGGAGGAATTATTATTGTTAGACATTGCACCTTTAAAGGTATTATGACTTATTCTAATACAGTTATGAACGAGGGAGTCACATGCAGTTTAAATGTCATAGTTAAAATATGTGGTATTATAAACCTGTAAAGCCATCAAAAGATTATTTATTTCAATACAGTTTACTTGTTGTAAAGTTTCCATCAGAACTTTGGTTGTAAACAGTAATCTGAGATTAAAGGCTAAAGAACATTTATTGAAATATTCTTTTGCGAAAAGGGAAAAAGTAAAAAAATCAAAATCAAATCAAGTTAAAAAAAAATCTAATATTGTGAAGTATATTGAAATTGAAGGACCACACAAAACACTGATGTAACTTTTTGAAAATCACAGTTCATTCCATCCTGATCATAGCAAAAACATGCATAACAACAAATATAAGCATCCTGCCTGTGTAACAATAACACAAAGCTGTAAACAATACATTGAGCAATATGACAGATGCAAGTAGGGCCTAGATATTTTATTTTAACATGACCGGCCAACTTTAAATATGATGTTTTAGTCTATGTAGCCTATTTGCATAAAGGTGACTATAACATGGATCCTCCTAATGTATAATGTAGGGAGAATTTAGGACTTTTATTCACATTTAAAAATATGTGGATTATTCGTTCATGGCCTAAAAACAATGCATTTTGTGGCTGAAAACAAGAGGCTAGATGAAAAGTCTATATAGTGGTTTTGAAAGCTCAAATTGGCCTTAAATGCATGGCAGGCCTTAACAAAAAGCCTGTTCAACTTTTCTGATCATCTTTTTTGTCTAGCCCTGGATTAAATATTGCTAATGACAAAATCTGCCATATTTGATATAGGTCCACACGTAAACTAACTCCAAGACACGAAACACATGCAGCACATTTCCAACTGTAAGTACATTTATACAAACCTTGACTGAAAAGCATTACATTAATGAGAGATGAACTCATACCAGGCTGGTCTCAAATGCAGAGTTCAGCTCACATCAGTGTAAGTGGACCTCCTGCTGGTCAAACGGAGTGCTCAGCTGGCAATCGGGGGCAAATCTGAGTTCTGCTAGTAGTGAACTTTTAATAAACACAATTAGCTCAGAACTAGCGGAATTCCAGACATACCCTCGAGAAATCAGGCCATCACACCTGAGCATTGCAGAAAATAACAAAATAAATAAATAAAATAAAATCACAGCAACTTGTAGTACTTTTTTTTTTTCAATCCATGTCCTCTTGATGTGCAGTCCCACGAAGAGTCCACAAAATATGCAGGCCAGTTACGTGAGGCAGAAATCACATGTGGAATAAAGCACATGTCATTAAGGCATTAACAGGTAGCTCCTTTTCAGCCTTGTGTAACCTTGGTCCTCCCCTCACCTGAACTAGTGTCCTAAAGCCCTTATGGGTCTTACGGATGCACGCATGTCACCTCTCATTATGCTAAATTCGTTTAGACTTGGTCCGTATAATCCTGCAGTGATTACCGGCTCAAACAGACGGAGGATTCACTCTTGAGACGGATGGTAAGTTTTGGTCAGAAAACAGACAAGCACACACTAAAACAGGCATAACTAGGCTAGTGGGCTATATTAGAAAGTGGTAGACCTATTAAGATGAGTGCATGCAAAAGAGCACTGGACATTGTAGGCTTTGCTTTTTCCATCCATCAAAAACATAGGTTTATATTGTAATGACTGTTATTGAGTTTGTCTTGACGAATTTTGTTTTGTCATACTTTGGCATCTTTGTTACTGTAGAATGAGCCAAATATACAATTAGAAATTAGTTTTACTCAAATTAATAGACTATAGATATGAATGCTGCAAACCCTAATGTGATCATCACAAATGTTTCACTGTCACAGGTCTAAAAAATCATGAACTGAAAGTCCTGAATGAGCTAAAGAGTTACAGCATTTAATTCTACAAGCTACAAACCCAAGGGAACTCATCACTCAAACAATGCCACCAAGCATGAGCATTAGAGTTAGAGCATTAGACCTGGAAGAGTAGCAGGTCGTAATGCAGCCTAGACTATGAGGAGGTCATATTGACAAGGATGTCCTGTCTCATCCATTTTTTGAATGCTGAACATCTGTGCAGGGGTGAAGTTGGCTGAGCTGGCTTTGCTCCTTGGCTCTTAGGTGTCCTTAAGTGTAGCTATGTATAATACATGGATTTGTTAATATTTTGTGCCCTGCAGTTAATGCTATATTTTTATCACATAACAAAATGTTTTTTGCACTCTTTTAAGATGCAGTGAAACAGCAACTAAAACTAGCACAAGCACCAGCACAAGCCTGGATGAATGAGGGCATTTATGTCAATCTGTGTATAATAACGAAAAACAACACAACACAACATATTCATATGGATTACCAGGACGTACCAAATGAAGTTCATGTTGCTGAGGTCAGATTTTATTTCTCTTTTCACTTTCTTCTGTCAAATTACTGAAGAAAGTGGACCAAGCAAGCTTTGCATGTTCCAACTAGGGCAGATGGTAATCTCAAGGTGCTTTAGTCTCCTACATCTTAGGATCCAATCCGGATCCATTAATTTAAAGTGCCTAGTCCAATTAGGTGCGACACTTGTTGTTCTTTTCGTGGACTTTAACGAGAAGTAATTAAGTTACAACTACTTAAATACTGATGGTACAGGTGCCATCCGGTTGCAGGACTCAAAACAATGACCATGTTTTGGCCAAACCCTTTATATTCAAATATATCTGAAGTGTATTGGCTAGTGATTATTGGCGTAAATCAGGGCAGTTTGAATTGAAGAGGCAGGAAAAATACAGTATATGTAACTTATATGCAGTGGTTATCATGGAGCAATAATTGAATATTGTTAAAATGGGCCGGGCAAATTCTCATACAGGAGCCAGTTATATCTGGCACTGTGAAGGCATCAAAAAGTCAGGCTAAAATGTGAGGAAGTTCTGTTGATTTATTTGTTAATCCAGACAACAGTCTTATCATAGATGAGACGTGACACTCCCATACTCTTCCTCACATCACTTGTTTTAGTGTAACAGCAATGCATAAAAAAATCTCCTGCTCTTCATTTCACTGAACAGTTTAGATTAGGGGTGGCACATCACAAGCTCTAATGGTAAATCTTATTTAACAAATGCTTTTAGGCCTTGCTTCTTTACTTCCACATGATGGTATGTGAAACAGTGATAGTCTCACACAATGCACAGCAACTGTTAAAGGCTCTTCTACAGAAAAGTTTGATTCCTGTATCATCTTAGATGCTAGTAGGGCATACAGAAATCCTATTTCTAATGAGATTAATCTCACATCTTACGCACATCTTAACCTCATTAGCTAACTTTTAATTACTGATCCATGAACGTTCACACTGGTTATTAAGCATTGTGAGCTAATCCAATAGAAAGGTCTCAAGAGGCGCGCATATAAAAGCTCAAGTCTGGAGAGTGTTATCAGAGCTCCAGGAGGTTTGACAAGTCCAGCTTCTACAGGACCTCCACCAACAGACAACAGCATGGCAGAGGAGTGGGGCAAACAGGTGTTCGCTGCCAGGCGGTACCACGAAGACACAACAAGGGGCTCTGCATTTACTTACACAAACAGCAACAACACAAGAGGTATGCTCCATGCTTACATATTTCTGCATATTGTTACATACATTAAAACAGTGAAGTACATTTATAATGCATACAAACATTTCTGAGTGGCAGAAGTCCACTTAATTTGACTTTATTGTATTTCAGATCCCTTCGAGGGTCCCAACTACCATATTGCCCCGAGATGGGTGTACAACCTTTCCACAGTTTGGATGTTATTTGTGGTTGTTGCATCGGTGTTCACCAACGGTCTTGTATTGGTGGCCACAGCCAAATTCAAGAAACTGCGCCACCCTCTCAACTGGATCCTGGTCAATCTGGCTATTGCCGATCTTGGAGAGACAGTTTTTGCCAGCACCATTAGTGTTTGTAACCAGTTCTTTGGCTACTTCATCCTTGGACATCCCATGTGCGTCTTCGAGGGATACACAGTCTCTACTTGTGGTAACTGCTCAAACACAATGAGAGAATGATATGTGCTCTTTTTTGGTCATAACATTTTCTTTTTCCTTTTTTTTTTTTTTTTTTTTTTTTTTTTACCATGCAGGTATTGCTGCTTTGTGGTCGTTAACAATCATCTCCTGGGAAAGGTGGATTGTTGTGTGCAAACCATTTGGAAATGTTAAATTTGATGCAAAGTGGGCCTCTGGTGGAATCATTTTCTCCTGGGTTTGGGCTGCAGCCTGGTGCTCTCCTCCTATCTTTGGATGGAGCAGGTAGCATTATGTCTTCACGGCGAACAGACTGATGTGGATTCCAGGCTAACTAGTGTTTCTGATCAGGTACTGGCCTCATGGACTGAAGACCTCCTGTGGACCTGATGTGTTCAGTGGAAGTGAAGACCCTGGTGTCCAGTCCTATATGATTGTTCTGATGCTTACATGCTGCATCCTCCCACTTACTGTCATCATCTTGTGCTACCTTGCCGTTTGGTGGGCTATTCACTCTGTGAGTAAATTATTATGGCTAATCTATTTACAAATGAAGTATCCTTCACATCTTTGCTAAATAGTTTGTTATGCTCTCTCTGTTATTGTAGTTTAATTAAGTAGGCCCTGTTAGAATGCATTTGATTGAACCGTGCCTTAGACTATCCCTTGCTTTAATGTCTACAGGTTGCCATGCAGCAGAAGGAATCTGAATCCACACAGAAGGCTGAGAAGGAAGTGTCCAGAATGGTGGTGGTCATGATCTTTGCGTATTGTTTCTGCTGGGGGCCGTACACATTCTTTGCCTGCTTTGCCGCAGCTAACCCTGGATATTCCTTCCACCCCCTGGCTGCAGCAATGCCTGCGTACTTTGCCAAGAGCGCCACTATCTACAACCCTATTATCTATGTCTTCATGAACAGACAGGTAGAAGACTTCACAATATCTGATCTACAAATTCTTAGATAAAATAAAAAATTATGCTCTATTTTTCTCTGTTTTTCAGTTCCGCACATGCATCATGCAACTGTTTGGCAAAGAAGTTGATGATGGTTCTGAGGTATCCACATCAAAAACAGAAGTTTCTTCTGTGGCTCCTGCATAAATGTTCGACACTTTGGGGAACAATTGTCATCAATTGTGATTTGTACAGTATATTTATTGTTCACTGACATTCAATGTTTTTGTAGTAAATATAGCTTTCTGGCAAAAAGAAAAACAAGAAAAAACATCTTAATAAAGATCATTTGCATTGTTGGTGGTGCTTCTTTTCTATTCAAATACTATAGGCTGCCGTTGTTTCTGACGACTAAGGGATTTATTAGGCAGGTCCTGTTGTTGATTGATGTTTTTCTTTCAAATACATTTATACTTATTTCTAATATAAAAGCCGAGTTAAAATAAGCAGTAGAGTAGAAAAAAAGGAATAGATAGATATAGTCTACCCCTTTTTCAGCTGTGGTATTGTTCAGTTTCATTTCCTTGCCCACTTGGTTTGATGGGGGACTGTTATTTTACCATTATAATCTGCATATAGCAGCAGTGAATTCAACCACAAACCTCACTTCACTTTGGTTTGTCAACCTTGTGCCGCTGTGGCTAAAAGGTGCACTGTGTAACTTTTCTGGAGAGGGTTGTCTCTATGGAGATTTTGATGCTTTGGTTTTAATTGTCCACAGTAGAGTAAACTAATTTGTCTTTTATTCATCCACAGATGTTATTTATTGCTTTAAAAGATCTTTAAAAACATAGAATCTTACAGCGAGTAGGTTCTCCTCTCCACAAACCTAACCTGTAATTTGACTTGAAAGACTCTCAAGAGTCTTAAATTTATGGACATATATATATATATATATATATATATATATATATATATATATATATATATATATATATATATATATATATATATATATATATATATATATATATATATATACATATATATTGTTTCTCAAGCCTATTAATAGTCTCAGAGTGCTCACTGCTGAGATCATTCTCCCTGTTTGATTCATGTTTGTTTGATTCAAGTTAAGAAATTGTGAAACAATTTCCTTTGTTCTATTGTGTGTCTTCAGAAATGTTGGATTACTGCTGCCAAACCTAGCCTTCATTAAAAGTCTATTATGACCTACAATATTTATTTATTATGTTTTATTTTTTATAAAACATAGCTAATTACCAACTTTACGAACTTGCAATTATCATCCCTACTTCATTTCAATAGGTGGCGGTATGTGTCTAAGGTCTTCTACCAACAGCAGAAGAAGATATCAGCCGGATTGTTTTTGCGCTTGCTCACTTCAGTGCACGTGAGGGTATAGCATGAGGGTATAGCAGGGCCGAACCGTCCCGAACTAATGTCTAAAGCAAGTATGTATCACCTACATAAAACAACACGGTTAACATGGCATTGTTGTCTAAAGTGTGTGTTTTTGACTGTTTCAGAACAGAAACGGGCTAGACGGCTGGGTTTTCTCGGGAAATCTAAGGTAATCCCACACACTTGGGCAGTGTTGTCACTAGTCAGCTCCGGCTGGATTTTAAAGGTGCACTATGTCAGTTTTGATTTGATTATTAGTGTTACCTTGAAAAGCAGGCATTTGTACTGTAAGTGGGCTCACACAGATCTCCCATGTAATGCGGCTTGGAGACGTCTCCTTTGAATTTACCATACTGTTGAACATTCAAGGCAAAGCAGACCATCCATCAAAACAGTGCATGATGCCTTTTAACAACTTTAGTGCTGTGGGCCTGTGAGCTGATGGTTGACATTTCACCTAATCTTTTTCATAAGAAAACTATGCCTACTGATTGTATTTGAAATGTTAATGGTTAAACTCAAACAATATTCTGTTTTCACATTTGGCAGTAAAATTCGGACAGTCAAAATAAACTTAAACTCATCTTATTTGGAACCAACATATTGGCGCCACCTGTTATGTAACTGTTGTAGAGAGTGTTGCTCAGAATTATACCTTATTTATAGTTAGCAGCTGATGTCAACATTCCCTGGGGGTGTGAAGCTAAGTGTATGCACTACCCTGTCTAAATCTCTTAGACTATAATTAGAGCTTTATTTTAACACAATCTGACCATAAAGAACTGACATAACTAGAACTAGAACAGGTAAGATGATTTGTGCTGTAAGTCTCTCTCACATAAAATTACAGTCACATGCCAGCTTTCGTATTTTTTACTGAAAATCTAAACACCTAAACAGGACTGATGAATGCTCGTATTGATCATAGGCTCCTGAAAATGTTTAAATCCATGTATTTTTTTCAAACACTTATAAAATATTTTCACAGTGTTTTAATGAGTACAAGGTAATTGCTGAAAATTCCACCAGAGATACATTTGGAGCACCCTTGGCATGATGTCATTGCAAAGTATCAAATGTGAATGCCAGTTTAATTCAACATTGATTTCTTTACTTTTTTGATTCATGGTGCCTCCATAACAAAGGATGGCAAAGATGGTCGAAAGGTTGGTTCTTCAGGCCAAGCAAAAACTACAGAGCGGGCATCTCAGCAGCACAGAAATCCAGATGAAATTAGGAGGCAAAGGGTAACTGATTTCTAGTTGAATTTATATGTTTTTTTTTTTAACCTGACTTGTTGATTCTTAATTAGCTTCAGGACCTCCAAGAAAAACAGAAAATGTCCAGAGAACGAGAGATGATGAAGAGAAGGAATTTGCAAACCTTTCAGAGTGATATTTTGCAACGCCAGAGGGACTTTGAACTAAGGGTTGGTAAATTTGAGAAGACTTTTCTTAGAAATGTATATTTTTTCAGATAAAATTAAACATGCTTGATTGCACACAGGAAACAGAAATGCAGAGTTTAGAAAAGAACATTAATTTTGAAAATGAAAATTCCCGTAAGGCATATTACAGAGAATTCAAAAAGGTATGTTCAGTGTATTTTTTTAATTCTTAAATTGTACCAGATTACTGTATTTAATCCTGATTATTTTCTTTTATGTGATACAAATCTTTGTTTTCAACATAAAGGTTGTTGAGGCTTCTGATGTTATTTTGGAAGTGTTGGATGTGCGTGATCCACTTGGCTGCAGATGTCCCCAAGTAGAACAAGCAGTCATTCAAAGTGGAACCAACAAGAAGATAGTATTGGTTCTGAATAAAATTGGTGTGCATGTTTTTATTATCATGTCATACAAGTCTTGGAAATTTCCTCAATGTCCTCTCTAATGCACATGAAATGCAATTCTAGATTTGGTGTCAAAGGAAATTGTTGAAAAATGGATTAAGTATCTCCGTAATGAATTCCCTACTGTGGCATTCAAAGCATCCACACAGCAGCAGAATAAGAATTTGGTACGTATTTTACATGCTCACTTCGTAATTATATTTAATGCATGCTCATATTGCTCAACAATGTGTAATGTGCCACCTTTTTATAACTACATCTGTTAATGAGGGCAGCATAAAACGAAATGCATAACTTTTAAGAACATTATAGTACTTCTAACATAAAAAATGTGTTTTTATTCAGAAACGCAGTAATGTGCCGGTAACTCAAGCCACTCAAGAGCTTCTCAGCAGCAGTGCTTGTGTTGGTGCAGACTGCTTAATGAAACTACTTGGCAATTACTGCCGCAACTTGGACATAAAGACTGCCATCACGGTTGGTGTTGTAGGTAAGTAGCATATCCCTACTTTTTAAGCATAATTATGTCTATAATAATATCTTTGTTTGGTTCTAGGTTTTCCTAATGTGGGCAAAAGCAGTTTAATCAACAGTTTAAAACGGGCTCGGGCATGTAATGTTGGAGCTACTCCTGGTGTCACCAAGTAAGCAGTATAATGTATTATGCAACCAAAGCATCTAAAAATCTAAAAGAACCTTGGGAGAGTATCAAAGCCCAGTATTGTTTTCTTGTTTACATCACAGTATCTTGTATATTGTTACTGCACTATTGGATAATGGTCACTCACAGCACTGGGCTCTCTTTCACAGGTGCCTTCAAGAAGTGCATTTGGATAAACATATTAAACTGCTGGATTGCCCTGGCATTGTCATGGCAGTATCAACATCAGATGCTGCAATGATTCTGCGTAACTGTGTAAAAATTGAACAGTTGGTTGATCCTCTTCCACCAGTTGAAGCTATCCTTAGACGCTGTAACAAAGCTCAAGTAAGTTCAATCTTCTAAGCCTAACAATAGTAGACAACTGGACGTTGTATGCATTAAATACAGATTATATACTTGTTTCCCAATATTCTTAAAGTTGTTTTTGCAGATTGTTTGTTTTTAATTTTTCATAAAAAATCTGTGTGTTTATATAGATTTTATTTTATTGTTTTTTTGTTAGTATCTTGGGAGTTTTTTTTTCCTATTCTAACCCTAACCTTTATAATGGTGACTAATTTGTATAAGACTATGATTTGTTAACTGTGTTTATAGATCATGCAACATTATGGAGTACCAGACTTTCACACAGCTTTGGAATTTTTGGCACTTCTTGCACGCCGCCAAGGCAAACTAAGAAAAGGAGGATTACCCGATACTGACAAAGCTGCAAAGGGTGTATTAATGGACTGGACAGGGTCAGTGGGGTTTATAATACAAACTATTAGTAAATATTTTATATTAATGAGTTACTATTTTGTTTTAAGTGGAAGGATAAGCTACTTCACCCACCCTCCAGAGACACATACTCTTCCTACTCATGTTAGTGCAGAGATTGTATCAGAAATGGGGAAAGCCTTCGACTGGGAAGAGTTGGAAAAAGGAAATCAAGAGATTCTTGCCGGTATGAAAGTGTGAAATCTATGCATGTTTGATTTCAATGGGCAGCTAAAGCATAGAATAGTCAGTTTACAGATGTCAACTATATCTCTAAGAAATTAGCTTGTGTAACCAGATGTGAGTATATTCAATACACATAAAGGATCTCTATCTGGGTTCATTAAGGTGATCTTTGCAACTTCTGTCTGTATTTTCTGTATTTTCTGTGCCGACCCAACATAGCCTCATTTGCAAATACTGTCATGGGCTTTAACAATTGTTTAGGTAGCTTTGTAGGCCCACACTAATTTGTTTCAAATTGTTTCCTTTAGAGTCATTTGCTCAAGATGCCCAAATGGGATTCTGCATTGAATCTTCCGGAATGACCCAGGGTGACCTTTGTGAAGCCACTCTTGATCGAGAAATGGAAGAAAATACAACTGACTTCAAGGATGAAACAGAATCTATGGAGGATGACAGAGACCCAGAGGTAGGTCTGACCATTATTGTTAATTAATGGTGACAAGAAAAATTTACTTTTTGTGTCTTTTTAACAGTTTGGGCCTATGACTGTGGAGTTCAAATCTCAAAAATCCAAGAATGATGTTCCTGCATGTGTATTCAAAGCCCCCGATTTGAAAGATATTTTGAGTATGGATCCTTTGCAACAAGGACAGGCTCTTGTGGCTGCAAACAAAAAGAGGAAAAAACAACAGAAACGAGCTGGTTTGTATTTAGTTTTTCAGTTTTTGAATTGTGTTATATTAGCTGGAGTTCAAACTAAATTTCTCATTTTTTTCATCCTTTAGATAAAATTGCAGTGAAGCTTTCAGACAGCTTAACTTCGGCCATGAACTTTCTTTGAGACTTCTAATTAAATTAAACCACACATCTATTTGTCTCATTTTTCTTCGAATTTCTTTGATTTGAATCAAATGTGCTTTTGCTTTGAGTGCAGCAACATTGGAGACATAGAATAGAAAATACTCTGTAGAACTCTTGGTTTAACGCGTAGAATATTTTTTCCGTTCTAGTATTAGTTTAATGCTTTAATGATGAGTCCAAACACTCAATCAATCTTTAAAATGTGTTTGATGATACAAAACTCTGACTGTAGTAACCTAATAGATTCATGGTAATAACTTGGCTTGCAGCTTTCGATCAGTTCCGGGTGATGTAGTTACGTCGGGTGACCTCAGCTGTCAGCCTGCCTGGAGTAAACAACACAGCTCGAGGCTAGCGTTGGTTGCAGCTCGGTGTGGTCTTCAAATGAAGGAAAATGGCAAAGGATCGTAAACACTGAGGAGATTTGTGGGCGTGACATTATTCAACTGTCGTATGTATCGTTTTGTTTCATGTGAAATTACATAACAATTTAACTAGCATTAGCGTTAGCACCTATGGTATGCAACTAGCTAAGTTGGACAGCCGCTACTTCCTCTTATGTGTATTAACGTCGGTTACAGTAAAGTAATGTTAACAGAATATCATGTTATTTAAAGTTGCTTAACTTCTGAATATCACACGGATGTTTGCGTCTGAATAACGCTGCGTGGAGCGGGCCCCTATGAGAACTGTCAGCTGTCAAATAGTTCAGTACAGATGACCACTGATCAGAGTTTGTCGCTATGATCTAAACTACTGTCGTATGTCTTATTAAAAGCAATGATGTAAACTGTATTTGTCCCTCGAATGTAAATACCTACAATTGACTACACGATATGTTCATATTGAAGATTGCTTTGGCATGTGGAGTATCCACGCTGTAATTAAGAGTACAGATCATTTTATAGTTGGTCTAGATGACAATAACCTCTATATAACAACATTAAACATACTTGCTGCAGGCCGGCTTGTGTATGTGGATTTTGTTCAACTATCTATGAGCATACCATATTCTGATACCAGAGTAGAGCACCAATTAGAGCACGCTCACGCAGCGTTTACACGTCCACCTCCGGTTAATTCACTTTCGATTATTTTACCAATATCATGAAGACCATTGTGCGATATAACATAAGAACATAGTCATCATCACAAACAATGTAGTGATGCTAGAAATTACTGTCTGGGCGTACTAACTAAAATCTGATTTATACTGTACTTAAATCTGGTGTTTGGTGAACCACTGCAAAATTGAGGAAAACAATATATCTGAAAGAACGGCAATTGACAAAAGTGTTTAAACATGTTTTGTCACTTAGACTCACATAGTAACAAATCTTTTACTCAAGTAAGAATACTGTTATAATTATGAATATGGTACTGTATCATTCATGCCAGAGCTGAGGTGTGCTCTGACAACTTGAGGTTTGTGGATAAGTGGACTGTTTGGAAAATACTACTCTAATGTTTTTTTTATCAAATTAGATGTTCTGACATTATTTAATTAAACTTTTTACACCTGGTAACTAATGTGTAAATATAAACAGGTTTGTGGTCTTTAGGTATCATTCATATATCTGCCAAGTCGGATGAGCCATGTCGTCGCGGGTGTTGCTACGGCAGCAGCTGATGCGAGAGCAGGCCCAGGAGCAGGAGAGGCGAGAGGCCCAGCAGCAGGCCTCTGTGTCCCACCTGCGGCCCTGTGACTCCACTCCAGCCATCTCTGTCAGCCTTCCCCCAACTTCTGCTCGCCCACCACCAGCTCAGGTGCCCGTGGAGGTGCTAAAAGTAAGTGTTTATATGTTTTCTGTTGGTAAAAATAATGAATATTGTGCATTAAAGTGTGAGTTATTTTTAAACAGGTGCAAACCCACTTGGAAAACCCTACAAAGTATCACATCCAGCAAGCACAGAGGCAGCAGGTGAAGCAGTACTTGTCTACCACGCTGGGCAATAAGGCTGTTTCTCAGACCCTGCGTGTCTCACCAGGGCCTCAGTCCAGCTCTGCCCCTGAAGCTGCTCCCACTGCCAGTAGTGCTCCCAACAGTCCTATGGCCCTGCTCAATATTGGCTCCAACAAAGAGGAAGTAAGCGAAAGTCATGAACTGATACTGGTTTACCTAGTTCGCTTCTGTTTTAATTTGCTGCTACAGAAGTTTACACGATTCTGCCAAGTTAACCCTATATTCTTAAGTAATCTGGAGTATTTTGCTCACATCTTGCCTAATTACTTTCTATTTGCTTTGGTCGGATTTGCCTTGCTGTGAATGTGCCTGCCTTTTATCATAGTCTTGTTGGCTTAGTGTCACAATAGCTTGTTAAATACTGCACCACTCTTTAAACTTTTCTTTGTGATCTAATTTACTGTGCAATTTGAAGTTATATCAATACATGGTTATAAAAAATATTTTTTATAAACCTATCCAATTTATCCTTGGCAACACAATATTACAAAACTACAACTGTGATAACACACATAAATATAGCACCTTTTTGGAAGCATCTTGACATCTATAATGAATAATCCTATGTATATGATGTCCTCTCCTCACATTGACATATGCTTTGTGATTTTGTCACAGAGTTCTTGTATTGTCTTTTTGTAGATTGACGATGTGATCGACGATATCATCAGTCTTGAATCCAGTTTCAATGATGATATCATTACATTGATTGACTCAGGTCTTCAGCTGCCTAGCACGGTAAAAACAACAAACACAACTTTTTTCTTCTTAATATTTGCCTTTACTCTCTTGTAATGCTTTGGTTTCCAAATAAGCCAATCAGCTACACTTTCTGTGAATGGAGTGTGTCTTTTGAGTGTGAAATTCAGTGGTGTCATAGAGGTAAACATGTACATTTGGCACTGCACTACTATTTGTTGCAGAAGTGCTGCCAGGGCGGGGTGTGGGAGGCCCATATCTGAAGATCAGGGAGAAGCAAGAGAACTGTCTCAGTCTTTGTAGAGCTGACAGGATAACAACGTAATATTGACTTGGAACAGCAGGCTAAAATTAAGACTTAGAGCTAAACATGAGAATTATGGTTATGTTATTGGAGGAAAAGAAAAAAATGCACAAAGAGGTAATTAACATTTTTTGTTCATTTGTTGTACTTTTTCATTTTTGCCAATGTTCAACAGAAACGGTTAAGCTCTTTGTGCTGTTGAAGAGAAAAAAACTTCTTCTGCAGGAACTGATAAGAACAGAGAGAAATCCCTTTCACTTTTGGTGGTCACTTTATTACTGAAATATTGTTTTATGTTTTTCGCAGCTCCCTGGAAACTTGCTGGATGTTTACCATAGCCCTGGAATGACTGCACCAACACTCACTGTCAGCAACTCATGTCCCGCAGATCTTCCAAAAATTAAAAGGGAAATAACAGGTGTGTTGCAGGCACTCTTTTACAGAGAGTTTGTTATCATGCTTACAAGCGTGTTATTGTGTCAATACAATCATACTTTGAGAAAATGCATTTAAGCTACAGAATGTTGTTTGTAACAATAATACTCTTGCAGAGGCAGATGCCAAAGCACTACTTAAAGAAAGGCAGAAAAAAGACAACCATAACCTCAGTAAGTCAGTTCAATGTTAGATTTTGCTGTATAACAAATAGTCTAATTTACTTATATTTTATATTTTATATATTATATATAAAATTCCTGACTTGTTGTACAGTTGAAAGAAGACGACGATTCAACATTAATGACCGGATAAAGGAGCTGGGAACTTTAATACCAAAGTCAAATGACCCGTAAGTTTCAACAATAGTGAAGCCAAATGAGAACCATTAAAAAAAAAAAAAAATTGTGTAAATGCTGTATCACAGAGAGATGCGATGGAATAAGGGCACTATCCTCAAGGCATCTGTAGACTACATAAGGAAGCTGCAGAAGGAGCAACAGAGAGCTAAAGATATCGAGATGCGTCAGAAAAAGTTGGAGCAAGCAAACCATACTCTACTTTTACGCATCCAGGTTTGATAAAATTGATAAATTTCTATTTTTAGATTTGAGGTAATTTTACAGTCAAGTTTTAGCACATTTCTAATGTAGTATTGTTATCAGAATAATCACTTTTTTTCAGATTAGATTTTTTTTTGAAGGTGTACTTTTTAATCTTTTGGTTGGAGTGTCTACAGTCTGCTACTCTACATGGACTTGCTATTGCTTTGTCTTGAATGCTCCACAATATGGCGTTAACTTATCTGTCCCAAGTTACAGGTCTGTGGAGCACTGACAGTTAGAATGCATAATTTTCAAGTTATGTTTTTGCTATGAAAACATCAGTGATTGAAAAAATGCAAGATAGATTATGCCATACTGTGGAACATTCAATGATAACCTCTCTGTGGAGATAAGCAGCAGGTGGATGACCCCCCAGAAAAGTTGAATAGGGTACCTTTAAATATAAATGTTACCCACCTATAAAAATTATATTTTATTTAATTTATTGTTTTTCTACAATGACACACAATGAAACTGCCAGTTTATTATGTAACAAATGTTTCTTTTAAATTCAGGAGCTGGAAATGCAGGCACGGCTCCACGGTCTTCCCCCTGGCACCTCCATGTCCCCTCGTCTCACCACTGACCCCTCCCTCCAGCAGCCAGTCCCTCAGAGCAACCAGTCTGCCCCTTTAGCTGCTGGGGTAGTCAATGCTCAGAACCTCCTGGAGCGCGTTGCTATTGGACAGGCACTGCCCCCCTCCTTCTTGTCTCCACCCTCCTCAGACTCTCCGGCTGGCGTCACTATCAGCAGCCCCCTGGACCTGGGCAGCTTGAGCTTTGCAGAGCTGGATGACACCTCTGCCTCTGCACTCTATCCTGATGTAGGGTTAGGAGACATTTTAATGGACGATGGTTGCACCTTGTCTCCTGAAAGGGGAGCTGAGCCTCTCTTCTCTCCTCTATCCCCTGGGGCTTCCAAAACGAGCAGCCGCCGAAGCAGCTTTGATATGGATGAGGACTTGTGATACAGTACTGTTGTCAGGGGGAAGAATCTCTATTTATGGGACTGTAGTTTGAAAAGTGCTTCTATTAGAGTAAAAATAACATAAGATATTCTATCAAATAATTATTTTGCCACTGAAAAGTTTTTTTTGTTCCGTTTTGGAACGGATGTCAAAAATATGTATTTTGTAATGAAATTTTATTCTGAAGTATTGTTAAATACTGGCATGAATATAGAATTTACTAAAACATAGATTATGATATATGAGGGATATAAATATAGATTGTTTTATGACATTTCTTATTTAAAATAACAATGGCATAACATGCTAGAGCCATGATTTCACTGACTGCAATAAGAGTTTGTTCAAAACAACAGCAGCTGCACAAGGGAAGTGAGTTAACACATTAAAACTCTTATTTGAATTTTTACTTCAGAATGTTTTACTATATATTATATGCAATTCAATTGCACCTTCTTTTATGGCAGTCTATGCATTTTATATATATAAAAAAGCTTGTTTTCTGTTTTTATAACTTACATCTAATACCCAGGTGGCATGTTTTGTTAAAAAGTGGAAAATCACTTGCTGCAGCTAGTTGGCCAAAGCAGGACATCTTCTGGAGTAGCTATTATTTACCAATCAGCATTTTTATTGAATGCAAGCATTTAAAATACAGTGAACAATACACACAAGTACTGTAGTTTATGTACTTTAACACATTTTATTTCTTGACTAATCAGTGCATTGAGTTGAGTCGTTCCTCGCGATCCTTATTTGGCATGCTATATCTACGATGTGGCTTTTTTTATATAGACTATAATTGTGCATTTCCATTCATATATAAATGATCATTTGAAGCCAACCACAAGCCTCATTTTGTCAAATAATGTGCAACTGTTGTGTGACCTGCAATCAAATGACTTTTTAATCAAGGATGTAGCTAAAGTCACAGTTTTACCATTCAACTGCTTCACATAGCTTTGATGAGTTGATGAATGTGTTTAAAAACTGAATTTTTCTGTACTGTAGGTTGCTTTGTTCTTACAGAGTAATTATGATTAGATTTCAATGTGTATATGTGTCTACTTTAAACTGACGTGTATTTCAGATTTTACACTGATAATCCTTAAGCAATTCTTAAAGGTATGCTTCTCTCTAATAATCTGCTCTTTTGCTGATTCTACTTGTCCAGGTTCATCCATATATATATATTCCCACTCAAAGATGTAGATACATTAGTACTAAATTGACTGTTAACTTAAAAATCCTATCAGAAGCTTTTTGTGTATTGTCCCTCAAGTTGACTTGAAAATGATTTTAACAAATGCATAAATAAACAAGTGATTATTATACTTATGTGTATTTTTTTTTCTTCTTAATTTTGTTTTCCATTTTGAGCACTTCAGTGGTATAGCATCTGTGAGATTTCCATGGCGAGGTCCAGACACTCAGTTGCTTGGAGACAGATGTCACACAGGGGACAGTCAGAGAGGCAGCATCGAGCCCCAAAACAGACACACAGCTCACAATGGTGGCTCATGTCGATTAAAGGCTGCAAGACAGTGGGTTCACAGCCGCATAATGACGAGCAAAACCAGCAGATGCATTCTCTACACCCCCTGACTGTGGCAAGGAAACAATCCAGTGGCTGACAGAAGAGGCAGGCCAGGAGCACTGCAGCACAAGTACCTCACAAAGAAAGTAAATGGAAAATTAACAGCAATGTAAAGACAATATAAACACACATTTTTAATGGTATACCTGCTTCATCTGGGGGTACTGAATGCACTGTTGTTTTAAAACTGTCTTGACTCCTCACTTGACTTGTGTCATGGGAATGTTGGATTGTACAACATGCAGGAGGCAGGAGTGTATAAAGAGACTTTGGTTGTTCTTTCTCAACTGGGCACAAACTGCTATATGACATAGCTATTGTCACTTCACCTTCAGGGTTATACAAGTCACATTTAACAAGAACATCTGTAATAAACATAAAAATCTATTTCATTCTTCTCTATCATGTACATTTTAAAAATGTTAAGTAAATTAAGTAAACAGAGTAATGTTAGAAATGTATCCTTGACCTTCACATCAAGGCTGTAAGGGCAACGGGATCATTAGGTGAGAGTTATTTAAAAATGACCAGAACCACATACCTGTTTGTTCTGTTGTGATGTCAGGTGACATCGACTCTTCATGTTTTATGTCAACAGAATTTAGTTCAGCAACTTCTTTTATAGGCTGCATCTTTCATTTATCTCTAAATACAATAACATATAATTATCATTTGTAATTAATCAGTTTAATATATTGCTTGCAGTTACAGTACTCAGTTCTTGTGTGGCTGTGGTTTTGTAGCTATTAGAAGATGAGTGGATATCTTGATAATGGTAGAGAAATTAATCTATTATTAATCTCCATTTCAGAAGCATTGATACAATGCAAAAAGGCTATACACACATTTTATGGACAGCATGATTGATTTTATTCATTTATAATTCATATCTAGCCTTTAGGTAACACACTGTGAACATGATCTGTTCAAGCACAGATAAAACAACAGATACTATATATATATATATATATACATACACATATACATTTCCTTTAAGTTCATTGCTACAGTTTTGTTTTTGGGTGTGAAAAACAATTTAGTACATCATAGCCAGCCTGCCAGAAAAGACTTTTGAATATAAAACTTAATGATATAAGAGAATGCAAATGTACTCACTTCTCATAGTGAAGCCAGTTGATTTCAGAGCAGATACTTTAGGATGACTTAATCACAGACAAGATCTATCATCCTTCAGTGACCCAACACTTTGTAGTAATGGAGCTGTAAGAGCATCAGACTTGCCTTTCTTTCAGTCGGTCCTGTCTGTGTGTGCGTGTGTGTGTGTGTGTGTGGGTGTGTGTGTGTGGGTGTGTGTGTGTGTGTGTGTGTGTGAGTGTGTGAATGTAAAATGTAAAAATGAATTAATGTAAAGAAAAAAAAAAAAAAGTAAAAAGTGACTTGTAATATCACAGTAGACTTATTGAAAGTGATAGTATGCTTTCTGCAGGGTGGAAAGTGAGCAGTATGATTACATGGAAATAGAAAGTATCCAGTAACCATACTTTGGCACATTCTACATGGAGATAGATACATTGTATTACAAACAGGCCTATTATAGCCAAATAAACAACATTTCCATAAAAACTTCTCCAGGCCAAATAAGAGTTAAGTTTGTGAAGATGTAAGCACAGTCAGAGTAAGGACACTTTTTATTTTTATTTTTTGCATAAATGTTACATAGTAGGGTTTTAATAAAATAAGATGCTAAAAGTATATGAGATGTGTAAAAAAGATTTTTGGATTAGTTTATTTTAACTGGGACCATGAACAAACACATTAATCTCGTAAAAGAAGAGATGCTTTACACTAGATTTAGGTAAAAGCTAGTTTCCGTCTGCAGTTCTCGGGCAAGTTAACAAACAGTTCAAATACATCCAAGTACCCATCCATTTGCAGTCTAACCATGCACTCTCCCATTCTTTCATTTAAAAACATCACATTGCACATTTCCACATTCAAATTACAAGTCAGATATACCATATAAGCCTATATTACAATGTAGACAGTGTTTTAACTGTTTTAATGTAGTTACTCTTGAGAATGTAATCAAAACATAGGTGGCGCCATTGAATACTGTGGGCTTACATTTCCTGGTGTAGAAAGAGCAGGCCTGACCAATGACAGCTGAGCTCAGCTTGTTATTAGCGTGTTGCTTTTATTCGCTAAGCTCTCGCTAACTAGCAAGTCAAAAAAACATTTAGCTTATACATTTAACACCCTTTTGTTGGCCCACTGTATTTTCTCCGGACAATGGTAAGAATTTGATCACGTTAAAGTTTATGTTTTGAGTCCACATGCTCCTCTCTCGATACATGATGCGTTTAGCTCAAAACAGCTAATGTGCGTTAGCCACTTTCTATGGTTAGCATAATATGAAATGTAAATATCATTTGACAGTTGCTCAGTTTATCTAATGCAATCCAATGATTTTTAATCGGTATTCATAAAAATGTCTACATTATACATCATGGGTACCAAACGTTCATAGAGATGCACTCGCAGAAACAATATTGAGATGGAAACAAACACATCGTATAACTCGATAAGATGCTGTTTCACTACATCCAGATCATGGGGTCACTTCTGGTAAATACACTTAGACTATCGCAGATGTTTAAGATAAGAGTCAGAATATTTTTTAATGAACTCTAAATTTAGAATTTGGCATCCTGCACACTCCATTGCTTTAACATTAGGCTAAATGAAAATTAAACGGAACGACACAATCCTGATCTTTATTCATTTCAACTTAAACGTATGAACAAGGTTTAAGTTTGTTTGTTGTTTTTCAGGATAGTGAAATGTCTGATATTGAGCATGGACCTGGACCTCAAACAATGTATATGGAAGGGGAGAATGCACCACTGTACTGCATCTGCAGGAAACCAGACATTAATTGTTTTATGATGCAAGTTTAATATCTGTTTCTGCTTCTCCATGTTGTATTCTGTTTTTTTTCTTTAGCTTATATGTACTCTCCTTTAACAGAGGATGTGATTACTGTAACGAATGGTTCCATGGACACTGCATAAACATCACAGAGAAACAGGCCAAAGCAATACGTCAGTGGTATTGTATGAAATGCAGAGGTAAATACAGGAAAATATGTACATAACTTTACTTTGAAATTATACAATGAAATTGCATGCATTTGTGTTTTCTTCCACCAGAGGAAAATCCTTTGTTAGAAATAAAATTCAGATCAAAGAAAAACCGGGATAAGGACACAGACTATGACAACAGATCAGACAAACAGTACAGCACACCGAGCACTCCAGACTACAGACTGGAAAGGCGACGAGGATCAAAAGTTTGTATTTTGTAGTATATAATTGTAAACCCTTTTACATAAATTGAAGAAATACCAGTACATTGACAAAAGTGCTTTTAAATTATCCAGGTAAAGCGATCTGTGCGTATGTGTGGTGAATGTGAGCCATGCCGAAGGACAGAAGACTGTGCTCAATGTGACTTCTGCAAGGATATGAAGAAGTTTGGGGGCCCAAACAAAATCAGACAGAAGTGCAGGTTTCGACAATGTGAAGTGCGAGCCAGGGTGAGAGATAAAGAAATGGCTGCACTCTTATTCCGACTATTCCGATTAACTGTAGGTGTTAAATTGTGCTAAACTCTTGTATTAGAAAATGTTGCGTGTGAAAGAGGAGGAGATGTCCTTGAGGGAAAGAAGAGAGAATTCCCATCACAGACGACGTCATTATTCTGATGATTATGACAGTGAGGCTGATCTGTACCAACAGTATAAAGCAGCAGGAAAATATGACATGGTAACACTAATTTTTTATTATTATTATTACTGGGGTGGGGGGCAATAAGTTTCCTCAAGATTTCACTCCCCTCAGGCATGGGCAAGTGATGATGATGATGAACCACCATTTAGTCCAGTGATGCGTAAAAAAGCTGTCAAAGTCAAGCATGTTAAAAGAAGAGAAAAGAAAATCGACAAGAAGGTAGGACTTTTAATTAAAAGTCATTAACACAGATATATCCTTGCAACAAGCAATGTTCTTGACTGTTTTAGAAAGAGTCACGACGTCACAAGCAGAAACAAAAGCATAAGGATCGGAGTAGACACAGTGAAAGAGGAGAAAGAGGGGATAATGGTGGTCTGCGACAATGTCTTGGCCCCAACTGTGTAGAGGCAGCTAGACCCAACTCCAAATATTGCTCTGAGGACTGTGGCATGAAGCTGGCTGCAAAGTAAGCACTTTTTATACTGACATATATATTGAGCTACTGATGCGTCCTTTAAAGTACTGTTATGCCACCTAGTGGAAAGCAGTGGGACTGTTTTTATTGATGGTACTGATGCAACTAAATGCTCTGAGTAAATATGGATTTGGAAAAGCACAGTATATTTGCAACCATTTACTTAATTTAGCTGTATATATTGGCCTTTATATATTTGATATAAGTAGCTGTTATTGGGGTTTAGTGTATTTTAACACATACATTTAGCAATTTTATCTATTGTTTGCTTGACATACAAAAGGTTGAAATGATATTTTTTTCTTCTTTATAGTCGTATTTATGAGATCCTGCCTCAGAGAATTCAGCAGTGGCAGCAAAGTCCTTGTATTGCAGAGGAACATGGTAAAAAGCAATTGGAGCGGATCCGCAGAGAGCAGCAAAATGCACGTCTGCGACTCACAGACATGGAACGGCGATTTCATGAACTGGAAGGGATTATCGCCAAAGCCAAACAGCAAGCTGTGCAGCAAGATGAAGAGGTAGACTGTTTTTAAATGTTTAATAATATCTTTATTGTATCTTTACATTATAATTGGAACACTTTTTAGGTAAATGAAGGGGATAGTGAGGATACAGATCTACAGATATTCTGTGTCTCATGTAGCCATCCAGTAAATCCAAAGGTGGCACTGAGACACATGGAACGATGCTATGCTAAGGTAAGTAATAAAGTATTGCTCTCCCCAATTATTATAAATTATATATGATAATATATGAATGATATATAAAATATTTTTTGCACATGTTTTGTTAATTTTCTCACAGTATGAGAGTCAGACATCTTTTGGTTCCATGTATCCCACAAGAATTGAAGGGTATGAATCTGAATATACAAGTTGTTTACATCCTACCATTTTGTTAATCTTTCCCTAATTTCTATTGCAGTGCTACCAGACTTTTTTGTGATGTTTACAATCCCCAAAGCAAGACTTACTGCAAACGGCTTCAGGTTTTGTGCCCAGAACATTCAAGGGATCCCAAGGTTGGTAAATAAATAAATAAATAAATAAATATTTATATATATATATATATATATATATATATATATATATATATATATATATATATATATATATATATATATATATATATATATATATATATATTTATATATATATATATATAATATAAATATATATATAAATATTATTTTAATGTATAGGTGCCAGTAGATGAGGTATGTGGATGTCCTCTTGTTAAAAATGTATTTGAACTAACTGGAGAATACTGCAGAGTGTCAAAAAGAAAATGTAACAAACATTACAACTGGGAAAAGCTCAGAAGAGCTGAGGTAGACTTGGAGCGTGTCAGAGTGGTAAGTTACATTGTTTTTGTGGAATGTTGTTGATTGTTGTTGATGTATTTTATGAAATATTTTATTTGTGGGTGCTTTCTACTCTCCACAGTGGTACAAATTGGATGAACTGTTTGAACAGGAACGTAATGTAAGAACTGCTATGACCAACAGAGCTGGACTGCTTGCCTTAATGCTGCACCAAACAATTCAACATGACCCTTTGACTACTGATCTTCGCAGTAACAAGGATAGATAGACGAGTGTTATTGTTAGCAGTAATACACGATATCTAATATTTTTAAATGTCTTTCTATTGCAATCAACTTGTAAGATTTGATTAGATGTTATTATATATATTTTCATGAATTAAATATTTGAATGCTATTTTGGCATATGAAATAAACATCTGATCAAAACACAGTATGTTTTCAATCATTTTTGAAGCATTTCATATGTAATAGGGGTAGGGTGACCAGACATCCCTATTTACCTAGGACAGTCCCAGTTTTGAGCCCTATGTCCTCTGGCCCGGCAGATTTATCCAAAACCAGTGATTTGTCCCAGTTTTATACAACAGATGTCCCAGGTGTCCCTATTTTTGACCAATTTGATACCTGCCAACAGTAAAGAGAGACATAAACTGTCACTTGTTTAGGTAAAATACAGAAATGTTGCTTAAAAATGACCAAAAGACAAAGAAAATGACACTATACTGACACGTTAGTCGTGAATGGGCCTAGCGCAGAACAGTTTTCCTTAATTATGCACTCGATTCACAATTTTATTATTACCAACCACCACAAACAACCACAAAACCAAGGGCGTTTTTTTTTTTTTTTTTTTTTTTTTGAAAATCTGGTCACACAAAAAATGGGTGTTTAGGATGCCTAGAGGATAACTGGTTTTAGCAGGCAATACATATATTCATACTGTCTGCCATGACTTCCCCTGCCCTAGCCAGTTCTTTTGATAAATCCATGAACAGAGCAGATGGTTTTTCTCAATTTCCCTCGTCAAAATCTTGCCCGCTGGAGAAAATAGCTGCGTTCCCTTTTCTTATCCCCCGTCGTGAGTGTCATGCCTGTGCTGTCTGGTGAGGGCGGTGTGTTTACAGTCGGCGTCAGTGAGGTACGAGCGGTGCACACATGAATGACACGGAGGAGCCTGATTGGTGTGACTGTTCTCTTTCGCTTCCGCTGTTACCGTCTCTAATTACGTGCTAGCTCGTTAGCCGCATTAGCCGACCCTATAAAATATTACCAGGAATGTAAGATTTCAGACACATTGGAGGTATGTAACTGTATTCTAAATGTATGGTTTTATTCGGACAATTGAACGGCGTGAATTGTGACACATGTAACGATTCAGGACCCATTTTAGGTCTTGTAAAGCTAGCTAATCCCTTGGCTGTTCATGCACGAATGGGCGAACTGGCTAGTGGTAGCTTATGTATTTTAACTCGAAAAGCAAGCCTTAAACACATATTTTTGCAATAGTATACATTTATATAAGGTACAATCATGGTGATGCACTTAGTGTAAAATTCTTTTGTTTGAATAGCTGCGTGGTTATGTGTTCATTTCCATTAAACCCATGATATTGTAAATTATTTCAAGCTAACATCACACCTAGCCACCAGTTTAAGAGTCTTACCCCGATACATTAGTTCTGATTTTATTCTATATTGTTTTATTTACCAGGTTATGCAGTGCCCGCCCGAACCTCATTTGATAATCAGGGTTGGCTGATCGTGTCACCGTGAAAGGCAAAGAAGAAGATGCAGATCTGACATTTGCAACATACTCTTAGTAAATGGGATGCCTGATCGGTTATATTGACCCTTTTATATTGGAACTCTGTAGCAGCCTTGTGCACTGATGGAGGAAGAACAGCCAAAGACCCCGGCCCATGAGGGAGAGGAAAATGCCGATAAACAACAGGGTAAACCTCTACCAGAGACGGACACACAGGCCACATTTACAGACACCAAAGCAGAGGCAGAGGAGAAGTCCGAGGAAACTAAAGAGCCCACGGACTGGTTTGAACCGTTGGAGGACGACGACGACGACGACGACGCCAATAGCTTTGAGTTTTCTACCGAGCAGCGTGCCTTGGGTCATAAAGATCCAGAAGAGGAGAGCCTAGCAGGTGAAAGTGAAAGAAGCGGCAGTGTGGCAGGCAGTGAGAAAGCTAGGAGAATATGCAAACGGTAGGCTGTATTGATGCTGCTTTTAGTCTAAGATACAATACTAACGAAGGTTTGTTGGAGTTTATTTAGTGACTTTTGATTGTTTTTTAGACCACGACGCAAACGAACCAATGTTGATGAGGGTTGGGAAGACTGTCCATCTTTAGGAGAAGGATGGAAGCGCAAAGAAAGTGTACGTCAGAGTGGCACAAGATCTGGACAAAGTGATATCTACTACATGAGGTAATACACGTTTATTTTATGTAGTTTATGTGAGAGGCTTCTTCACTTTGTATGAGTCTCCATTTATTTTTATTACTGTTAAATATTATTTAATAATATGAACAGGGTTAAGAATTTGTATAAGCTTTAATATCGTCTTCATCAATACCTGTTTAATGTAGTAAACCAATTTATTTTACAGCCCTCAAGGCGAAAGAGCACGTAGTCGTATAGAGCTTTCCATTATGCTGAATCGCGACTTAAGCTGTTTTGAATTCAAAACGGGAGTTTTCCATAAAAATGGTCAGCAACGTTTAACATTACAAAGACGGAAGGTGAGAAGATTTCTTTCACTTTAGTATTTGTATAAATGCTGATGTTCTAATGTTGTAAATGTGTAAATGTTTACTGAGCATGCGTAATGGGTCTATAATTTTCTCCTGTGCTCTTTAGAGAAAGCCCCGTGAACATTCATCATCAGATTCCAGTTTTGTTGAGAGAGGAGAGGGAGCAGACACACCTGACTCTCACCATAGACTTACTCCCACTGTGAGTTCCATACCAGCAGCTATTCCGTCAAGCAAAACTGCCACAAACAACCCAACAAAACCTCAGATCAAGAATGAAATCACAGCCTCTTCTCCAAAAGATGAGACTATGAAGCCTCCTGATGGCAAAATTAAACTTCCAGGCCCCACATCATCCAAACCGCTCTCTTTTCCCTCTATCAATGGGGAATTTGGACCCGAGGACAGCTTTCTGTGAGTTTACTTTTGGCATGTTTTGTTTAGAAAGCTCAGGGGCTATTAATGTTACTTACTTTTATTTTGTTTAAAGAGTCTGTTCAAGATGCGGTCTTACATTTACCGGAACATGGTATGATAAACAGAGGAAAAGGCCTCTCTGTCCGTCTTGCTGGGGTATGTCAACATTTATCATTCAATAGTGATGTTTCTTGGGTGTTGGAATTAAAGTGGGTTAATGAAGACTATATAGGACATTAACAACAAGACTAAATTTAGCCTAGGGTGAAAAGCTGTATGCGAAGGTGTGAAGTCTTTTATTTCTATATAGACAGTGAACAGTGAAGTCACAAAGTAACATGGCAAAAGAGAAATTCAATTCTGTCAGTTGGACAAAAGTTTTTTGATCAAATATGTTTTGCAGCTCTTTCAATGTATTAAATCAAAAAAGCTTTTGTCCAATTGACAGAATTTAATTTCTCCTTTGCTATGGATCCTACCTTGCAAAGAATCAGTTGCTATGCTGCAATGAAAAGGATTGTACTAGCCTACTAAGTGTTGATTCCTTCTTTCTTGATCCATGTATTTGGAAGTCTTGGCACAGTAGAATGTACCCAGGCAATGCAATTGGCTTATTTGTATTTTATAGGTGTAGAAACAAAAAAAGAAGAAACCAGTCCACTTCTATTGAGCTTTAAAGTGTACACCTTCACATGTAATGTGCAACTTTTTAACTAAGGTTTTCTTATTTCAATAGCACTTAAGACAAAAGAACACCCACTGATCCGTTTTCGAAAGGTAAATTATTTTATTGTTTCATCTATAATTTTTGTTAACTGTTTTATCTGAGAATGGTCTGATATCTCCTTTTTTTTTTTTTTTGAGCAAATATCCGAAAATCAGTTTTTGGCTTGCTTTTCTGATTCATAACATGGATCAAAAATTCATGTTAAGCTATAGTGAAGTTCAGAAGTAAAGTTTTTGCTTTGGTTAAAAAAAATAAAATAAAATCATTTGTTGCATGGTAAATAACTGTAATGTACTAATTAGTCTCTAAAAGAGAGAAATCTGATGCACTGAGGATAGGGTATCAAGGGTATCGGAAAAAATATTCAAATTTAAACTTAAAATTTAAATTAACAGACTGATATATGGGGAAATCCTCCCATATTGCTAATAAATCACCCATCATTTTAATTTGTATATTTTTTATTAACAGTGGATTCCATGTGGACAATGTGCAGGATGCCACAATAAAGTGAACTGTGGTCAGTGTAGTAACTGTAAAGAGCGCAGACCTGAATCTCGTAAACGAACATGTCGAAAACGTAAATGTTTATGTCCTATTCGTAAGGTAAATTGAGACAAATGCATACATTCTGATTTTAAGTACATTAAGATTTTAACATAGATTTAACCCTGTATGCATTTTGCCAGGGTCCGGGAGGCTTTGTAATGCCAAAGCCAAAAATAGACGCACCAGATAGCACTGTGAGTTTCAAATTCATTCTTTCTTTCTATTAACCAGCACTATTTAAATTATCTTGCATCTTATCTTACAGCAGGACATTCCCTATTACCAGGTATTTTCTTCTATCTGAACTTTATTTGTACAATTGCAAAGTCTCATTCTCTTTGTATTTTTTTCATAGCATCTAAATATTAAAAATAGTGATACAGAGAACTTAATGAATCTGGAACTGGATGAGGATGATGACGTGTCAACAGATGATGATGAAGATGTGAGTGTTACTATCATATTGACATCTGGCTTTAGGCCTACCATGTGACTTGTTATAATAATGTTAATAATAAAAAGGTATAAGGCTAACCCTAACCCTAAGGTAAGGTAAAATGGTCTTCGCATTAGTCATTATTATTTTATCATCCTGTTTGTGCATTTATTATCTGCTGATTTCTGAACATTCTATCAGCAAGTAGTGCAGAGAAAGCAGGGAAGAAGTGCCAGGGTTAATTTAAAAGAAGGAAAGGTGAGTTCAGTGTCAGCAAAATGTGTGATTTGAAAGGGATCTTGATCATTCTTCATACTGTATGTGCGTATCAGACATTTTTTGTTTCAAAAAATGTTTTTCATCTTTGTCATGCAATTCATTCATTCAGGTAGCTTTTATAGTCAAAGAGCAGAGCAGGCAGAAAAGTCATACCAGGGAAAGTCTGAAGGAAACAGGAGAGAAAATGGTGAGTAATTATAAGAACAGGTGTGCTTCCACAGCTAATGGATGTCAAAATTAAATACAAAAAAGATGTACAGGTTAAAGGTGTGCACCTTCCACCCAATGTGATGTACAGTATAACACAAAGGGTAAGCAGATTTTGTGAGCCATTTAACAAGGATTTAATGTGTTTTTACACTGGATGCCCTTCCTATCACAAGCAACCATATGATGTGAGTGGCTTATGGGATTAAGTGTCACTTAATAAGGGACAATACACTTTGAAATAATAATTTAATAATGTCATACCAAAAACCAATATAGTAAATAAATCTAACTATTTAGATTAATTGTTGTTTATTTTCAGCGCAAGAGGCGGAAGCGGCGGTCCTGTGGAGAATGTCCAGCATGTCTCTATAGCACAGATTGTGGCACATGTGATTTCTGTATAGACAAGCCCAAGTTTGGTGGAAGCAACAAAAAAAGACAGAAATGTCGACTACGGCAATGTCAAAGACAGGCAATGGTATGAATTTGTATTAAAAAAAACAAGAAAAAGTTTAAAAGCTAAAATACAGTTTTCTTCTCCTGGATAGAGACACCTATTACCCTCTCAGCTGGGGTCAGAGGCTGATGGTATATCAATCGTTGGCAGACCAAAACCCCAATACACCTATAGTCGAAAAAGGAAAAGAGCGCCACTAAGTGAAGATGAAGATGATGATGACAGAAATCAACAGGCAGTACGGTTCCATTACATCTGTTAGGTTAAAGATAATAGTTATAACATGATCTCTTAAAAAGGTAGTAGAGTCACATTTGAACTTGGGATGCCATTAGCTGTAAAATACTTAAGCCCCATCATATAATTGAGACCCTATAAAAAATCCTATACAGACAATCTTCATAACAACTCTGTATATATTAAAACTGGATTTGTAACAGGTTGTGGGTTTTTTTTGTTTTGTTTTTTTTAAAGATCTGGAGCACTGAAAACACCAGTTGCAGCAAGATCACATATAAGCAAAACTTACGAAAACATCCATCTATGCAGGTAAGGAGCCATAAAATAAATTCACAAACAATAATCATTTATTGACAGAGGAAACAGACTTAGTTTTTTTTTTTTCATGCAACAGTTGTATGAAGAACAGAACGGAGTGTTTGTCAGAGATCATAATAGTGATGATAATGTATATCTGGTAAGTATTAATACAAATACCAATTCTAACAGTGATTATAATTTTCCAATGTTCCAATGGCACTCTTGTTTCCAACCAGATGGAAAGCAGATCGCAGGTCACTAGTAATTTTCAAATACAAGGAGATGCTGAAGAGGAAGACTATCCTACTGTAAATTATTTGCTATTACTTTGTATAATTAGTGTTAAGATTTGCATATCTGATTTACTTTTTTTCTGTTCGCTTTAGATTACACAAATATACAGCTTGACAGATGAACCAGAACCAGGTGATCTGAATCAGGAACATGACCTAATGAAATTGCTGAACTCTTTGCGTTCATCTGCTCTGCCAATCTTGTGGTATGCCATCATGGCAGAGGGGCCTCAGCTGCAGCTTGTGCAGTGTTCAAAGCAGTCTGTCATGGCAGACACCACAGTGCAAATTGACACAGACTTTAACTATAAGATCTCAGTGCAGAGACACCCGCTCCTGCCCACACACCCGTTGTATGATGCCTACCCTTCTCGTCTGAACTCTGTCACACAAGTCGTAAATTTGCTGTTGGACATGGACAAATACATCGTATGCCATGGTGTACCACCAATTGAAGCTGTACTCAACAGAACACCAGTAATACTTGAGCGGGCACCCACCTGTGAGTTCTTGATTAAAAAGAATGAAACAATTTGTAGGAATTGCAGAGTGCTTTGTGAATGAAAGTCAAGACAACAGAGACTTTGATTTGTAGAACTTTGTACCATTTTCTTTAAGATTTTTGTGGTACTAGAATTTGACAGCATTCCCAGAGCTGTAACAATAAAATACAAGCATATATATTTTGTCATGTTGGTGACCTGTGATGTCAGAGGGCTTTTTTTTTATTTTGGACACAATTTATTATGGGTTTATTAACACTTTTACTTGAGGATTCAGTCATATTTTTTTAACTCAACATATTTCTTTTCCTAAAATTGTCAAAATCCTTAATCCTTTATTTATATTTATTTTACCTTTTTGTAAAAAATCTCACACATTGGTAGAAATTAGTTTCCCCCCTTTATTATTATTTAATAGTTTTGAAGTGTAATTTTATAAGAATGTGCCTCTTTCCTGAAGAGTATAATTAATAGAACCATGGCAAGAGATTATGCTTTTATGGCCTCTTATGCCAGAAGTAAAAATAATTCTATAATATCTCTATGATAATAACAAAGCATTGCAGTCTGAAATGCTGTCAAGCTCAGTCAATGTGTTTTAAATTTATTTTATTTTTTTTTCATCCTTAAAAACAAACGAAACATAAGGCATTCATTTCTGGTGGCTGTTGTATTTCATTGTAAATATAACCTAAGATGAAATGAAACAGGCACAAGATGTAAACTGGGTAAAAACTTTAAATTATTCTTCCATGTTCTCTATTGTATATGCGCGTTAGGGAATTTATTTATGTTCTTGTTGTCCTCAAGTAAATGTGTAGAATTTTACCCAGACTTATGGGATCAAAATACCATGTTTTATAGCTATTTGAAATGAAAAGTTATATTGTTTTGAAATGACAAATATTGTATTTCTCAATGCATTGTTTTCATAAAAGGTTTTGGACTTTTTTAACCCAAAGGTGACTGAGTTTGCCTAATTAACGTCTACTCTACAATCTGAAAGTAACTTGAAACACTGTTATGTTTACATATTTAAACAGACTCTTTGTGGGAGACCAGCTAACAGGGAAGGGTCTGACAATGAAACCATTAATGTCGCATATTAATATTTAAAATGATAATACCATAATTACTCAAGCCTTTCATGTGGTATTTTAGGGGTTCATTTTTATGATTAGATAATACAATAATGAAACAATACAATAACTGCTGTAGTAGGATCTCAGGTGTCTGCTGAGATATTCTGCACGATTTGGGATTATCAATAGATAATATGAAAACGGGCCATTCTTACGGATTGAATGAACCAATAATCTGTATTTCATGACAGCTTGGAGACCTGTGACTCTAAATTGAACCAATTGCTATAGCTTGATGCGTTTGGATAGGGTTCACATCTGGGAGGGGCGTTGTTGTGACAGTGTGAAGGCAGCTGGTCGAGTAAACGGAGTCTCATCCGGTGCAGGAGGGAGACTTCTTCAGTGAAAGCTGCTGAGATGCGCAGAGCTCCTCCGCGGTCCAGAGACTGCTGCTGCTGCCGTGCTGAATTATGATTGGGATACAAAGCCTACGTTTGTAAATCAGTGGTTTCTTCTGGGTTTTACAATTAGCGTGGTTTACCGGTCTACCGCGGCGTCGTTTTCTGCAGGAACTGTTTTCTCACAGCCTGAGCCTTGGCTTTGTCACAGAGGACCATGAAGACCTTGGAAACCCTTGGTCATGCTGTTTGGTAAGCGTATTTCTTTCCTGCTTCGTATAGACGAGCCACGTCGAGGTTCAGTATGTGACAAATTTGTGTTATAAACGCTAGCATCAGTATAACCCATGTGGACCAGTGGCATGTGCGTTGTAAACGTGTACCCGCATACTAATTTTCTCATCGTGTCTAGTCACAGACACACCTGTGATGGAGTCCCTTTCCTTTTCTCTAATGAATCCAGTTTATACGGGGCTGTTTGCACAGGCTATGCAGATGTATGAGGGACACATGCTGCAGGGAACTCCATTGGGTAAAACGAACGCACATTGACATAATAGATACCCGCAGATAATGGCAGCCCGTGTTGACTGTCAACAACGGCCAACTGTAAATAACCAAATATACCATTGCAATGTAAATGCCCTAAGACTGAAGTTGTCTTTAGTTGGGGTAGAAAATAGTTGTTCCTGTTAAATTGTTGAGGGAAAATGATCTTGATGTCGTCCTGGCCTTCCAATTTTAATCTGACATTGGCCCTTCCGAGTCTAAATTCCCATCAGTATAATGGACCTGCAAAACTCCCCTCATGCGCGTTACAGTGGGTCAGCGAGTCTTCAGGGTGTTGATGCTAACCCACCTTTGATGTATGTGGGAAATACCTCACTGTTTTCTCAAGAGCTTTTCATCTTTGATCTGAAACATTGCTGATTGTTCACATTTTTTCTTCTGTGATTTTACCACAGGCGTCTAAAGTCACACCATGGATTTGGAAAGTTATTGACTCAGCAATTTTCCATCTAGGAGAATATGCCACTTAGATTCAGAACAAGAGTTGCTGTTTGCTGTCATGCCCTATTCACACTTTATCTCTAATTGCAAGTTTGACACTAGCCTACTCACCCATTTGTTTTCTATCTAACCTCTAACATCTCAGGTACAGTAAAACTCCTGTTCCTTGCTCCACATTCCACAATTGTCTGCTGTTATTGATTTATTTTTAATGTTTATTTAGATATTTATATTATCTTAGTAGGTTCCATGTTATATTCTTTACTGTACCCCAAGTCATAAATCCACAATATTCCTCAGAATAATTTATTTATAGTAGCCAAAATTCAAGTGTGAAAGCAAAATATACTTAGGCCTGCTTACAACCTCTTCATTAATAAGGTTATTGATACTATCATAATCATGTTCATTTAGTGCTTGAAGTCAAAATAATTAAAATCAAATACTAAACTAGTATCAAATGTAGATACTAATTTGAACAGATGTCAATTCCAAAATGAACATTTCCTGAATGATGAGCTGTATCAGGACAAGTATGAGACCATATAAAGTAGTATAGAACCATGGACCACTATGGAACCTACCTGAATGACTGAGGGATTACACAGATATAAGGTCCCATGGTATTATAAAAGAAAGTACTATGATTTAATGTACTGTTGTCTAAAAAAAAAGTGTTAGTTTCAAGTAAAGTATCGAGTCTGTTCCTTGGAGCTGAAGTTTGACATTTTTGTATCTTGACAACACTAGCTTGAAGTACTTCCAGATTTTTATATTTTCCCACATTGTCTGTTATAAATAACAGGATTTTTGAATATCTCTGAATATCCCAAGGTCTTTCACATAATAAGCAATTCTGAATCTGGTCCAAAGAAGATTAGTACCATAGTGAAACATGAAAACACATTGTGATATCCCCGCAGGTGTTACAGAGCAAAGAAAAACCTATAGAAATAATCCCCTTCAAAGTTCCTGCCACATTCCTATCTTTATTACTGGCCCCTCCTTGCTTCTGCACAGGCCAGGTGGATCGTAATGGCTGCTTTGTTTTATACCCTTGTTTTTTGTGTGAAATAAGCAAAGGTGAGCTTCAAGGCCAAAGGGGTAGTTTGGTAGGTGTAGTGGTCAGTGAGAACCATTAGCTGTTGATAAGCCTGTTATAAATCAGCATTTCATGGATATGGGGGCACAAGGAGAGATGATATTAGTGCATGAGAGGAGAAGAGATCAGCTGACCTTCTGTAAGCCCTTCACAGATCTTTGGTAGGGGTTATTCAAGTGGAGATAGTCCCTGAGTAAATCCTCAGCACTAAATGGTCTTATCTCCTTTTTACACAAAGACCCTGTCTCAGCAGCCTAGGCTACATATTCTCCCTTTGGGGTAGGGGGCACACTCAAAATATTAGCCAACTCAGTACACAAACTAGACTGACAATTATGGAATGTCAGTTCTATTTCATTTAATGTGATCTGTAACCATGTGACCACAACTCTTGGTCTATCATTGCCAAGACAATATACATTTTGTTATTATCTGATTTAGACATTTGCATATTTCTAATAATATCTACTAGTTCCAAATCACAGAATACTGAAAAAGTACAAAAAGACAGCAAAATAATTATTTTGAAATGTTGGCCTTATAAAGTTCTGGACGACACTTTAAACACTGTCGCTCTAACCCCAGACAGTGGCAGCTGTGTCAACAATTGTGGACAAAAGTTACACCTGTCCTCATGGAGCATGACGACAGCTTTAGTTGACAGCTGCCTCAGATGTATTTACTGTTGCAGGATGATGCAAATGCTCTTATGATCTTCTATGAACATATAGCACAAAGCAGAAAGGGCTTAAATAGGACCAAGTGTCGCTCCAGTCATGAATACATCTGTTCTGTAAATGCTGACGGCTCTACCCGTTCCCAGGGCTCTCGGGCCCTATAAAAGCTGACAGCTGAGAGCGTGAATCTTTTTAAAAGCTTGAAGGCACCATGTTTATCAGGCAGCAGAATGCTGAAGAGAAAACTGTTGCCTTTAGGAATATAGCAGTACAACAAATGCTATGATCAAATATGCATCTCTAAGGAGCCAGCATGGACACATGTGGTATAAGAAAGGACCAGCCTTCTGGGGTGAATATTAAGTGCACAATTGTTTTGCTTTAAGAGATATAGGTGCTAATGGCAGAGGGCTGAGCTAATATTTAAGCAACGCCAGGACTCCACATTGATAATGACATGATAATTACACACAGCATGTGTCCAGGTCAGTGGCACAAAATAATTCAATATTTTAATCACAACACAACCATTCTTTACTATGTATAACATTTTTATTATATTGCAATTTTTGTATTGAACTAACAAATTGTCAATCAATCCATATACCTTTGAATTAAGTATTTGTCTCATAGCTGAGGCCTATCTTAGTATTATTATATTTGTTAGATGCAAGTGTCTTTGAGTGCTAGGTTGGATGTATTACCATTGTTATCTTTACTACAGTGGTCGAAAATGAGATTCACCACTTCAGGAGATATAGAAACAGCAAAGGAACAGCAAACACTAATTCAAAGCTGGCATTGGCACTAGGCATGTTACAGCTTGTCTCATCATTTGTCTTGGCTTTATTGGCATCAGAGGCTCAAAAACAAATAGGGAGAGTGAAGATAAATTTTTATTCAGAAGAGTAGAAGAAATGTATATGTAATGAAAAATAAAATGCCTGGCCTATTATTGTAGTGATCTCCTACTGTAACTGCTATTAATTTTACACCAGAAGAAGACTATTGCTGTGTGAAAAGACAGGAGACCCTTACCATATAGACAATGGCATTCTTAAGCGGCACCACAGCCTTTTGGCCCCAGCTGCCCAGCGACCGTCCACAAACATGAATGCCAAATGTCCACTTTCTTTTTAGAGTTTATGGGCCCAGCTTTGTTTGCAACTGAGAGCAACCAGCCACATAACTGTACTTTCCCCAGTCCTGGTCCATGCATTAAAGGTCCTATATTATGCAAAATTTACTCTTGTTGAGTTTAAATCATGTTATAATGCTGTTACTGTTACTGTTTCTCTCTCTCTCTCTCTCTCCAAACCTCTATTCAGAAATGCTCTATTCCACCCTGTAATGTCATCAAGCGGTAGTTTTCAAGTTAACAGCTGTCTTTTACATTTTGGTTAGTAGTTAGAGTTTGAAAATTCCTGGGCTGAAATGATCCAAATAATTCTAATGAAAGTCTAGCACTTCCTGTATTACCATATGACATCACAAGGTGGAACAGGGTGTTTGCATTTCAGCAAAAACACTCTAATGCCTAAATATGCAGGGTTTGTGTGTTGGACATGTGTGAATAAAACAAAACATAACTCCAGGTATGTTTATGATGAAGAAACAACATTATAACATAGATCAGAAAATAGCCTAAGATAGGCCCATTAAATTTACCAAAGTTTCGATCATGCAGAGGTATAAAGATTCAAGTGATGAGCTTTTGTCAGAGCCGACCTTGTGAGTCTGTAAGTAGGCTGCATGTGAAGAGGAGAGGACAAGTACACTGGGATTTCAAAGACAAAGTCAGAGAAAAAGACAGTCAAACTTTGGATGAACATTAGAAACATTCCTTTAATTATTAAAGGACCCATATTATGCCATTTTTTGATCTAATTACGTTGTTTCCTCATCAGAAACATACCTCTTTCAACCGTGATGTTTCCAGACTCTACTAAATAAAAGGTGAAAGCCTAAAAGGTAGCTGTTAACTTTTGAGGTAACAACATTCTAACATGGCTAAAAGCACACAAGAGTCAATTTTGCATAAAGGTACCTTTAAAGGTACAATATGTAACCTTTCTCACAGAGAAAGCTACCTGCTTGGAGATGTTATCTTTTCCCTTTAAAGAAAGTAATGATTTATAAAACTTTGCATTACACAGGCCTTGTAATGAAGTGAATACCATTAAAGAATTTCTTGATCACAAGTACGCCTAGAGTTCTTGATAATAAACAGAGCTATGGCCATTACGTTAGCCTTACCACCAGACATGGATCTCCTAATATAAGCAGAGCCAGGTGAACATTTAAAGTGGCATTAGCCAACTTTTCTCTTGTAAGTTCATAAGTATGTACATTAAGTCCCTCTTCCCCACATAACATGCAGTGCAAAGCAGTACTTTCAGACAAAATCAGACCACTGCTACACACTGTCCACATCTAATGCAAAGTAATTAGAAGTGGTGCATGTGCCCATAATATACCACAGGTTTTTGAAAGTTAGAATCTTTTTAGATAGGATTCACCCTCTTCCTCAATCATGGTTTTAAAATCAGTTATCCCAGCTTTTATATGACAACAATAACAATCCAACAATATGAGAGCCAGCATTCTGTGGTTTTCACAATAATGTTACAGTCTACAGTGGTTCTTAGTCTGCATGTTGTCCGTATGTTACTTTGGGTGCCTTCCAGGAGAATCTTCCCACCATCCAAAGACATGCACATATCAACTGTTATTTCATCCACTTTGCTTGCTGTATGATTATTCTGATTTTTGGAGTAATTGATGCTCACATACACTTTGACCTCTCCAACATACTGTATTTGAGTTTTAATACTAGACTTAAACCCTGAAACGTCTCCCTCTTCTTGTGTGCGAACAGATTTGTTGTGTCATTAGTTAATTGGCATGAACCAACAGTGATGCCAGCCATTTGTGTTCACCATTCAGAGTAGGGCCTTTTGCCAGAGGCTTTCTATTTTGAGCTGTCTCTGTTGGGTATTAGAAAATTTTTTTGGATTCATTATCTGAGAAAAATAACATTGCTCAGTTTGTTACGGTTGGATACCATGCTCTAATGATTTTCAGCTACACTTAGATCTAATGAGGCACAAAGGTTTACATTTAAAATTACTGAAACTCTTTTTGTTGCTGTTCTCTCAATATTTTTTAATTTTGTAATTTGTCATTCAAATAGGCAATATGCATATTGATTTTACTGATACTAATTGTAATACTGATGTATCTTAATTACAAATACGATTGGACGTGATGACCAAGATGAGTGTCATTATTCTTGTTCTCAAGATGATTATCCAGTCAGAAAGCAGAGGGTTGCCATTGTCAATGCTGAAATCCATATGATCTGTATTTCTCTGATCTGAATCCTCATTACATAAAGTCCAGTGCTTCACCTATCATTAATCTGTGCTAGTGCAGCCTCTGCAGCTCAGTAAGTGGATTCTGGAGACTCTGAGCTTTCACATGAGGTATGGCTTGAGTGTATACTGAAAAGAACTGTAAGAGGCTGCAAACTGTCCCTTTAACCGTATTTGTTTACCATCTTTGTTCCAACCTCTCCCTGAGCGCAGTTTGTATGCAGGTCATTGTCTGGCCATTTGTCCTTCATCTAGCTCAGAGAGGTAACACCTATAAGCGTTTGAGTACAGTAAAACTGATCAGGCAGTAAATATGTCAACTCAAACAGCAGACATCTAAAACAAATAAATGCAAACTGCACATAGTATTCCCATGTCAAAAACTGTGAACACAAAGGTACAACATAAGTTTTGTTGTAGATCTTGGAAAAGCAAAGATTTTATTGTTATTTAAATCTTGACAAAGGCAAATGTAAAATGTAACATCCAAATTTCTACCATATTAGCAAGTTTTAGCTGAATTTGGAGCTAGGGCTGGACCATCAAATCATGATGTAATCTCTGTGATGATCTGTTATTTTGGGGATATCCACACAAACTCACTCACAGCAACTTACTCACATTTTGCAGCAGATCAGCCAAAACAAAATATTGGCCTCTGCTGGGGATTTAAGGCCAATATCTGAAATGCTAAAAATTGCAAATATTGGCCAACCAATACATCTCTTCTCTATCCTACTCTTTAAGGCTCTGAGTGAGTGACAGGTGGATTTACCTTAACCATTCACAGGAGGGTGTGAACTTTCAGAAGAAACAGATGAATTTATTTCTCTCTTAAAAGCAATACAAAATCTAAAATGTGCATGAATCTTTATAAAATCAAAAATATTATTTTGCTAAGAAAATTGTGTAATCTACCCCTTTTTAGATCGTCAATCTATTATGCATCAAATGAAGTTTAACATTTTTAAACTGTCTTAAAATGGAACTTGCCATGCCTTTGGTAACACAGACTGATCCATGTTTTTTATTTCTACATTTACAAACTGCTTTAACAATCACAAAGATCATGTGTTATTACTTGAGTTTATTTAACATTTTAATTACAGAAGTGCTTGCATTTTTTTGTGTATTTGTATTCATTTTTCTTGTTATGTTATTTTGTCTCATTTGTAGATTCCACCCTAAAACAGAAGCTGAGGCGAGGAGACTCCTGATGCTTCTTTACTTCATCTGAGTGTAACCCCAATGACTTTTTGCTGCTGACTGGCTGCAAATGCACTCCCTCCAACAACATGGCTGATACTGCAAGGTTGGTGCCAGAATAAACTAAAAACATGCATGTTCCACACTTCTTTTGAGCTGTAGCAAGTGTATATGCTTGTTTTGAGCAGGTAAAGAGGTGCTGGGGAGAGACAGAGCTGTCCCAGGATTTCGTCACATGGAGGTGAAAGGACAACTAATAACATCCATGGGTCTGGGGTCACCAGGTGAGGGTGTGCTTTATGTAACATCTTCACATGTCTAGACAAGCCCAAAATAGTTCAATTATTTCTGTCAAACAAAGAGAAAGTACTTTCTTAAACAGCTGTGAAGCCACCTTCATAACAAGCTGTCACCCCTGCTGTCAGAACTTCTTATCAGAGCAGGCACAGAGAAGCAAAACAAAAAACTGGCGGGTTTGATCATAATTTTAGATCTGTTCATGCTCTTGTTTTTTATCTCTTATTGCTGTCCTACAATTCCCAGTTCACAGCGCTGTTGTGTTTGTCTGCAGATGTTCAAGGCTGCCAGGATGGCAAGCTTCAGGCGGAGAGGCTCACAGCTCTGCAGCAAAAGAAAAAAGCTCTGGAGGCCCTCCTCAACAACAGAGTGGGTGAACTCAAGCAAGTCTGTCTGCAGGAGGCAGTGAGTATACACCTGTTTTTACAGCAGCCCATATTCATTGTGGGGCCTTTGTACTATACATGTATATATAGAGGCTTTGCCTGATTGCGTCAGACATTTTCAGCACCCCTGAAGTCACAGCTACATGAGGTTTAATTAGCACATTTCCCTTGCTAAATTTGTAGTTTGACGTGTTGAAAGAGTGAGTGGCAGAAAAGAGAGAAAAGTGACAAGAGCTGATGTGTTTGTGAAGGTTTGAGCTGGTGTATGATGATGTATGTTGCCTTTTAATGCCACTTAATAACTGCAACCCAAATTTAACCACAGGTATGAATAAAGACTTTAACTTTATTCTGTTTAAAGTATCTACAATAACAAAAAGAAAAGTACAAGAAAGCCATACAGGTTTTGACAAAATGACCCCAGGGGATGGATAGAACTGGGTCTGATTTCAATATGACAAAGGGGGGTTAAATGATGCAGTGTAGATTAACAGGGTTTGGATTTGCATGCAGGAAGTATGATCAGAGAAAGACAAAAGAGGTTTAAGCGTTCAATCTAGGAGTAGGAGAATGATAAAGTGCCATAATTGAATTTATAACATTCCACAAATCAAGATTTCTTTCAACAATAGTTATAGATAGACAGCAAGATTTTTAAGACAGTGAACAGTGAAAATTTGTGCTCTACCATATATTAGTTATTGGTATAGTGCTAATAAAGCGTTGGCAAGATACATTTTAGAAAGTAGAGGTTAATTGCTGTCCTCTGCAGGAGTTGACGGGGAAGCTGCCTCGGGTTTTCCCCTTGGAATCAGGAGAAAAACCCCCACTGGTGCAGCGCAGAGCTCACTTGGCACCCAACACCAAGATAGAGGTGAGTCAACTCTTTGAATATCAATTGAGTTTACTGCTTTGGTGTGGTGCTGTGTCTGCTGAAGTCTAACAACAACCACTGTCTCATGGCAACAGGATGAGACTGCCCAGAGGAAGCAGATGAAAACTATCTTCACTGGGGCACTCTACCGCAACTCAGAGTTAGACAGAAATGTGCAAAACAAGAGGACAGTACACAGAGGCTGTCACACAGGTAGACATTGTTTGCTTGTCCCAGTAAATTATGTTGATCAAAAACATAGGTGATACTGTTTTGAATGTAATAACACGAGTTTAGTCATTAACACACATCAGCTTAAATAACTAAATAGAAGAAAATTATTCATCCAAAGTTTCCAAATAATATTGGTCCAGATGGAATAGGTGAATTTGGATCAGAGGAAAATTGAAGTATGTGGGGCAATATCTGATGGACTTTCTGTATAGACTAGAATGACAGTCTCATTTGGTTTACAAGAACAAATCTAACCTATGTTTTTTTCTTGTAGAAGATGCAGTCATGTCAGAGAGTATGAGCTCTACGTCAGACACCACATCCCATGAAAATGGTAATCTCTATGCTAATGATGTTTTTAGACATCTAAGGGTGGACTCACACTAGGACTTTAAAACTGTGCCTTGCTCAAGCATGATTGCGTAGGGTGTTCTCACACCTGCACAACCGTACCGAGTCACGGCTCAACAACGTCATCACATGGTGCTGTTTATTTGCATGTCACACAGCAGAGTTAAAGCTTTTAGCGGAGAAAGAAGTCCAGCGGCATGAAATATATATTAAATAGTGAGACAGATAGGAGTCCTGCTGCGATACATGCTCCTTCATGAGTTTATGGATAGAAAAATAGCATGGAGCAGTGAGGACAACCGGAGATAAGATGGCAAAACTTTTGTCTACCACAGTCCTCACTGAAGGTAAGCGCGTATTTTCTGTATGTTTTGGAGCAGAGTTTATTCACTGTTTTCCTTGTATGAGTAACATCAGTGCACCTGACAGGGCTTGTATACTAAAGTCGGGTGTGTGCACATACATGAGCAACCGTGTAGTGCTTTGGCCCACCTCCGCCAAGCGAGCCAAAATGCCAACAGTGCCGTACCTGGGTATGGTACGATTGCGCCCACACTGGACAAATGTACCATGCTTTAGGGGCAATCTGTACTTGGGCACGGCTCTGAAGTCCTAGTGTGAGTGCACCCTTAAAGTGCTTTTGATTGTTTTCAAGTTTTTCTGTATATTACTTTGTTGTTTGTTTGGTGGGATAGTGCCTGTTGTAAATATTATTTAAAATTATTATTATTATTTCAATGTACTTTTTTGACATTGTAAGAAAGTAGCAGCAAGTTCTAAAAAGGAATACTTCTTTCTATATAATTAATTTACAAAGTTCTCTGAAGTTTAAGTCTAACTTAGCACATGCACTTAAGTTCAACTGAATCGTAGTGACTAGCATTTAAATCTTTCACTTTACATTCATTAGCCAAATAATAAGACCAGACATCTCAAGCTGAAAATAGCACATGAAACTGGCATGTTTAAACATGATTTTTCTTTCCTGAAGAGTCTTCTCCCAGCGTGGCAGCAGACCAGCGCTCTTTGTCACAGCCTGGTCTCACTGTGGGGAGTCCTGACCACAGAATCAGCAGGAAGCTCTCACCAGTCGAGATTTACTATGAGATGAGGACACGACGCAACTCAGCCACAAGCTCTGTCAGGTAATGTCTTCTTTTGTGTGTGCCTAATGAAAGCCTGGATTTGTCCTTAGTGGAGTGAGAGATCATATCATTTAATACAATGTAATCAAGTGCAACCCATGGAAAGCTCTTTTAACGCGCCATTCCCCTCAGCCACTCAATTTGACTGAGGCAGGATGCTTACCGCCACAAAACTTACAATGTATAACTATGGAAACCAGTCTGTATTGACTTTGATAAAGTAACTGTCAATACCTCATCTCAACCTGAAAAAATAGCCAGTACTGCATTTTTTTCTGAATTGGTATTTGATACCAGTATTGGTGCATCCATAGTACTGACTATAACATTGTCATATTGTGTTTGCTTGTGCTATGCTTTATAGTATTTTGTTTATGTTCCCACAGCCCCTCTCACTCTTTACCACAAAGTGCATCAAATGCTGAGGGCAGAAGTGTTCCAGCGACTCCTCTGTTGGCTCGTACGGCCCCCATCAGTGTTCACGTCAGGTAATATGTGATGCTGCTTCTGTGTGCTACAGCACAGCTTCTACTGCCACCCACAGAGATAACTATGGATTCAAATAAGATAATTTCTTAAATACACATAAGAGCCAGACACAGTGGGGTGATTTGTGTCATGTTAACAAATGTTTTGCCATTCTGTAAGCCTAAAAAGCCTATATGTTTTAAAATCACAGTTTTTATACAGCAAAATAAATTTTCTAAAATCAATCAATTATTAATCTTTGGTATTGTGTTTTCCTAAATGACAGGTCGGATGGATCAGGAAGTAATGGCACTAAGCAGTGGTCTGGCAGCCTGGATGTACCATACATGATCCCCCTGTCTCAAGAGGGCTCCTCATCGGAGCGCAGAGGGTGCCCTTACAGCTCCCGTGCCAGGCGCAGTAACAGTTCAGAGGCCCTGCTGGACAGGTCTAGTCTGCCTGATGATCCCCCTCCTCGTAATGGGATGCCCCCCAGAGGAGGGCCCTACAAGAGCTCTGAGACACTTACTGATGGAAAGCTGCGGCGGATTAATTTAGAAAGTCCAGAAAGACGTGTGGACAACTCTGTGGAGCAGGCAAAAATGCGTCTGTCCATGGGTGGTCGAGGGACTGGAGGGTACAGCGAGCAGCTGATGGATTATATCTGGGGCAAACAGCAGAAGATGCAGCAGCTGTATCAGTCTACAGGCAGGATCTGGCAGGACACATCATCCCCTCACACATCTACTGCTGCACCACAGTCTCACGCAAATGGCTTCTCCCACTCACAGGTGCACCTCCCCAGTGCTGTACCTCCTTTCAGCCCCATGGTCCTACGAGGATCTCAAGCTGAACTACGCAGGGTCAAAGTCACTAGAACCAAATCTTGTGGCCCATTTATTCCTTTGCAGCAACATGATGCTCTTCTACTCTCAGCGTATGAGTCACCTCTTCCTTCTTCAGCCACCACTTCGTCCATTCCCAACTTGCACCCTTACCAAGCTGAGCTGTTGGGTCCGCCATTCACTCGCAGACCTCCACAATTCTCTCTTCCCACACCGGAAGACTCCACACGAAGCCTCCACAAGGCTCTAGCACTGGAGGGGCTGAGGGACTGGTACCTCAGGAACGCACTGGGGTATCCTTCCTCTAAAGGTCATGAAGCAGGGGTCTCGCCTCTCACACCCCCACCCTCTGGTGCACCAGCCCCAGTCGGTCCAGGGTGACCCTACCAACAGCCACAGGCCTCATATGCCTCAGTCTGCCAGCTTCCATGGGCATCCACTTCACGGAAGGTCAGTTGCACCCTCATCTACTCTGTGTGAGCCATCAATTGTAAATTCTGAAAATTAAAGCCTCTATATCATTGGGTTACTGTTTGTTTTACTTTTCTGTGATGATATACATCACAGCTTGTAATGTAATATTTAGAAAAACCATCTACTGTCTACAGTTTATGCTGCCATCAAGCCTTGTTTTACTTCAGTCATTTCATCATTACAAATTAATAGCTTGTTGAGATGTGGTTTTACGCTCTTCTGTCTCTCATTTATGCAACACTATTGATCTGTTTTCCCTTTCTCTTCTGCAGATCAATGGAGTTCTCTCTGTACCAGGAGAATGCACAGGAAGCCTCTCCTAAGGAACCCACCGCTGACCCAGGCACCCTGGTCTAATAGGACTGTACGCAATAACACCTCAGACAAAACATGCCCAAATGTTGATACAGTGTGACCTCAAAAGAAAAACAAAACATGGCAACCTCAGCAGAAACTGACTGTAGTCAGTGATAAACTGTAGCCCCACTGTGTGAAAAGGCCTTGGCAAGTCCTCTGCTGAAGTCAGAGGTGTGTGTGTGTGTGTGTGTGCAATGCTAGTGCTGTCATGCACGCTCAAGTTTATTTATGACAGTATGCTGTACACAAACAAACTATCTTCTTATTAGTCACCATGGGAATCACCAGATATACTTTTTTACAGAATATATTCAAGTCTAAATTACTATTTTGTACAGTCTGACCTATAAAGAACAGTTATATAAAAGAGGTAATTTATTGCTCATTAATTTTGTGATGTACTATGGTATATGACTTCATAATTTGAAATATATTAACACTGGTGAATGTGTTTTATGTAAGAGCAAAAACAGCATCATTAGCCGTTAAGTCCTCATTTATTCAGTTTTTAATTTATTTCTTAAATAACCTAAACAGGCCATAAACTGTAGAGCGCAGCTGTAGCGAATGGGAGTGCCTAAACGTTGTATCAAGAAAAACTGACAACTTTAAAGTGCTTTCTGTTAATATTAAATGCTAGGATTAAGCCTCGGCAAATTTTAATCAAAAATCACAAAATATTCAAGATGTCACTAAAGAGGATTTGGGAAGATGTCGTATTGATGGTCATTTTCAGGCTGCTCCTGACCATATATGTAGCGTTTTGTTGTTTAAGTATGAAAGACACTTTAAAGTAAATTTGAGGGCTTTTGAGAATCTAGCAGTGACACATGGTTCATGTTCAAATGCTTTTTGTAGAGGGGCATGGTGTCATATAAAGCACTTTATGAACATCTTGAGCCTTAAATCCCTATAAATAAAAGGGTGACAGGTTTGGACAGGGTCACAGTTTTTCTCAGTGGCTTGGCATACAACCCATGAATGTCAGACAAGTAATAATGCAATGAGATGGGATTTTCCAGTATTTGTGTGATTTCAAATTTTCACACAGTAACACAGTGATGTTCCTCCATCCAAGACCAACCAGCTGATGGAGCCCATATCATTACATGCTTGTGTATGCGTGTCTTTGGATGCTCAGCGCAAACTAGGGCACCAGTAAAATAAACACTTTCAAGTTTCACTCAAACTGGGAGTCAGTCAGCCAACATCTTGAATGTGTAGCCAGTCAGTAAAAGTGTAATACCCTTCACCCCCATGCGTAGTCAAAATCAGAGAATAATTGTCATAAAACCAGACAGTTTAATTTTTTTCTAAATTGTCCTCAAAGCAGGTGGTAAATACTAAAGGTCACATGATCCTAGTTTGATGAACCTAAGAGTGAGAATCCATTTAAGCTATTGAGAAAAACCTTTGTGGTGAAATGTTGAAAGAAGCAAGATTGTCTCCTGAAGATCTACCTGAGCATACGTCTGTACATAGTGTGGATTGTAGTACGATTAGGATGAGTTTTAGAATAATATTTTAACTTCTCTACTAACATTATTTATAACATATTGCAAGTATTTACTCACAATTGCCCCCCTTTTCTTGACCTTTGACTCTTATGTGAGCACTATGTAATTAATAAGTGAATTGTGTAATCAAGGTAGGGCTGCTGCAGTATTGAATGATGGTGTGAGCGGGTCTCACACTCAATTTTAATTTGTTTTTTAAATGTTGTTTTAATGAATTTGTCTTTCAGGAAAGATGTTTATATTCATTTTTCATTTAGTTTAGTTTAGTCAATAAAAGCAAATGTTGTGATGTGAGTATATCATTTTAATCTGTTGTATTTTAATTGATTCGTATTTTGACTTATTTTATTGTACAAAATAACATTTCAGAATAGTTGGACCCATATAAATCTGATAAATATGGTTTGTCCTCAGTTTACAACATGAAACAGGAAGCAGTGATTTGCAAATACCAATAAATCACATTTTGTGCTATGAATATTAACATTTCAGATTAATATATTACCTTTACCTTTTGCTGGATAAATACTGACTGCTTTGTCTGTCTCACACTGGGAAAGGTACACCAAAAATGTGGCAAAATATGCAAACCAGTGCATTCTGATTGTTTTTATGTTCTCTGTTGTGTGCACACTTTGGGGTGTATTTCTTATCCATCATATAGTCTGTATATTGAAACTGTTTTGTATGTAATAACATCTTCTGTATTCTGCATTATAGAGCTTCTTCCAGCTGATATTGTAGACCAAACTGCTGTGCAATGGGGGCCCTAAATGTATTTTTCATACAATGTACTCTGTAAGTTAAAAGAAATTAGCCTATAATTTTGCTCTGAAGCTCAAACTATATTATATTTATTAACAGTGTTTTGTAACTATCTGGTTACTTAACTGGTAATGTGTGTACATCATTTTACTCAGCAGTGTGATGTCAATATTTGATCTGATTTAGTTTTTATAATTAAGTGATGGAACTGTTATCTCTTTTAAGTCTCTTAATACCAGGTCTGTGGATAGGCTCTGGTTGGCCTGTCCTATACTGTACGAGAGTGTGAAAAATAAAGTGTCATGTTCAATCTGAGGCTGTGTGGGTTATGCAGCAAATTAAAGTGCCTATGACAGGTTAGACACATTTGACTAAAACACAGCTAACATCATTATATTTAAGATTTTACAAATCATTTTGTACTTTCTTTCTCTGTCTGACATTTTTTTAAGTTTCAAATTTTACTTCCTGGTTGGAAATCATGACATCACTGGGGAATCATAGCTGTTACCTAGCGACCATGATGTAGGCCAAAACTCCTCAAATGTTCACAGAGAATATTATTTGACAAATAAAAATATATTAAAAGCCTTTATTTTGTTGAAATCATGTTTAAAGCATCAGAAAAATGTGCTATGAATTGTGCCTAAATTTTAGATAAAATTCTCCCTAGTGTAATGTCATCATTATGGAACTGTCTAGTTACTGTAATTTTCAACATATTTTTCAACTTATCTTCACAAACTACTCGGTTCATATATATTTATGACAGGTACTATAACACCAAATTAAGTAAAATTTAAAGAATCATCAAAACCTGTCATACGCACTTTATTCAAATAAATACAATTGGGCTATTCTTACCAAAAATCGTTCTACTTATCACCAGTGAATATATGTTTTAAAATGTATGGTAGCAATAAGATTTAGCCACTATAGATTGACTACAGATAAAAGTAGGTTAGTAGCCGGCCATGCAGACAGGCGTTATTTCTGGACAGAGCTGAGGGCCCTCTGGACAGTGAGAGCTTGTGCGCCCGTGCGCGCTGAATCCAGTGTGGCACGGGACAAAATACGCACGTCTACTGTGATTGTACGTGTTTTCCCTCTCCCCGGTCCCCAAAACAAACTAGGCCACAACTGTAAACGACGACACAGGTAAGTACTACACATTTCTCACTGAATTTTCTCTCTCTCTTTTTTTGTTGTTGTAAAGAATGGGCTATAGTCTTTTGAATTCTGGACTTCACCAAAAGGAGAGACGTGTCCGCTCGAAACTATCAAAACAAAATACGCATAATCAGAAAGCTAGCTCAAGCTAATATACGATGGTGAGCCTTACAAGTGATTTTATTTAAGAAATATATTATTATTATTACTGGGTATTTTCGAAGCATTGAGAGTGGAGCTGTAATGGATGTTATATATAATATTTACGTAAAATCAACCGGAAGTAGCTTCATAACATACTGCCAGTTGTTTACTGACGAAAGAAAAAAAAGTTTCTTGAAGAGTTACGGGTTACCGGGGGAATTAAAAATGTTAAGAGTAAAATGTGTCTGCTGGTTTGCGCAGTGTTGTAGAGCATGCCAATACAATGCTTGGTAAGTAGTCTCTAAATAAAATAAAATAAAATAAAAATAAAAAAATCACAAACCACTTCTCTCAAAAATATAAGCCAATGAAGTTTTCTAAATGACCAAATGAGCCCCTCTCCCCTGCCTGGCCATGTTGACAACACAGTAAGTAGAAGTAGAAAGAGTTTGGTTTCAGCAGGCCAGAGTCAGGAGCTATTTATGTTGACATGCCATTCATCCAGCTAAAAATAACCATCCACTGTCTTTGGCTCATTTTGAAATGTCATTGCAACAGTTTACGACCCGTTATAGTTAAAGTGGATATGGCAGGGTTTGATGATTCTCCTTGACTTAATTTAGTGTGATAATACCTGTTGTGAATATAAATGATAGTTTTACACCAATCAAGAAGCAATTTGCAAAAAAAAGATTGAAAGATTTGAGAGTTCTATCCAAAAGTTCCACACATTATACATGTAAAAAAAACAAAATTTCCCTATATTTTAAACATTATTTCAACAAAATAAAGGTGTTTTCTTGTATTTTTATTTATCTAATCATAATTTCTGTGTACAATGGAGGAGTTTAGGTCCAGTGTTGACATGGTTGCTAGATAACAATTATGGAAGTCCCTGGTGTGATGTTCTTTGTTAAACTTTTTGTAAAATTTTAAATATAATGTTCTGTTTTTAAGTATACATGTTATATTCAAGAATAAAGAAGCTGTTGTATGTGAACATATAGGCATTATGTGTTTGCTTGGACTCACCTCCAGTCTCTTGAATTCCACAGGCAAGCGGTGGATATGTCGTCAGCATATGCAGCTGCTATATCCGCTCTTATCACAAACAGCCTCTCAGATACACCCAACCAAGCCAATTCTGCCCCAGGGTCACAAACTACCCAGACTGACAAAATCAGCTCACACAGTAAGCCAGCTCCCCACCTTAAGTCTGCACAGTCCCAGTCTCAACCACCAGAGCTTCCAGGCCCCATTGAGGAACAGGAGAATCCAGAAGACTACGGTGTTGGTACATACATACATACCTGGAATATTATTTATTATTAGTCAATGATGGTGAGGTCATAAAAGGTTATTTTGTTGCATAATTATTTTTTCCTATTTTTGGTTGTAGGTGGTTATTATCCTGTGGAAACTGGAGAGATTTTTGTTGACCGCTACCAAGTGGTGAAGAAGTTAGGATGGGGTCACTTCTCAACAGTGTGGCTCTGTTGGGATATGGTGTAAGATTAAGCTGAGCTATTTGAATATAATGTGATTCACTACATATTGATAATATGTAATATGAATATGTAATATGTAATATTATCAATATAATATGTAATATTATCAATATTGTTTTGTTTACAGAAATAGGCAATTTGTTGCTCTGAAGGTGGTAAAGAGTGCACAGACTTTTACAGAGACGGCTCTAGATGAAATCAAGCTTCTTAAATGTGTAAGTAAAAATTACTCTTTCATTGTATAACTTTTTCATAGCATTATATTATATGGTCTTTGCTTTGGAACAGGAGTTCAGTTCTTGCCATTCAGTATTCTCTGTTGCTGAATTTCTGACGCAACGAAAAGTACAAATTGTCATCTGTGGGGAGACAGTGGTTCAGGTGGAAAACTGGTTGTTTTACAAAAAGACGTTTAGTGGTTTGAGAATTCTGTTACATTAAATTCATAGCGTTGTTGTGTCCATGTGCAAGATACTTTGCATGATTTGCTCGTTGTCACAGACAACCATTGGACATTACCAGTATCAAGTGCGGGAACTGAATGAATCTGACTACAATGCAACAGCTTAAAACACTCAAACTTTGTTTTGTTCCCAGGTGATGGAGAGTGACCCCAAGGACCCCAGAAGGGAAAGAATAGTTCATCTCCTTGATGACTTCAGAATTGCTGGCGGAAATGGGGAACGTATCTTTTACATAAATTGTGAAATATGTTTTACTATTTCATGAAACATACTTTAACACATTCTCAGATGTGTGCATGGTTCTTGAAGTGTTGGGCGACCAAGTGTTGAGATGGATTATTAAATCCAACTACACTGGTCTACCACTGCCCTGCGTCAAGAGAATTGTCAGACAGGTATCTCCCCTTCTGTTGTATTGTGAACTCTCAATACAACCTCATTGCAATACATGGCTTTAAATAACATTCCCTCTTTGTTAAAGGTATTACAAGGTTTGGATTACCTCCATAGCAAATGCAAGATCATCCATACAGACATCAAGCCAGAAAACATTCTTTTGAGCGTGGATGAAAAGTACATACAAAAGCTTGCGGCCAGTACTAAACTATGGCAGCTTCCAGTGCAGCCTGCGTCACCCAGCTCGACAGGTTATAATTGTTATATATGTGTGTTTTTAAGTTGTGCCTTTTAGTCTGTAATACTTGTTTATGGGTTGTTTGGTTGTTGAGGGAATTGTGGTTGTGTTAGAAAAAACAACAACTTTCATCTATGTTTATTTTTTATTTTTCCATGATGATGATTTTAATTTCTGCCAGTGAACAAAAACCCCAGAGATAAACAGGTTGGCAAGCAGTATTTGTGATTTCTACATTTTATTTAGATTTCTTATTTGGAGTAGATTTCTATAAATTGTTAATATAAAATTCTGTTATGACTTTCAAAGAGTTTGTCCAACTTATGGGGGAAGCTGACTGGGGTTTTCCATTCTCTTGGGGAGTGGGTAAGATGATGACTGCTATGCTGCTTTGATTAGCACTTTCTGCTCTTTAATGCCACCCACAGTTTATCCTGTCCAATTTATATTTAAGCAGCATTATGTTATTTGTGTTGAAGTTTTGGTTGTGATTTCTGGCCTGTTTCAAGAAACTATAAAATAGTCTTTTAATGGCCTGAGTTGCCGTTACGCAAGGTTGCTTTCACTTGCTTGCTCATTTCTAATTTGCTATCCCTAGGCCTGTCACGATAACAAATTTTGAAGCACAATATATTGCCACAGACAAATATTGTGATAAATGATAATACATTACTATTTTATGCCACTGATCTGATCAAAATAAAGCAAGACAATAAGTAAACCATTTTTAAATAGACAGTATGATTAAAAACCTTAAGCTGCAACAAATAAATAGAAGAACGAAGCAAAAATGATCCATAAAGGTAGCTTATTCAACCCTTTCAATTCTTGTTCTATTACAATGAAAATAACAAAAATCTCCCCACTTTTGCAAAAAAAAAAAAAAAAAAAAAGCATCCACAATAAATACTAAGCCTAAAATACGTTGTTCCAACTTTCATATATTGAACGATAAATCTATATAGTAATTATTGTGACAGGCCTAGACATCCCCCTGTTGTGGCTGTTCTTACCTGCAAATGTGACAGGCCAAAAGAAGAAGAGGACTTTCAGTTGTTGACCAAATTATCAAACAGTGTCTACGACCTCTTTATGCACAGTTAGAAACACGTTATGCTCTTTGCACTCTGCATGTTACGCTGCACTCCACAAGCAGGCATGATGTTGTTGTGAGGAGACACTTGTAACTCTATATTTCAATTGAATGTTTTCTGGTTGTACCCTGCAGTCCAACAAAGTCTCCAAAAGTCCATTTGAGCGACTGACGAGAAGAGACAGGAGTCGGCGGGGACAGAAGCACAAAGACAAAGCTCACATTCCCTTCTCTGACGTGCCTAGCCACAGTCACAGCTGCACCGGCCGCTCAAAGATCTCAGACCTGGATGTCTCTTTCAGGAGACAGACACTGCTCCTGGAGGATGGCCATGACTCCACTCCTTACAGCTACAGAGAGTCCATGTGCTCTTTACCAGACCTGAGCAGACATTTTACTGTCTCAAGATCTATGTTACTACAACAGCCACCTTATAAACAGCCACCTCCGAAGAGTATGTTGATTTAATATATGTTATTAAATTTGTATTATCTATCTTTGAGGTTTCAGTGTTACCATTTTGATTTCTCTGTTTTCAATGTCCTGTAGATGCTGAAGACTCAGATAGTGACTTGGACTTATTGAATCCACAGAATGCTGATAAAATCAAAACTAAAAGCTGATCTTGGCAACGCCTGCTGGGTGGTGAGTACTCAAGCTTACTCACCACAAGCTATTTATTTTATTTTCGATCCCTGAAATTTAGTTTAGCAGTATATTTTTCACATTGCCCTTTAAGAATTGTGATTTGAAAACATAAATTGCAAATCTATTTTACTATTGCAAATACATATTTTTAAGCCATTGTCCAACATTAAAGCAAATGCATTAGATTTTAATTAACAGAAAGACCTTGTAACATTATTGTACACAATGAATGATTTTTAGCACAGCTGTATAGAAGAATAATATTGTTATGTCTTCCACAGCACAAACACTTCACTGATGGTATCCAGACATGTCAGTACCGCTCAGTGGAGGTTCTTATCGGCGCTGACTACAGCACGCCTGCGGACATCTGGAGCACGGCCTGTGTGGTAGGATCAGGGTCACTATTGTCCAACCTTTATTTAGTTGAAAACTGCGTTTGGTGATTATTATATGTACTCATACAGGCTTTTGAGCTGGCCACGGGGGACTATCTGTTTGACCCGCAAGCAGGAGCTACCTTTTCCCGAGAGGAAGGTTTGTTTTTGTGTCTCAGGCTTAATAAAATGATAAAATCTTTAAGATACTGGTGAAATTCACCTTCACCTGTTTCCTTATAGATCACATTGCCCACATAATAGAACTGCTCGGACCACTGCCCTCCCAATTTGCTCTTTCAGGAAAGAACTCCAAATTGTACTTCAACCGCAAAGGTAACATGATTAAACAATAATTAAAACAAAGTTAGACGGTAGTAAGCAATATTCAGATATGTTTTATTTTAGGTAACTTGCGGCGCATTTCAAAACTCAAACCATGGAGTTTATTGGAGATCCTGCTGGATAAATATGAGTGGCCCAGAGAGGAGGCAGTCCAGTTCAGCTTGTTCCTGCAGACCATGCTGGAGATTTTGCCTGAGAGGAGAGCCACTGCTGCACAATGTCTCAAGCACCCATGGATCACCTCCTAAAAACTGTATACATTTAATTCTCTTTCCACACATTTTCTTCACTCCCTGCCAAAGAAACATTTGTATGCACAGTTTCTCACACAATAGTCCAAAAGAGGCACATGTATGACACTAAGGAAGCAAGAAAGATGTATGACTGTAATTTATTCAGACAAGGCTCAGTCTTCTAGAAACACAAGAAAACAAGAGATGCCTCAATACATCACCCCAGGCATTAAGCTATTTTTTTTATTCCTTTGAAAACATCCAAACATATTCACTGAAATTAATAAATTGGTGTGTGCACACCGTCCCCTGTGTTGTCTTGCTGGATCAGTGAGTGTGGCTTGTATTGGGTCCCCCAACATTCCTTGCATGCTCCATCAGTGCTTCACAGAGGAGGGGGGGGGGGGGGGGGGGTTGGAGCCTGGAGAGGGCGGAGCTAGTTGTTTTTAAATGCAGCCGTGTGACAACACCAGAATACTTGAAGCGAAAGGAAGAGGTGAGAAGAGGACACGCAAAGCAGCAAACATAGGTAAGTCTAATATGCAAAAAAACTAGAGAATGTCAGTGATCTTTTTAAGTATTACTGTATTCTGATGGTTTGAAATTAGATTTTAGTTTTGTCAAATTATTCTTTACATAGTCTACACTACAGTTTTAATGCCATTATTGGCATTTGTAGGATGTGCTAATTTAGCATTATCAGCATCTGATTACATGCTGTTACTGTTTTTATTGAAGTAAAGGTTAAAGTCCCAGAGATGTGCCTTTTGTGCCACTGCTCTTAACCCCCGGCCAGTTGCCATGCAACTTCAACTCTAAATCAAAAGGAATTACCTCAAACACCAGTGGTCTTTCACAGTTACATTAGTTGAAGCTGCAGCAGGTTGCAATCATGCACCATGTATTGCACAGAGGGTTTTCTATCATACCTATTCTAATTTCTAAACAGTGTTTTTTCATTTAATAATTATAGTTGTGATATTATGATGAGATGTGCCGTCTGCTTCTGACAGACTCTGAATAGGAGAGTTGAGGCAGTATTGTACACTGCATAGTAAATACCCATCTCATTAGGCCAATACAAAGGAGCAGGTAGAGAGCTTTCATTCAGATGATGCAGATGTACTGTTGAAAACACCAGTTTATTAATGGAGATTATTAATGCATTCTTCTGCGTTATTGTTTCTGTAGCTGTATTCTTCATAGTGGTCCTACACTGTTTACAGGATGTTGATCACCTGTGTTTATTTCTGCGTTGGAGGAGCTGCCATTCTGTACATCTTGTACAGATGGGTGGTCCCGGCTACAGTTCGCCAAGCTTTGGTGCTGATGTGGCACGACGTCTTGTTGGAGATGCTAATGGACCGGATAACAAGCTCCACTCGGCCACAGGTGGGCTTTCACCTGGTTTTAGATATATTTAAAGATGTATACCAACACAACACATTTTATTAATAAACAAACAATGAAATATATGGAACACAAAACAAAAGCCTGAATACAGTTTTAAATATGTGATTAGACTCCTTAGTGTGTTTACTTTCATATTAGACAGAAATATATATTAAGCCTTATATTAAATAAAAACACATTTACACATGGTACATTTATTTAAGTGTAATGTAGACTTGTTTGTTTTGTTGCTTTGTTTTATGTTTGTTCTTAGTTTTAGTCAATGTATCAGTCATTGTGCAGTGTAAACAGAAATCAAAAAACACTAATTTTAAATGTTAAGCGGATAGGTTAGGGAAAATAAATATCCAGGAAGTACGCCGGGATTATCAAACAAAGTGGGGGATTAAAATTGGGTCAACCCCTCAGATCCACTTGTAACTGTTGTGGAAATTACCTATAAAATAATAGACTATGTCTATGTTCGTATATTACGTTTGCATTGGTAACAAACCCTCCCACTACTGACAGACAGAGTTTCTGCCAGCAGTGAGCACAGAGCAGAGTGTTGAGGTAACAACACTGACAGTCTGAGGTCCAAGCCCTTCCCCAAGAACAGTTTGCATTTAGGTCAGTCCGGCTTAGCTCAGACAGGTGACACATTTTACATTAGCATGTGCGTATAGGTCAGGATGATCAAACAAGACATGCGAAATAAACAGCAGACATCCATCCATCCACCCACACAAAGGTACCTATACCCTTCTGTGATTCAAACAAATCCAAACAATAATGTGAGTCAGATTTTTCAGGTTTTGATACCAGTTATGATACTTTGGCTTTAAGTATGTACCAATACTCGATATCAACCAATACTAGGGCAGAGACTGAAGATATTATTTATTTCCGTTTAACACAAACAGCATAGGTAAAAAATTATCCAAATGTGTTTTGTAAAAATACAAGTTTAATATTATGTGATGTTTTGGGTAAGACGTCTTATTAGACCAGTTTATAGGCAATAACTGGATGGCCAGTTCACCAAAATTTTCAATTTCGGTGTTGAAATCCAATACCAGTATTGTACTGGTGCATCCTTGTAACATCATAGTACTTAGTTTTGTGATATGTCACAAAAATACTCATGCTATATCCATACAGGAGCCTCCAATATCAGTACTCATCAACAAATCACCAAATTCAGAATCATGATATATATTGACATTTTGACACACCCATAATATACTTTGTACACTTCTGCAGAGAATATTGCATGCAGTACAGAAGAACGCCACTAGAGGGGACCCTTGCAGCGTGGTAAAGGCCATTGATGATTACTGCAGACATAAAGAGTGGGCTATGAACGTAGGGGATGAGAAAGGTTGGTATGTATTTGTATAGAAGAACCTTTGTTCAGTGTGTGTGTCTGTCTTATGCATGGACTCTCTCTTGATTGTTACAGGGTGTATTGTAGACTCTGTGGTATCTGAGGTGAAGCCCACCACTGTGTTAGAGCTGGGGACCTACTGTGCCTACTCCACAGTGCGCATAGCCAGCCTCCTTCCTCCTAATGCCAAACTCATTACACTTGAGTTTAACTCAGATTATGCTGTGATTGCTCAAGAGGTCATATCTTGGGCTGGGCTTCAAGATAAGGTAAAACACCAATTACCACGCAGTTTAAATACAATATGTTTTTATTCATTTCTTTCAAATAGTTTATTTTGCATAGATTTTTGTACATAACCAACTGCTCTTATCTGGACATTTACTTTTATCCTTTATGAATACATATAGTTATACAAAACAGTTTTGATAGCATCATGTTATTTCAGGTCCAACTTGTGGAAGGAGCGTCAGGTGAATGGATTCCCAGATTGAAGGAGGAGTTTGGGGTTGAAACTTTTGACTTGATTTTCCTGGACCACTGGAAAGATCGCTACCTCCCAGACACTAAATTGCTTGAGGTAATTATCCTCACAACCTCTTGTAATGCTAAATCTGTGACTAACACCCAATTTATTTATGTTATACCAGAAATGTGGACTTTTAAAGGCTGGCTCCGTTTTGCTGGCAGACAATGTCATCTGCCCTGGAACTCCTGATTACCTGGACTATGTTCGGAACAGCCCACAGTATAAGAGCAAATTTTTCAAGTCACATTTAGAGTATACACAAGAGGATGATGGTCTAGAGAAGTCTGTGTTCTTAGGGTAGGCTTAGAAAAATTAGATTATTGTCCCTTTTATGCTAATGTGTGAACCTGTACTCAATCTGAATAAAATCTGTATTGAAATGTTGTTGTGTTGTAATGTTGTCACGACTCCATTTCGATACAAAGGAAAAAGCTTGACATTTTTGATTCTGCATGGAGTGATTATAAAAAATATTACTTATTTAGAATAGAATTAGAATAGAATTCTCAACACAAATTATCATGTGGTCTTATATTAGCTCTGATACAGATCCAGACCATTATAAAACTATTCAGGAAAAGTCAAATTATCTCCTTTTTATGTGGTATTGTACTACTTCAGTATTGATACTACTTCAGTTGAGTATCTAGTTTCAATATTACTTTTAGCATAAAATTGTATCAATATTTTTGACAACCCTAATGTGTTGTGAGCCTAAATAACTTCACATTTCACATTTTCAATACGTAATATTCATTAGATTAGTAGTAGTAGAATCAAAAATACTTCTGGTACCTTTTCAAGTGGCATGCTTCAATTGCCAGGAGTACAGTACGTGCCCATGGTGTTGGGACCATCTTCAGCCCCACATCTCATCACAGATAAGTGGGAGAATTCATTATTGAATTTGTAGTGTATGAAGACTGTTCTATCACAAGCCCTCCATTAGAAGGTTATCTGACTCAGTTGTATTACTAGTCGCAGTATAGTGACTGATAGATGAGATGATGAGCTGCAAACTGATCCAGGGTCTCCATTCCCTACAGCTTTAACTCCAATCAATAATAAATCTAATCCAACTCACATTTAGCCACACACAAACCTATTTTCTGCTCCCATATTCTACTGCAGTGAGCGTGCGCTGACAGGTGTGTGTGAGAGAGTGCATGGTTTTTGCCGTTTTGTTTCTGACTCAAATGGCCGCTCATGTAATCTCTCAAAGTGACAGAGTTCCATCATATGAGAAGAGGAGGAGGGTCTATTCCACCTAGTGCTTTCTTCACACAAGCCTGTATGATAATCCCAATCTGTGGCCATTAGTGCGCAGAGAGAACCATCGTAGGAGAGAGTTAGGGGAGAGAGAGAGAGGGTAAGTGAGTGAACATGTGTGTGTTTGTGTGTAGGGGGGAGTGGAGTAGAGTAGTGTATGGACAGAGATTCACTGAGGAACAAGAACAGCGCAAAGAGAGAGAGAGAGAGCTTTTAAGGGATTTGGCAGTGATTTGTAGAATCTCACCACTGTTATGTCTTTTTTTCTCTCTAGATTTGCCCCTGGATTTTACATTGATACTGATGCTGTTGCCTTCACTCAAAGTGCAAGTCCTTATTGTTTTGCTACTGTTATTTTGAGTTATTTGTCAAATTGCCAGACTGAGATGCTAAAGAATTTACTTTAGTTTGGATTTGCCCTGTGGATGAAGTCCCTTTTTGGAGCATGGATGGTTGGAGATCTCATGTGGAATAAGTCAACGATGGATCAGATCAAGAGTGTTTGATGAAAAATGGGCAGGTAAGATTTAAAATAATAATAATAATAAACACATATATATTTCAAATGTATTTCTCCTCCTGTAACTGTGAACTGTGAAAAGTCCTCAGGTAATACAAAGATAAACCTTTAAAACATTAAATATTGAACAGGTTAATGTACTTTTATGAGAGAAAATGCATCATTATTTAATTATTGATAGAATTCTGCTGAAAAAATAAATACCTGAACATTTTTACTTCTAAATACATTCTGCTTTTACATTGTGTAAAATGTCATATAAATCTTTATGGAATAGATTTTGTCCCATATTTTGAATGACTTGATATAATGACCCTACTGTAGCTTTTGAAGCATGAAATGAAGTGAAGATTCAGTCGATGTTTGCTGTTTTGCAAAATTTATAGAGCTTTCCATCACTGTGCACTCTGCAAGCCCATGATAAAAGCTTGCAACAGTCACTCATGTCAGACTGGATGTTTCCTAAAATCTCCTCCATACAGCTCAAATATAGCCACACACATCTGCTTCAAGTGAAAGTATGCTTAGCTGTACTGACCAACTTTTAAACCTCTTTCATTCATTAATTATATAAAGTGCCTTTTGGACTGGAGTTGTTATTGTATTAGGGAAATTACATACGCCAAAAAGACTTACACTTTTATGTCAAACTCAGATTATAGGCTGTCACAGTCAAATAATATTAAGGATAAAACATTTTGTCAGTTCATTAAATTAGAGATTATATATAGTAAATGTGCATCAGGACAAACTCCATCTCAAAAATAATGGATTTGTCCCTCCACTAACACTAACTGCACAAAGAGATTTTTATTTTAACAAAACAAAAACAACAGAGATGAACAGATGCTGAACCTAACCTCATCTGTCTCATTTGTATCAGCATCTGTCTTTTTATAATGATTTTGTTTATTCAGTTTTACAACATCACAGTCACTTCATTATCATAAATGAATGACAATATAATTCCTCATTTGTCCAGAAGGTTTGATAGTATCCAGGTATTTGAAGTCAAAACGTGTCCATGGCAGTTGTAATGTCATCTAGTCCAGATGATTACCATTATTGAGTATTTAGCTCACATACTGACCTTTTCCACTTACCTATAAATCAGTCATATCATTACTGGAGTGTCTTTTATTTTATCTGTTCAGGTATTTTGAGTTGAACTTTTTTAAATGCGTAAATGAGTCATGGAACATTTCAAACAAACAAAGCTGCATTGGCAATGTTGTGGGTGTAAAGCAGTTACAAGGTCAAAATATAGATTGATACACATTTCTGTAACGATTATGATGAAGATGTAACTTGTGTTGCTATCTGCCAAACATTACTTTGTGGAAGATAAAGTTAAAGTTAATTGAACTTCTTGTTATTTTGCATTCTCAGGTGGCGCAGGTAGAGGGAGTGGCCTGGCGCAGTGAGTAGATCCGCCCATCCTCACTATGATGTCCCATTGCTGTTGTCGCTTCAGCCCAGTACCCACAATCCCACCATGTCTCCAGCTCCTATGGGTGCTGCTGTTTGGGTTCAGCGAATGCTCCAAGTCCCAACAAGGAGCACAACCACAGTCCATCAAGATCGAAGGTGACATCACTCTGGGGGGCCTCTTCCCTGTGCACTCGCGAGGGCCTGCGGGGGTGCCCTGTGGAGAAGTTAAAAAGGAGAAAGGCATCCATCGTTTAGAGGCGATGCTTTACGCTTTAGACCAAATCAACAGTGACCCAGACCTGCTGCCAAATATCACACTAGGGGCACGTATTCTAGACACCTGCTCAAGAGATACCTACGCTCTGGAGCAGTCCCTCACCTTTGTCCAGGCCCTCATCCAGAAGGACAACTCGGATGTGCGCTGTTCCAATGGAGAGCCACCCATCATTCCCAAACCAGAGCGGGTAGTGGGCGTGATCGGGGCATCTGGCAGCTCGGTGTCCATCATGGTGGCCAATGTGCTCAGACTGTTTGCGGTGAGATGATGCTACATGCATTTTTAAATCAATTTGCCCTCCAGACTATAATGTACATAAATATATGTACATTATACGAATCACGAACGCAACAAGTATACATGTATTTAGCATACTTAATGTGCATTTCCCATATATTTGTTCTTATTGGGTTTGAAAAGAAGTGGGAAGAAAGAAATGTATTACATCCCACCCCTGTCATTGACATTGTACTGTCCTATATACAAAATAAAAACAAGAGGCCAAAGTTCATCATATATGATGACAAAATGCACTTTGCTATTCACCCCATACTAAAATGAAACATTATGTTTGAAATTATTGTTTATTGCTCTCAAAAGGAGCATAGCTAAGAGAAGTCTATAGTAAGAATAGTAAGACTAGTCTGTTTAAAACAGAGATATGTTTTATACTGTACCTGTTTCTGGTAAGGCCATTGAATTTATTTGAGCAAAGTAAACTGTCTGGTGCATATTTTATTTTACTTGGTCTCACTCCATCCTTTGTATCATTTAAAACATTTCTCAGCTTGGCAGACACTTTACTTTGATTCTGTCTCTGCCATTAGGACCAATCCAGAGTGATTCATATTACACTGGTTCATGTTCCTAAACTATTGTCATCCTCATCTAATTTGAAAGGCTGTACTACAAACCATTTTATCCATGGCTGCCTGAAAATAGGTCTATCCATAATCCACATTATCTGTTCAGAGTACTATTTTGTTCTAGCTGATTGACCTGTGGTAATTGATGACAGTGCTTATAGATGATGGGACACTGAGTCTGTATAAATCCCTCTATTATGTCATTTTACGCTCTCCATTGCCTTACTGACACACAGTGGTGGAAAGTAACAAAGTACAAAAGTAGAAGTACAATACTTAAATAAAAATTTAGGTATCTGCACTTTACTTAAGTATGTTGTACATTGGATACTTTTTACTTTTACTTTAGTAGATTTGAGAGCAGGTATCTGCACTTTCTACTTCTACTTTCTCTACGCTACATTTTAGATCTGGACTGAAAAGTAAACAGTACTTTTCTTTATGGTTTAAGACCTACTTAGATTTATTTTTAGCACATTAAATTTGAGTTAATGTCCCAAACCAAGTAAACCAAATACATGAAAACTAGAGCTAGAAAGCTAGAAAAATTAAGAAATCAGTTGAATCGCTTAAAATCAGCTGAATTATTTATCAAAATCACTACATTTGAGGTTTAATAATTTAAAACATCTCTACAAAATTTTACTCTTAAAGCACAATTTTAAACAGGTACTTCAATAATTTTACTTAAGTACGTTTTTTCATGTTAAAAGTTTTACTTTTACTTGAATCTTTTGCCCTGTATCTGTACTTTTACTTAAGTAATAAAATTGAGGGTTTCCACTACTGCTGACACACAATAGTGATAAAAGTCAAATGGCATATTTATTAAGCAAGACATCAGGAAGACGTTATTATAGGATGTAGCTTGTTAGCAAACTCTTGGGGAAAAACGTGACAAAGGTGAAGCAGGCTGGATACAGGGCAGATGTTAACTACAGCATTACGGATGCCAACCTCTGCTAAGCCCCTCTCAGCAGCTCAGGACCTGGTTTGAAAATAGAGCATCAGGCCACAGCAGTGACATTGGTAACTTGTGCTGGTTCCTGGGTAGATTCATGTCCATATGTGCTCTGTGGATGATCATAGACTCATTTTTGCAGTATAATTAATATATCATCATTTTACAGCATTGTTTCTAGCCTTATGGTTGTCAAAAAAATTATGTGGCCCATATTCAAGTACAACTGTCTCAATGTAAAAGAACATCATCTTATATAGTACTAGAAGTTTATTTAGATTATTTAGAAAATAATTATGGAAGAAGAATGGGTAGTTAGGCAAGAATCCTGCATTTTTAACTTCACTTTAAAAAAAACAAACAAACTGAATTGCATTATTGCAATTCAGTTTGTTATATCACACCATTTTAATTAGTGATGTCATGAAGAAAAACTACTTCTACTCCTATTATTATTATGACTATTTTTTATTAAGCCAATCAATTTTTCTAGTTACTTTTCATGTTAAAAATATGACCTCGCATTTCTTTTATCAAACTAATTTGTGTGTTTTGTTGGCAGAAAATAGGCACTGGGTTCGTTTTTTATGGTTTTGCACATTTTCAACAGAGTAATGGAGTAATGAATGATGAAATTACATGACACTATGATTCTACACATTTTGCATCTGGTCCTATAATTTGTAATGTGTTGATTTGAGTAACTTTTTCATGAGTGGGAGCTAACATATGATTAGCCTGGCTTTGCAGAATCTATAGTAAACATCGTTGACCTGTTCCCATGACTCCTGACCTCAGAAAAGAGCTAACCAATATGACCGACAATTTGGAAAGTGATTAGGTTAAGTTGTACAGGGATTTATTTGGATAGGATTATGGCTTGTCTAGTTAATTACACATTTGTTAACCAAACAATGCCCTAACTGGTCTGAAACTGCAACACAGACTAGAGAGATGTGGGTTTTTTTTAAACTTTTTTTTGAAGTTGAAGAAAGTTCAGATTTGGAAAAGTTCATCCTCTGTAGCATCTGTAACACTGCGAGTCTAAACAATCAATTTAGCATTAATTGTGTGGTGGGAAAATTTGACTGCATATGGCCATCAGAATTAAATAAATTGTATGGCTTACAACTGAGAATTGCTAACCTTTTGCTAGTCTCTTGATCTCTGTCTCTCGCTCTGTGCTTAACGCAATTTGACTAAAACCCCCATAATCCTTCCAGATAATCTGTGAAATGGTTCTCTCTCCTTCTCCCTTCACCAGCCCTTGTGTCTGCTGGTTCCTCCGGAGGGCTCCATGCTAAGCCACCCTACGGGCTGGGCATTAGCAGGGTCAGAGTTGACGTTGTCCACATAAACTGTATCATAAAAGACGTAGCACACCAGTAAATTAATCTTCTTCATCCATTTTTCCCAGACAAATGCTTCTACAGCTGTGGGCCCTGCCGTGTATTATAATGTCACATCAGTAATACCTCACCACGGACTAGAATTAACTGCAAAGTGACTCACAATGAGAGACAAGACTGAAAATGAACAATCAGTGGGTTTTCTTATCAATTCTGAAAAACTGACAAGTGTGATGGAGCTATGCAAGATTATTGAACAGGGCTGTGTTTAGGGGTATGGAGAGCATAACTAAAAGGAATACTTTGAAAAATTGTGTTTGCCTAACTGAAGGTCCTATATTCCTATATTATGCTAAATTTACTTTTGTGAGCTTTAAGCCAGATTAGAATGGTGTTACCTCATCAAAAACATACCTGGAGTTGTGTTGTCATGTTTGAGTAACCCTTAATTATTAGTCTGACTATATAGGCAAAGCTTATATCTTGTGATGTCCTGAAGTGATAGTTTTCAAGTTAACAGCTACTTTTTGCCATTTGTTCAGTAGAGATTGGCAAATCCAGGTCGGAAATCATCCAAATGATTCTAGTGAAGGTGTGTGGAGTTTAAACTTCCTGTATTACCACATAACAAAGCAAGGTTGAACAGTGTTTCCAGTTGTTTTTATGTTTGTGGACATAACATAACATAACATAACATAACCAAGATCAGAAAATAACATAATGCGAGCCCTTTAAGTGTAAAAATAACTCAGTAACTCAACATCTTAAATTTGAACTATAAACAGATAAAACAGACAGATGTGTAGAAGTGTTAATAATTAGATTAATTTCTTGTTGACAAAGTTTCTCTGGAAAACCGAGTGTTGTGTTGAAAAGTATCTTGGTAAATACAAGTAAATACAAAGTATTTTGGTGCCATTAACATTACACAATAAAAGTAAAAAACTAAACCCTGGTAATTACAACATGATTACATAATTACAACATCATTTAATATGATAACATTATGCAATTACAAAATTTCAAGACAATACAGTAGGAGAGGTATTTCCCTTCTTGACATGTCTTGGATGCTAGCTGCAAGCCATTTTCAGAACTTAGTTAATGTAAAAAAGAAGCAGTTACAAAAGATTTTGGAGAGGTTACAAAAGATTTTGCTTCACATACACTGTGAAGCTGCATGTGATTTATGTAACTGTATAAAGAATTCACTCCTTTTATGAAGTGACCTGTGCTGTACTCATTGTTTGGGACTTTATATTGATTCTTTGTTTCACATGTGTATTAGTGTATAAGCTACTGTATGAAACCTGTATTATACCACAGGCTGGCTGTGAAGTCCTGTATGTGCCTAAGTGCTGCAGCATCATCAGACATGGTTGACCGCCTTAGTCCCTCTTTTGTACTTTTATATATTTCCTTAACAGTGAGTGGTGTCCATGCTTTCATCTTGACTGCGTCCTTTTGTCTCCACTGACCCATCTGTGTGTGTCAGATCCCTCAGATCAGCTACGCCTCCACCGCCCCTGAGCTGAGTGACAACAGCAGATATGAGTTCTTCTCCCGAGTGGTGCCTCCAGACTCGTACCAGGCCCAGGCCATGTTGGACATCGTCAAAGCGATGGGCTGGAACTATGTGTCCACACTGGCCTCAGAGGGGAACTATGGAGAGAGCGGAGTGGATGCCTTTCAGCAGATATCCAGAGAAGCAGGTGGAGTGTCTGGATGAGAAAACTGGGTTGTGCTCACCTCTTACAAAAACAAATATATTTAATGCGCTTTTAGTGCCTTGAAGGTGGAAGAACACTACATAAAAATGTGACTAATATGACATGATGATGAATAGGTCTAAAGCATCAACTGAAGCATACTATAAGACATAATATAATTGTAGGTACTGATGGTTCTGTTTTAATTTGTCCTTTATATACAGTACAGAAAGTGCTGTACATGGATGACTCATTGCTTCTGTTCAAGTCAAAACTGTTTTTGAAATGACTTCACCTCTTTCTAGATTCTTTTACAAACCTGAAGCATCATAAAATGCATTCTTGTTGAATAGATAAAACTCCTTTCAGCAAGACTTATGAGCAAAGCAAATTGTCAACCTTATTCTTAATATCACAAATTATTTACAGGATCTTGCAATACTTAGCTGTGGAAAATAACTGCATTGGACACATATTTCTATGTTGTTTTGTTGCAGGAGGTCTATGTATTGCACAATCTATTAAAATCCCAAGAGAACCTAGACCTGGTGAGTTTGAAAAGATCATCAAGAGACTGATGGAGACTTCGAATGCCCGTGGGGTCATCATCTTTGCTAATGAAGATGACATCAAGTGAGTGGTGCTTCGTGATACTCTGACACCCAGGTCTAATTTTATACTGTGGCAGTCTCATGTCCCTGTGTGCTTTTTCAGACGGGTTTTGCAGGCAGCTAAAAAGGCCAACCTGACAGGCCATTTCCTGTTTGTGGGCTCTGACAGCTGGGGAGCCAAGATTGCACCAATTCAGGACCAGGAGGAGGTGGCAGAGGGCGCAGTAACCATCCTGCCTAAAAGGGCCTCTATAGATGGTAGGGCAACTTTATTAAAACACTAAGTGACATTTAAGCGAAATGAGTCCATGAAGATATTTATTGCAGCTGGAAGCCTGTGACAGTGATGGATGAGTCTAATATCAATACAACAAACAAAGGAAATTAATGATGTCTGATAGGCTCTTTGGCTGTTTTCTTTGTTACTGTTTTTCAAATGACACTGGATGACAGATTTTGATAGTACCAAGATAATTGACAATTGAAAAAGTAAAAAAAATAAATAAAAAAAATTCAATTTTCAAATAAAAATAGTACAAACTTTAGTTTTGTGACTTTTCCATACAAATATGCTCTTGTTGTTGTAGCATTTGACCAATACTTTACGTCAAGATCCCTCGAAAATAACCGAAGAAATATCTGGTTTGCTGAATTCTGGGAAGATGATTTTAAATGCAAACTTACTCGACCTGGCATTAAATATGAGCAGGGCAGAAGAAAATGTACAGGTAAGGTTTCTATAGGGATAATTTCATAAAATGATGATATATGGTCCACAGTGGTGTAACTCTGTGACACTGTGTTGGCTCAGGTGAGGAGAGAATCAGCCGCGACTCTCAGTATGAGCAGGAGGGTAAAGTGCAGTTCGTGATTGATGCAGTCTATGCCATGGCGCACGCCTTGCACAGCATGCACTTGGACCTCTGCCCTGGTTCAATGGGAGTCTGTGAGAAGATGGACCCAGTGGAAGGAAGGATGCTGCTGCAATATATCCGCTCTGTCAACTTCAATGGTGAGCCGCATAGTCATTCAATCTTTGTGTTAGAAGATTTCAGAAAATGGATACTGAATATTATATGCACCATTGCTGAAGTTGGGTCGCTTTTAGCTTCTGGTAGGCTTTTAACTATTGACTAAAGATCAAATATTAGTAATGTTACTGGGATAGAAAATACTGTGGTAAAATATTGTTTTATATAAAACAGGAACAAACATGACATGCTGTTTTACAAGCATTGGGCAGAAATAGAAGTTGAACTTGAAGACTTTAGCCTTGAAATGTTTCTGCTAATGTACCTAGCTACAGCAGCATTCTTCAGTGCGCATCCCCTCCCTTGGGCTGCCTGCTTGTGCTGCCCTATACACATGGCTGCTGCTATTCATCCTCATTCTTCATAGAAAAGTCACAGTTTGAAAAAAAGAATGAAAATGTTGTATGAAAGCATCCTATTTAGTGCTCTGGTCGTGCTGAATGACCTTGGCTTGTATGTAAGAGTCTCTGATTGAGCGCCTGCAGGGACCTGAGAGGAACATTCAATTACGTTAGGGCAACAGAGCAAAGTGCACTGAGCAGAGGCTTCACTAAAGAGCATCCTGTATTCAGCTTTCACATCGCTGCACAGGGCTGAAGAAAGCCAACACAAGCTATATTCAAAAGCATGTGGGTGTCTGGACTGTCTATGTCTTTCTCTCCTCCCAACAGGCAGTGCAGGGACCGGAGTGATGTTCAATGAGAATGGGGACGCCCCAGGCCGCTACGACATATTCCAATACCAGATGTCTAATGTCAGCATTCCAGGCTACAAGAACATCGGCCAGTGGACCAACCATCTCCGACTCAATGTAAACACATGCCTTTTACTATAACTAAATGTTGGTTTTCAAGCATTCAGAGTAAAAACAACACAACAATAAGCAAATACAAAAAATCTTACTAGTAATTCTCCATTCAATGAAAAGATTCAAACTTTTAATACCTAATCAGAAAAATGGATGTATGTGAGCAACTTTTATATTGTTTATTCCAGTTCCAAGTCCCAAAATATGTATTGTGATCATTTTATTTTTGTATAATCTGGTGATTTCTTTTTTCAAACTTCTGGGATGTTTCCTCTCATATTTTTGTGAATTATGGATTGACACTATTTCTAGGTTCTGAATAGATTTGTCACATTTATCTTATCTTTTCTTTTTAAACCTTTTCAGCTTCTTTAAAACCTGTATTTTAAAATTTCAATTATTCACTTGAAAATATGAACTTCTATGTTTTTCACAGCCAGAGGACATGCAGTGGTCTGGAGGTGACCGCAGAATCCCCGACTCTGTGTGCAGTTTCCCTTGTGAGCCTGGAGAGAGGAAGAAGATGGTGAAGGGTGTTCCTTGCTGCTGGCACTGTGAGCTCTGTGATGGTTACCAGTATCTTCTGGACGAGTTCTCCTGCGACATGTGCCCCTTTGACATGAGACCCCTGAAGAACCGCACAGGTTGCCGACCCACGCCCATCATCAAACTGGAGTGGAGCTCGCCCTGGGCCATCATCCCCGTCTTTTTGGCGATCCTGGGCATTCTTGCGACCACAGGCGTCATCGTCACTTTTGTCCGCTTCAATGACACACCTATTGTCAGGGCTTCAGGCAGAGAGCTCAGTTATGTGTTGCTGACGGGAATTTTCCTCATTTATTTTATCACATTCTTGATGATTGCTGAGCCCAGTGTGGCTGTGTGCGCCTTCCGCAGACTCTTCCTGGGGCTGGGCATGTGCATCAGTAATTCTGCCATGCTCACCAAGACAAACCGCATCTACCGCATCTTTGAACAGGGCAAGAAGTCCGTCACACCCCCTAAGTTTATCAGCCCCACCTCTCAACTCATTATCACCTTCATCCTCATCTCAGCCCAGGTATGTATTCTGAAAGAAAAACTGTCGCTCTTATGCCACTCTACAACTGTGAATGACATTTTTCTCTTTATCTTCAGGTACTTGGGGTATTCATTTGGTTCGGTGTGATTCCCCCTCACACTATCATTGACTATGAGGAACAGAAGCCCCCTAACCCCGAGTTTGCCCGTGGAATCCTCAAATGCGACATGTCAGACCTCTCTCTGATGCTGTGTCTGAGCTATAGTCTGGTGCTGATGATCACGTGTACAGTGTATGCCATCAAGAGTAGAGGGGTCCCAGAGACCTTCAATGAAGCCAAACCCATTGGCTTCACCATGTACACAACCTGCATTATCTGGCTCGCCTTTGTGCCCATCTTCTTTGGCACAGCCCAGTCCACTGAAAAGGTAACCATTTATTTATGCATAGGCCACAGCTGTCTAGTAGTAGTCCAGAGCCGTCCTCTTACTGACCGAGACAAGATTGCCCAGGTGTATATTGTCAGGTGATATTGTCAAAAGAGTATCAATACTGTCTAAAGATGTTTACCAGCAGTTGAAAAGTATGGAAAAATAAATTATTTGCAAACAAAATAATTTAAACAGCATTAAGTGTAAGAATCTACCAAAACACCACAACATGGGAAGAATTTTTGCTGTGGTGACCCTGTAAAGGAAAAGTATATGTGTGGACATACAATTCTAAGGATATGTGGCTCTGTGCCAATTAGTGAACTAAGCAAACTAAGACTCAACAGGGGCAGACCTGACACAGAGGAGCAGGAGGTTAGTGGCAAGACAACCTTTTCCGGAGCCTCAGGTGGCTACTCTCCACTAACAAGCAAATGTGACAAATGGAAAATCTAAAATTGTCTGTGAAAAGAGTTGGTGGAATTGTGGGTTCAAGTCTTGACTGTGCTCAACTGACAAGGGCTTCCTTCTTACATTTTTTACCCACCCATGTCCTCTCTCCATTCTCATTCTGTAACCATTAAGTTAATAAATGGTTACATTTGTGTTTTAGGAAGTCCATGGCAAGTGATTATTTGCATTTCTACTCTTAACATTGTCCATAGAAAGATGGCTTTGTATGAATACTCAGTGCTGTTTATTTTAAATGTATTATTACATATAATTAATATTTTAATAACTATTGCTAATTGATACAACATTGTCATTTCCTTCATCAGTTAGAACCAAGAAATTCAGGTCAGTGCTGAGTGAAAATAATTGGGTGAATTATGTAAGCAATGGTAATAATTCAGTTATAATTTAATCTCAAGATATTCAAAGAGAAATTTGGAGCATGTCACATCACATGTGCTCACTAGACATCCTAAAAGCACCGTGGAGGGAAAGGCTGAGGTTCATTTTAACTTATGGGCTATTGTTGCTGTCACTAAGTAAAAGACGAGGGAATATTTGAAAACAGATATACTTTGACTAGAAGAGAACTGTATTAAAAATCAGTGATGCCTTAACAATTAGACCCTGAGGTGCTTTCAGAGTCTCTTTACTTCTCATGAATGAAGTGAATTAAGTAAAGAGAGGGTGCAGTAACTTGGCCTTTCTCTGAGCGAAGTCCAGCCTTCCTATTCAATTAAGCACAGACAATACAGACATCCGTAAAACCGATTGTGCAAATTCTCAGACCTCTTCCTGTCATGTGCAAACCCACGTGTAGCACAAAGGATCCCAGATTCCTTCTGCATCTGTTCCCCCATTACATATTGCTTATATGCTTTTATTTAGTTAGCCTGCTCTTCTAGATATATATTGATATTGATATAGATATAGATATTGATATAGATAGATTGATTGATAGATAGTTATTTGAAGTTTTATTAGTCAGGTAATCCAATAATCCACAATTTAAAAGCATTTGAAGAACATTTTCTAGACCTAATTTTATTATCTGAATTTAGTCTCAAAAGGAGTGACATTAGATTCAGATCTGACCATATGGGTTAAAAAATAAATAAATATTGCTTGTACATTTTCCAGTAAAGGGTGATAAAGAGCTAAGGCAAAGCTTTGGATGTGAAAATAGTAGACAGTGAAGCTGTCACACTGCCCGATGGGGCTCTGCTGGATATACAGCCCACTTGCACAATTGATGACTTATTTATAACAGAAATATATCTTATTCATGACCAGTATAGGTTGAATTTTTTCACGGCCAGTTCAGTCATCTTAAATAATGACTCCATAACTTATTCGAGGGTTGGTTGTGTGAGTTATTATCATTAAGACAGCTCAAAGAGATATAGAATACACATAACTGTCCATAAATAGAGATGCCTTCCTCTCTGACTACACATAGAAGCCATAAAACATTAATCGGGGAAAAAACACTGTCTCCTGTGCTTTGAAATGAAAATTGTACTCTAGCTGCAGTCTGTGACAGCTTGGATGCTTTTATGAACATGTTTTAAAGTGCAGGACAGGTGCATATTGACATTTTACGTAACTTTTTTTTTTTTTTTTTTTTTTGCCCCGCAGATGTTTATCCAGACCACTACATTAACTGTGTCCATGAGTCTGAGCGCCACCGTATCCCTGGGAATGCTCTACATCCCCAAAGTGTATGTAATCATCTTCCACCCGGAGCAGAACGTCCAGAAGAGGAAACGCAGCTTCAAAGCCGTGGTGCAAGCGGCCACCGTGTCTACTCGCCTCTCGCAAAAGTCCAATGACAAACAGAACGGAGAGTCCAAGATGGAGCCAGATCGATCGCAATGAAACAAAAGAAGAATTATGTTTTATTTATTTGAATTGAGAACTAGCTCTGAGGATACCCGGAGGCACTGTTTCACTACTCAACTAAAACTGTAGACTGGTCAGGGTTTTTTATTCCCATATTCTTTCGTTTCTCAACTGCAGTGAACACCTCACCCAATCAAGACAGCTTTAAAAAAAAAGTTTAAAAAACACATTGACTATGGAAGAAAGACACATTTCACCATGGCATGAGGATGGATGGGGTCAGGCAAATTTCTTATTGACAACAACATTTTTCACAAATAAATAACTGACTAAAGACACTTTTAAGGCCGCAAAGCCGTCTTATTGCATTGAGTTAGTTTTCTTAACTTTTTTAACACTTGTAAACTTGTAAAAAAAAAAAAAAAAAAAAGGAAAAAATACACATTTGATTCTCTTTGGGACATGCTTTTAAGTAAAAGACGAGCCTGGTTATATGAGGACCTTCGCCTCACAGAAAAATGTACACAAGGAGTACGAGGAGTCCCAGAGGGTCAATGAAATCCTATTGTTTGTTGGCTCCACTAGCACTGCATGGTCTGTGTAGTTTTGTGTCCACAAATGTTTCTTGAAATGTCTGTTCAGGGTGTTGTGACTCAAGGTAGCTTTAAATGAACTGTATCCTGTTACTGTTCCTGATTGAGACCCTTGGGAAAGTAACAATCACCATCAATGTGTAACCACACACTGGCTTTAAGCGCACAATCAGTAAATCAATGATAAAGTATTTAATTAGTTCTATAGTATGAAGTTATAATGGTACAAGGATCATTTTCATTCAGTAATCTAAACACATTTAAATACTGTAAGTAAGCATTTGCATTGTGCATCAAAGCAGCTGTACAAATATGGGTGGAATTTCCCTATATTGTTTGTCAGAATGCCAATCTAATTCAAGGCCACTTTAAGGCTACAACTCAGCTGTGTACATGTATGCATGGAAATAGAAAACTGTTACGTGCCATTAAACAATCTGAGCAACCACTGAATACAAGGATTGACCGTGACATCTTATTGGTCTCAAGTTTACATAAAACATTTTAGCAAGGACCATATGCTCTGAGTGCAGGGCTTATATGATAAAAGCGTTACGTCTACTGCCCTCTTCTGGAAAACATACAACACTGACAAGATGGTAAATAGATCGTCAATGAATAGAAAATGTGACATGTACAACACAACAAAACAAGATTAAAATATTGTTTATTATATTACACATGGGTTCATACTTAGGCATAAATGAGAAATGTTTTCTGCATGTTTGCTGGTAAAATATTGAAATAAATTATTTTTCAGAAAAATGTAATAGTTTCCCAGTGACAAAAACAAAAAATTATGTTGGAAAAGGGATCTGAAACATGGCACACAAATAAAACTACAAAATAAGAATAAAAAAATACAATATAGAAAAGAATATATTACAGCTGTAGTACCTGCTTAGGTCATGGACATCAGTCAGCTTGTTTAAAAATGTGAAGAATGCTGGATTTTTATTCCAGAAAGTTATCCAAAGTGAGACAAGGTGAAATCTTAGGAACAGGCCTGGTCACCTTTTTCCTCTTTACTTTCATCAGGGGGCGAATCTCAGCAAGTGGAGACTGGAATAGACTGGTTAAAGAACTGAAGATTCGTATTTAATACTTTTCATAATAAAGTTTGATATTTACATAGACAAAACCTTGAAAAGCAAAAGGATACAGGTTGGATGAATTTTGTCCTTCCACCTAGTCCATCGTAGCCACTTCTTACCTAATATGAGAAACAATTTCCTTCAGGATACAACATGAAAAAAGTTCAAATGCAATTACAGCAGCAGCATATGTGCTACTTACCGCTCCAGTACGGCTCTTCAGAGGGTCTAACATGCTTCCAAAAGTTTTCTTTCGGAAAAGAAGGGAATTCTTCAAAAAGAGATCCATGGAATCATCTTCATCTCGTACCTGAGAGACAAGCACAACTATTGGTGAGCCTAATGTTCTTGGGCACAGACATAAATGATGAAAAACAATTATACTTGCTTTGGTTAACAATGTACTTTTCTCATTGTGCTTGGCCACAGCTGCTCTGTAGAACAAAGTATCCCACACATCAGGATTTATTGAGACATTTCCACAATAACTTTTGATGGAGTATTGCTCAAACTTATCAGAGAGCATATACTTTAGTTATAGTTTTTGGGAGGAAGCAAAGATCATCATAAAGATGGGTTTTGGTTATGCAAATGTAGAGCTATTATATGTTTATTCTTATTCAGTAGTAGGTTTATTGGGTTGGCAAGAGTTTGATTTGGGTGGGCAATACCCAACCTTGTCTAGCTAGTGCCACCTCTGCTCCTATGCAAGTAATGATATGATGAGTAAGTAGTACCTCTGGAATAAACTGAATTATTAAGTATTACTGGCACTGAAAAAATATTTACTGCCAATATTTAATGCTGAAAGAAATACTTTTCTTTTGATTTCAGGAATCTTCATGCCTAGTGAACCCAGATAGATACACTACTTGCTACTTCTTATCCACTGATTTACATTAACTTACGATAGAGGGTCAACGCGCATCTTCTTGGATGGGACCTGGGATGGCTTTTTGGACACATCCTCTGGCGTAGTGATGTCATAGGTCAGGTTGAGGTCGATGTCCTCACTGTCGGGCGGTTGATGGAGCCGAGGTTGCTTCAGTTCCAGAGGAGCCGGGCTGTGACAGACAGGTGATCGCCACAGTGCAGGTGAGTGCCACACTGCAGGTTCAAATAGACAGGCAGTTTTGAACTTACCTTTCAAACACAAGACGGCTGAGAGCTTCATTTGTACGGGTTGGCGTGCTCAGAGTGTTTTGCAACACCTCTATCTTCTTCTTCAGGCTCTGTTTAAAGTCAAATGTTTAAACTGAGTGAGTGTCCACCAGAAAAAAGAACACATAAAAATACAAATTGGTCTTACAGAAATTTCTTTGTCAGCGGCACTCAGATCTTTATGTAGAGCCTTCATATCCTCTTTAGTCTGGTTCACCTCCACTGTGGCTTTATGTAGCTGCAACAATATGGTTTGGTTTACGATGAGAATGAAACATTGAATGTGAATAATTTGAAACATAGAAAGATACCTTGTTGTTGGTTGAAAGCACTTCTCTCTTGAGTTTTTCACACATTTCATTTGAACTTTTGAGGCTCCCTTTCAGACTGTCATACTCTCTGTGTGGCACAAGTCAAATGTATAAATCTGCTATATCTGAGGAGTGGCCAGAAAGGGTCATGCTACTGTATTACTTTACTTACTTTTTGAGAGAAATGCAGTAGATGGAGAGTTGCTCCACAGCGGCCTGGCTCACTCCCATATCCGTGATCATAGACTCCACTTCAGACCTCTGGCCCTGTAACAAGATGTCCAGGCTGGACCCAAAGAAGTATTAGTTAGATATATTCAAAACAATTCAAGAAAAAAAGGTAAGATCCAGTAAGTCGGTATATTGTACACACCTTTCAAATGTTTTCATTTTTGTGCGAAGTTTTCTGGCCTCTTCTTTAGCAGCTTGGATGTCATTCTGTTGTGTTTCCAAGTAAGTCATTTGTTTCTATAGCATAAATAATAACAAGCACATAGCACGGTCATGCATTGTAGCATGGTCATGTCATGAGCTAGAACATGTGTTTTCTGGTTATTGGCCTAACTTACTCTAAGGGCCCCGCACAGCATGTCCTTCTCCATGGCATCTTTGCGCAAACTGTCCATGTCTTTCCTCTGTTTGGCCACAGTGTCCCTCAGACCATCCATTACCTTCTGTTTGTCCCGCCAGTCTCTCTCTACAGACAGTCACATTATTATTCAAATCCAAATATCCAAGTTGATCCAACTGACAATAAAATAGCCACATTAACCAATTTTACATCATTAACAAAAATTTAAACTAGACCAAAACCACAATTTATCAAGAACACCAATTATACTTTCTCTCGTATAAATACTATATGCATTATTTGTCAGTTAATTGATACTTTGCAGTGACATCATACCGGAGGTGTTCCACTTGTATGTTTATGGTGGAATGTTCAGACATTACCACGGTGACACAATGTACTAGCTACGCATTATGCACTATGCACTACGCAAAACATTTTCAGGGGCCTGTAATCAATTCCTGTTTAGGTGTTTTCAACAAAAAGGTGAGAGTGACAAACAGTTGCTAACTTGTGACTGCTGACTTGTTTAACAGTAAAAATCATCTTGTCTATTGTAGGTCCAGCTAAGTCAGTGCTTTCTGGTCAGATTGTGTTAAAATAAAGATCACATTAAAGTCTAACATAGCTTCAGACAGAGGATGGCTACAGCTAACATCAGAAGGGAATCTTGCAAAGTATCATTAACTACATACTACTCTACATTGGCTTGAATGATCTAATAGTTACATGCATGTTCATACCCTTAGAGCTGAGCAGAGCTTTGACACGATCAAGTTCATTCTGAAAAGAGAATGAATTGTGAATTAATTTATAAAAATATATATTTAGAACTTATATATAACTAAAAAAACATAATCCCTCTTTCTGTTGTCATATTGTGTACCTGTAAACACTCAGGGTCCACCTTTCCATCCTCTTCTCCCCCAATGTCAAAGAAGAGTTTGGTGATGATATGTCTGGTGCTGACCTACAATTAATAACAAATATATAAATAAATTACAATTACAGATATGGATGACGGCAAGCTGTAAGAATGTCTCTTGCTTCACCTGCTTCCTGCACTGGGGACAGGTCTTGGTGGGGGCAGTCTGGAACCACTGAAGTAGACTGAGGACAGAAGGGATACAGTGTTTGATACTCATTTAAATAGAATTATGGTGACACTATATATGAACATATTCGTGATTAAAAAGTGTTTACCAGTCATAGTGAAATGTGTGTCCGCAGTGGATAGCAGCAACATCTTTAGAATGGTCGAAAAAATCCGAACAAATCGTACAATATGCTCGGATAGGCATCTTGATGTCACAACACTAGACCAAATACAGAGATTCACGTTATGCTCTATCCGCTTTTAAGTTACAGTTACAACTACACACACCATTATGTTGGTGAACATCCTAAATCCTAGTAACACAAGACAAATGTTGTGTATTTACAGTCTATGTTGTAAACATCTATGGTTGTATACCCTACTACTGCTAGCATGTTTAGCATGTTAGCCTCTTACGACCACAACAACATCACAGCTCTCATCAGTAACTTACCCAAATAAGAAAACGCTGTGAATGTTCCCCTTATAAAAATAACCATCTCTGGGAATGTGGTATTTAAATCAAACACACTTGGCCAGGCTAAAATCGTTATAAGTAACTCAAAACAAACTCATTGTGTCAAGAGGTTCGTGTTCGTGTCCCGGGGAAAGTTCAAACACAAGTCCCGCCCCTCTGCGCTGCATTCAAGGCACAATGGTTTAGTACAAATTTGTCATATCTGTCCCGATCTGTCTTTGTTTTGAATGATAATAAACAATTAAAATGAAAAGTATACTGCGCAGTTTATTAAACATTCATCCAAAATACCAAACTGCGATTTGCCATGAATAATTTTTGACAGTAAACATTTTTATATGTTGTCTAATAAAGAATAATCAATGGTAAATCAACTTTTTTATTTTATCTTTGAATAGTGTGTACCAAAAATGAATGAATGAATAAATAAATAAATAAATACCCTATGGATAATTTGTATCAAGTGTTCAGTTTTTTATTATTTACACTATAGAGGCTTTCTTTCAACTATAAGCAGTATTAATTCATTTGGAGGGTTTATACATTTTATTTACCATTCACGCAAAGCAGTCTCCGGAAAACGACTTCCCTTCAGTTTCTTCCGCATTGAACACCGCTGCTAGCCAGCTGTGGCAGCTGTCAGAAACTTTGCATGTGCTCAAAGCTCAAATGCCGATATTTGTGGACATCTGAGGTAGTATTTGTGTAATAGTACACATTTCACCATTAACTATGTCTGTTTCACCAGTAACTATGTGAATGTTTTACTGAATGTTCAAACAAAAATCTCTGTGCTTTCTGAAGTGGCTCTAGTTCATTTGCTGTAACTAATACTTCTCTGATTTATCAAGTCTATGCTAGAATCTGTCTAAAATTCAAAGACGACGTTGCGATAACTTCTGTCAGATGTATTTATGCACAATACATAGTGTTATTATAATCCACGAAGAGTAACCCTTGCCAGTTTATGGTAGCAAAGAAAGGTATCAACTTGTACTGTCCAGTTATGGTCAGCAATAAGTTACATGTACCCTTGACTTACTCTTGACCTTTGATTCTACCATTGCTCCACTGTAGGTGTGTGCCTGCAGCAGCACAGATGGAGGGAGGACACAGAGCCACAGTGTCCTGGGAGAATGGAACCCTTGCCCCTATGGAGCATCTCCGCTCAGAGAGAGCGGACAGCCCCACACCAGGCCTGGTGGAGGGGACTGAACCTGGTGAGACTTTCAGTAACTTTTCTAGGGTATATATACAAATATATGGCCTTAAACTGACTACCAGTTCAAGTAAAGAAATCTGTATGTATGCATCAAATTAGTTCTAATGTGCCATAACAAGCCATATGGCATACGTGACGGGTATGTTTTCTAGTAGCATTTTGTTTCTTAGCTAATTTAACACATTTTTTGCAACGTCATCACAGGCTTATGCTGCAACAGTCATTGACACATCTGAAAAGTTGAAAAGAAAAAGATGAAGTAAAACATGGTATTAACAAATATTTGGTCTTGTGAAGAGTTATTTTGTTGGTATATTTGTAATTACCATGTAGTTATTACTTAGTGGCAAATTTGCTGTTGCACAATTTGGCTTGTCTAATTTTAAGTGAGTACAATAATTAATGTCCAAATCCTCGATATTGCATATGACATCCCAAAAGCTTTTAACAAAGGTATATAGACTTTTGGAGCTGCATAATTGATGCATGCATAACACTAGTCAACATTTACTGATTAAAGGCCCTCATTAATGCAGGTGCAGGTCAGAGGAGTGCTATGTTTGTCCACTCACAGTCCTTTGAGGATTTAACATCAGAGGTCGAACAGGAGGGGCAAAGAGACTCTGACCAGGACGGACCAGAGGAGAGTTGTGAGCAGCTGCAGCCCCTTGTTGTTGAGGAGGAGAGCAAAGATGAACAAAACAATGACATGCAGTCAGGCAGTAGCACCAAGGAAGAGGACGTGTGCAGCGAGGCCTGGAGGAGCCACAGGAAACATGTCTTTGTGCTGAGTGAAGCAGGGAAACCCATCTATACTCGCTACGGGACAGAGGAGGCGCTGTCCAGCACTATGGGGGTCATGATGGCACTGGTTTCTTTTGTTGAGGCTGACAAGAACATAATTCGCTCCATTCATACAGGTCAGAATTAAATACTGTTTTTTATTATCTTTCAATTTAAGCAACTCATTTTCTGGTGCTTAACGTTACAATTTTGTATTATATTCATCTGAAGATTGAAATAAAAGTGAATCAAGGCCCAGATAAACCTGTAACTGAAATGGCATGTATTAAAAGCATCTATCTGTTATCTGTTCTTGTATATTTTATAATGATAAACACATTTTAGAAATACATTTAATATCTAAAAGAGAAAAGACAAAAATATACAAGAGGAATATTTTGCTATATAATGGTTTAAATGCATTAAGTAAAAATATGTCATAATTGTTGTGAATATACAGAAGGAAAAAACAACATTGCACTGTAGTCCCTGTTCGTAATCCATTGTTAATCATGTTTATGTTTCAGATGGGTGTAAGGTGGTCTTCCTGACAAAGAGTCCTCTGGTCCTGGTGGGAGTGTCTCGTAGCTGCCAGTCAGACAAGGAGCTTCTACGTGAACTACAGTACATTTACTATCAGATCGTCAGCCTGCTCACCCTGACCCAGCTCAACCACATCTTCCAGCACAAGCAAAACTATGACCTGCGGCGGTTGCTAGCTGGCTCAGAGTACCTCACGGACAACCTTCTACTCCGCTTAGATCGAGACCCTGGCCTGCTGCTCAGTGCCGTTACCTGCCTTCCTCTGCCAAGTTCTTCCAGGGATGTTGTTTCCTCTACCTTACAGGCTGCCAAATCCAAAAGCCTCGTCTTCTCTATTCTGCTAGCTGGAGACCGTTTAGTCACTCTGGTGAGGAAAAAAGACCAGTTTTTACACCACATAGACTTACACCTGGTCTTTAATCTGGTCGGCTCCTCCTCTTCATTCCGTGAGGGTGAAGGCTGGACCCCCATTTGTTTGCCAAAGTTCAACACTGCAGGGTTTTTCCATGCGCACATTTCATACCTAGAACCAGGTTCGGAGCTCTGCCTGATCCTGGTCTCAACTGACAGAGAGGACTTTTTTAACATGTCTGACTGCAAGAAACGCTTTCTGGAAAGACTGACCAAACGTACTGCATATCAGGCTATGAAGGATGCACTCAAATGTCCCAGCTACTCTGTGGAGCAAGTGGGAATCCCAGAACTTCGACACTTCTTGTACAAGTCTAAGAGTTCAGGACTCTATACCAGGTACATTGCTGTCATGTCTTTTCTCTGTTGAAATTATACATGATGTCTGTAGTAAATCTGGATTGTGTAGCACTACAATGAAAACCGCTGTAAATAATGTTTTTTCTAGTCCAGAGTTTCCTCTCATATATCAACCTGAAGAACAGCAAGAACGAGTCATGAGCTTGTACCAGGACCTTCACAGTCGCTTGCACCATCCCACGAGACCCCTGCGCTCCTTCTACCTCTGCAGCGAAACAGAAAATCTCTTAGCATGGGTATGGTTTGGAGAGATGCTTATTACTGTCAAGTACTCATTGTTTACCAAATATATGCCTTGGAGACCTAATCAGTCCACCATAAGTCTTTTACACTACATGACTATAGACATAGACAGGAATAGATAGGGATACTTAAAAAAAATTATAAAATGATTTAATTCTGGTCATCAGTGGATTCATGTTTAGGCCTGTCAGGATAACACATTTTGAAGTGCGATACATTATTGATGTAAATATAAATGGTAAACTATAATGTTGAAACTAATTTATGACACTGACATGATAACACTAAAGCAGGATTATCCCCCAAAAAACTATTCCAAATTGCTGAAATGTATGTATGCAGTAAATAAATAGCTTAATTAATCACTTTAGATGTTAGTTTGTATCTATTAATGAATCAGAGAAGTTAATCATTCAACCCACTTCAGATCAAATCTTATTGTAATGCAAAAAAATAATAAAAATTACCGAAAAGTTATGCAAAGAAAAGTCCCCAAAAATTATTGTTCTGTCATGTTCTGTCATGTATTGAATGAATAAGTCCATATAGTAATTATCATGACCATGGCCTGTTTTTGTTGATAAACCAATGAAGGAAATGCATTAACACAACCCCAAACCTAATGTAATCAATGTGTTTTTCAGGTGACGAGTGGCTTTGAACTTTATCTTTGCTTCACTCCACTGGCAACTAAGGCTATGGCTGTTTCTGCTGTCAACAAACTGCTGAAGTGGATCAGGAAAGAGGAAGACCGCTTGTTCATCTTGAGTCCTCTAACATACTAAACTCTAGCACTCTATTAACCTATTAAATGACTCTGAATGTTGATGAGCCTGGTGCTAATAACTGCGGATTCTAAAATCAAGCAAAAGAGATCTGGGATAATTTTGTTAACAAATAATGCTATATTTTACAAATCTTTTATTATTTTTTAAACTATGTTTGATTATAACAGTACTGCTAATATTTAAACCTGGATTTCTTTGAAAATTAAAAAAAATGTATTGCTACTTTATGAAATTAATTTCTAAATAGAAACTTGGAATCAGACTGTAGCTCTAAGTGTATTTCTCTCATCTCAAAAACAGGTACAACATAAAAATCTTTAGGTAATCTACATGCAGCACTGTTACTTTACCGATCACACTCCAAATAGGATTGTTTAATGATTTCCTTAAATGTCTGTGAAATTTCTTTGTAATTTATTTATTTTAGGTCACAGTTGTTTTAAAAGTCTGGAATTTAAAAAATATAAAATTAAAACTAGTCCAGTAAATTGTAAACAAACACTATGATAAAGTGGTGGCTGCTATGGTGTGTCGGTGTATTAGTAACAGCAGCCTTTGTGGCCATATAAACTTAAGTTTCACAGTTGTAGCCAAAACTCAGGCCATTTATATTTTCATATTTCAAATTAAAACTCTCCAGGACTCACAAAAATACTTCTTTATACTGAGTGCCTTGTTCATGTATTTTATCTTGTAGTTGACTTATTTTTTTTCCAATAATTTAGGATTTTCGACACTAATATGATGTTCTAAATTCTAAAACATAATGCCTTGTTTTTTAGACTGGATATGCATTGAACACATTACTAAATAAAGGCAGATCAGTAGAGCTGCTGCTGTGTTAACTAAACAAGAAGGAAATGTTATTAACAAACAGAACATGTTCAGCCCTCACTACATCCAATATAATTGAAACAAATAACAGGAATAATGTGTTAGCGATTTATAACAAATTGTTTATTGTATGAATTATTAAACTTTTAAATTTTAAATCAACATTTTCTGTTTGTGAGTCATTTTATGGTCCACAATAGCTAACATAACCTAACAACTTTTATTGAGTTTGGTGTATAGATTGGTTTAAACGGTTTCCTTCCCGTGTTTTACAATGATACGGGTCCGTCCATACCCACAGACTGCATAGATCACATCACATCACATAACTGGGACTAACCAAACTGGACCAAAGACCTACCGCCAAGACCCAAATTAAAAGTCTTCTCTAAGATATGGGCCAAGCCTATTTTTGTAGTAAAAACTAAACTGTAAATAGTTTTAAAACCGAAGCAAATCGTTGAGCCTATGCCAAGTTTGGTCTGTTTTTTTCCCCCCCGCATCCAATGTGATTAGCGTCCAGCCGCGAAGGTGAGCGTGCGCTGTGTGATGCGTCTTTACGCACAATGGCTGCACGGCGGCGGTAAGGGGAGGAGCGGCAACAGGATCATGCCTTCAGGACACACTCAAGTAAAACACGAAACCAACATGTTCCTACTGCGGGGAAACACAAACAGAGTTGGAAATTAACTTATATCCAGCTGTCTGGTGGCTGACTTGAATGTAGCAGACACACTGGGGGCTAATTTACAACCATACCGGAGCCTGAAGTGGTCTCACCTGAAGGTACTGATAGACGTCTTAAGGTAAGCTTTAAACATTGAAATAGCATGTTTTAGTTTAGATTTCTTTGTGCTATTATGCTATCGAGACGAGAAATTAACATTGAAGTCTCGATGTGGAGATGATGTAGACAGATGTAGAATAGTTGTTGGCTCTATCAGGTTTACCTACTGTAAAAAAAAAAAAAAAAAACAGGCGGTAAGATCCAAAAGTTGTATCTGTCAAAACATGTTTTCCTGCTACATATTGGCAACCCCTGTTGCTGTTGTCTGTTTTGCCATTTAGGCAGCTGTGAATGAAAACAGAAGCAAATATTCTGAATAGAAGTCAATGCAATTGGACACTTGAAAAATGAAATAATAACACAAAGGGTATAGATACAATCTTACTGTTCACCATCAGGCACATCCTACTGACGCATTCTGCTTGTTTATATTGTATGCCTCTTTAGAGCGGTCTACACAAAATGCAATGCACTGTTTGAAATGCAGGATCAATGCATCCTTCACTGCAATATGCCCTAGAGGAATATTGATTGCAAGTGTGGCCTGACTCCAAATCCCACTGGAAATCTTTGCTCTGCTCTCACTAATAAGGCACCAATGAACAGCTTTGCATTAGTTTCTTGTTGTTGAGGCGTCACAGACCAAATGACCCAATAAAAGCTGTTGACTTACGTTACAGATGAATAAGGGAAAATAGCTGCACTTTGAATGGAAAATGAGATACATCACCCATGGACATGTAGCAAGTCAATTGGTGCCATTACTATGTAAACTCAAGTCCACTCTGCTTTCAAACACTAACCTTAACCTTGGTTCACATAGCACCATGAGTGTTAAAATGTAACAAACTATTAGTCGCCTTCTATGAATAATTAAAGACAAACATAAGCCTAGACAAATATGGTATGTGTAATTATTCTTACATTATAATTAAATACTTAGTTTTCATTATCGTAGTATCGACAGTAGATAGGAATCAAAATCTCCAAAAGGCACTGACCACAGTTGAACTTTTTCACCTATCACAGAGTGTCCCATGACCATCAGTCCGTGCACATCTTTCCTGAGAAAAGGCACGTAGAGGTTGTGACAGGAATTTTAAAATAGACAGGCACTTGTTGTTGAATACAGCCTGCCCCAAAATGCTTAGTTAATGATCACACAACTGTGGCTCCTTACCACCAGGAAATTTCAAACATGGTCACATCTGGTATTTAGATTGGAAATATTATTAGATAATATGATATCCTACTGGAAGATAACAGCTAATAGCATCTGTGGAAGAGACAATAAAACTATATCCAGAAAAACAATTATGCCTTCTCCTTCGAGTCAGGAGTGAGTCTGAGTAAATTCTCATCTTTGTCAGATAGTTCGTGGAAAGTAATGGCACAATTTAAGTGGCTCACATTTCTGTTTAAAGCTTAAAAGTTAATTTGGGAAAGCCCAAAATGCAATTTCTGTTTTTGAAACAAAAAAATCTGAGGTGGAAAAACAAACACAACAACAATTTTTTTATCCAAACCGAAACCAAATAGTAGTCAAGCACTTATTTGGAATAAAATAAATTTTAAAAAGTCATATCGAGTTCTTCGGGCATTATTAGAACATACAAAAAAATAATAAATCTTCTCATTCAGGATAGCTGAGATGTGAGGGAAATTAACAACTGCATCTAGTAACACTTTAGAATGAACAATTTGTAAGACATTATTTCACATGACAGTTTATCAGCATTTATAAGCCATTAGCAATTGTAGACCTTATTGTTACTGTGAACACGAAACTAATGCTTATTAATGTCTTGTAAGTAGTTAACCAATTGACTTTCTTAAAGCATTATCATTGCATGTTTATGTAACATAGTGTATGTCATAATTCCAAATGTCATTCCTCATTCAGGTACCTGCAGGTGCAGAGGATGTGTGTCTCCAGACTTCAGTGGTGGAGGTAGCACATCATCTTGGTCCACGCTGTGCTCTCTGTGCACCTTGAGGAGATGCTGCACTGGGCCACACACTGGGGAACATGTGTCTGGCTCCAGACTCTGTTGGCCTATGCCTTGGCCAACTGTCCCTCTCAGGCCCCCAGCCCTCACAACTTCTCAGTAGTGTATACTATGCCCTTCTTCCAGGCTCGGAGTCCCATCCAAAACATTGTCAACAATTCTCTGTACCAGGAGGTATACGTGGCATCTCAAAATGTGATTGAGGCTGTGAACCGGAGCCTGGAGAAGGTGTGGCAGCTTCGCACGGGGCCAGTGGGTAGTCCCGAGTGTCAGATTTGCACTTTGTGTGACATAGACAAGGATCCGAACTTTCTGGAGGACACAAACAATCAGGTCCTGCTGCTGGACACTCTGTTCATGTATTTATATTCTTGTGGAAGCTCTCAGTATGGAGTGTGCTACTTCCACCAACTCAACTCAAATGGAGAAGCCCCTTCCCTTTCTAAGTGTCTCTATGGCAAAGAGTCCAACTCTGCAGCCTACTGCCCTGACTGCGTGGCCAGTCCCTTGGGCACTAAAGTGACCATGGTGGAGGAGGGTCAGACTGTCTATTTCTTTGTTGCTGCCTCAGTCAATGACAGTGTCACCCAGCGTTATGGGAGGAAGTCCATTTCGGTGCGGCGCCCTCTAGCCACAGAAGATGGCTTCTACAGTGATGTGCGAGGCCTGACCGTGCTGCCAGGCCTGCGCAGGACTTACCATATCCAGTATGTCTACAGCTTCTTCACTCAGGAGTTTGTCTATTTCTTGTCAGTACAAAGAGAAAGCCCCAATCAGGACTCCTCTCCTTTCCAAACCCGCTTGGGCCGACTGCCACGAAATGAGTGGGAGATGAAGAGGTACAGAGAGATCATTTTGGAGTGTCGCTTTGAGCCCAAGCGCCGGCGCAGAAACGTGGCCAGTGAGCCGTACAAAGATGTTGTGTACAACGTGGTGCAAGCAGCACATTTTGGTCGGGCTGGCAGGGAGCTGGCTGAGGAGCTGGGAGCAGAGGAGGAGGATGACATACTGTATGGAGTGTTTGCTGTTACTGATGACAACGGGGTCACAGAGCATGACTCTGCTCTGTGCGCCTTTCCCATGGACAATGTCAACAAGGCTATCAGTGATGGAGTGGACGACTGCTGTGAGTCAGGCCCAGAGCAGCTGTCCAGGGGCCTCTGCCATTTCCAGCCCTGTGAGAGCTGTCCACATGAGGTGAGCCTGCCCCTGTACTCAGCACCCTCTAGTAACTCTTACTGAGGGAAATGGGTTGTCATGTGCCCGATTAAGTCCATTAGATATTCATGTTTAAATAATTTAGAAATTGTTATAGCCATACCTGTTTTGGCTGCACTCTGCTGCCTTTTTCATAGGAGAACAGTGACACTTCTGAGGAACTTATTACACAAGAGATCCAATTGTGTTATGCAGCTGTTATTCTTCAAATCCCTGAACAGTTTTGTATGAACAAAACTTCAAACAAATGAATGTTTAATTAACAGGGGTGTAAAAGGTAAATTAACAAAAGACTAAAATATACACAAAATAACCTAAACTAAGAAACAAAACAACAGAATAAACTGAGTTTTGTGCCACAAAAGGGGTCACGCAGACTTACAAAAAACGAGTGGTTAACAAAGGGACACACACTAAACCAAAACACAAGTTCCCCAAATTAAACCACATAAACCCACAAACAGAATCGAGTGACCAAATAAAAAAAGGCACAAAACAGAACTATACACATGAACACAAAATGGCAGACTGGCCACCAAGGCCAGCAGCCCCGATCAGGTGCAGGCAATCTTCTTAAATAGGGGGCGGAGGCTGCAGGTGAGGTGGGCGTAGACTTGCCCCACCAATCACAAACCAGGGCTCCCACAGCAGAAATCAAGATGTGTCAGTAGAATAATTTAGAACACACAAAACAAATTACAATCTAAGGCCTGGGGCCATAACACCCTCCCCCTTAAGTTACAAAAAAAAGTTTTTTGTAAACAATTGAATTTTAGATTTATACTTACAGATTGGGAGATGGAAGGCAAATCAAACCAGTGCCGGAGCTGGTTCTAGGTAGGTCAGATACTAGTGCCACCTCTCCCTTACCCTCAGCCTCCATTGAGACCGGCTAGGTACGCCGAGCACCGATTCCCATCTCTGGAGCTGGGGAATCTGGGAGGCAAGAGGAACATAGGACGAGGAAGTATGTCCGGTTGATCAGGTCGTCCACCAACCTCATCTGCTGCAACGCAGCACAAGGCACAATTTCGCACATACAAGAGCCTTCAAAACAACAGCTACAGGCAACACTGGCAATCTTCCAACACCCAATCACCAACACCGATACAACATTTCACAAAACAAACCAATTGGAAAACTTACCTAATACAAACCTATTAATCGATCAATACCAATTTATTGAGGTGGTATAGGGTATTACGATCCCGGACGAGCCCCCATTTGTTACGTCCCCTTTGCTAGGGGAGAAAGGGAAGTAACAATAAAACCAGGATGTTTAAGGTTTAACTAAAAATTGTGCATTTATTATTTACAGTGTAGGTAAAGGGAAAGAAAAACACAGAAATTTGGGGAGAAAATAAAAAGGATTTAAACAAAATTATCTACTAAACTAAGGAGCCCTAACTAAGTACAACGTAACAAAATCTAACTAAAGTTGTACTGCGAACCAAAGGTGTCTCAACGAACTAACAGAGACAACAGCCGGCAATATACATTTATATATATTTATTTTTCTTTTTGTCAAAACTTGTCCTGTATAGAAAATACTATAATGTAGTGTTTTGCAACATTTTTTTTTTCAGAGCTCCTGTAGACCAGATGAATTTTATGTTGTCATTTGGCCTATTATGTGCATAGGAAAGTCATAGTAAATAAATGGAAGCAAAACATGACACCACACCACAGCAGGAAAAGTGGAAATGTCAAAGTGATCATAGCGGTAAAAATAAATGTACTATTTTTAATGCTTTAAAAGCTTTTTAAGTATAAAAATTATAAACATTAACATAAACATTTGGCTGCATTGTATGGTATATAATAGACACCACAAATAAAACAATATCTCAGATGAGCCTCGCTCCCCTTCGTGGCACCTGACAGAGCTGAGGCCAATGTGCACCTGGCATGCATTGACAGGGCTCTCATTCATAATAGTGCCCCAAGCAATGACTTCAATGGAAAAAGAAAATAATGAATTTCTATGTGATAAGCAACTAAATTATGATACGATTTTTCCAGTTAACACAAAGACTAATAAACTGATGAAGATAAAAATATGCATCAAATAAAATACTGTGTACATTAATATTCACATAGATTAGCTGATACATTGGTGTGAGTGAAGGCATGCACCTGATTAGTGAGGTTTGCAGCTACACAACATGATGAAAATATACTGCATAACAATAGCAGGGCTCATTTTGTCAAATTTTTTAAATATTTAAATTCCAGTGTAGAACAAAATATACATAGCAAATAAATATTATTACTTATTGAAAAACATAGGCACATAAACACACTGCTCAAGAAATGTGAGATTATTTTCATGAAAATTATTCATGAAATTATTCACGTCTTCATGACATCACTATGCTGAAGCTTTACTGCCAAGAATTTGGAAAATTACCACAAATGAGGCTGTATACTATTTTAACTTGCCTTTTCCAAGCATAATGTTTTACAATTTTTGCTGCTCTGTATACCTTTCAAGGAATTATTAAATATACACTGTAGGTCTATTTACACCACTTTACTACATTACAAAATTCCACTTTCATCTTCTGTATAGTGATGTTACATGAGTGGGAAGATTGTCGTATTACATCTGGTCCCAAGTTTACCATCAGACTGGTTAATACTAGTCTTCATAAAATGGAGTTCAGTATATAGCCACAAAAGGTCGACAGTTTATTCAAAAACAGCTTGTTTGTTATACCTAACCCACACAATTGTGTAGAACTGATTAGCAGAAGAGGTTTAAATATGAAGAATACTTTTCTGATCTGTTTTGACTTTTCCAGACATTTTCCTTGGGCTCACAGACTTACATTCCTCCCAGGGTTTTTGTGTTAGTTGCTGTTGTAAATATTGAGTAAGCTGCCAGTGGGGTTATCCAAGTCTGTTGGAGTAAAGGCCTGTCTCGTAAGTTATTCAGTAAATTCAAGCTTGTGTGTGAATAGGTTTGCCTGGCATTATAATAATGTAATTTTTAAAAATAATTTTTCCCCCAAATCATAACAGAAGTCTGAAATGTGAGACTTAAGGTTATTTAAAAGGTATATTAGCTAAAGGATATTTATAAACATGCATTGCACATGTACTTATAAGTGAGAAGTTGTAATTCATAATTCATTAAAATAATCATAAAAACTTTTCACCTGCACAAAAACAGTACATCTCAAATGCCGCTCTGTGTATTGTTGAGACACTGTCACTTTAATAAGGTTATGATCACATTAAATCTCACTTATCTTATTTGTCATGTCTGCTGGTCCTTAGTTACTGTAGCAACCGGCTCTGCTGCCAACAGCCAGTCTGTCTTTATCTGAAAGCAAGGTCTGTATTGACCATAGTGTTAAATCAAAATAACAATATTGTGAACTGGATATAAATGAATATCTGTATGTCAAACTCTGTTTTGTGAAGTTTTTGAAGGTGAAGTTGCTACTTAGATTTCTACAGTTTAAATGGTGATCCTTTCCCTTTGTCTGATTCCAGAGCATGGAGAACAATGCCACATGCAGAGACTACCCCACCATGGTGTCCAAGCCTTACTACAGAGTGGACCTCTTCAACAGGCAGATGACAGATGTCCTGCTCACGTCTCTACTGGTCACAACCATTGAGAACAAGACAGTGGCCCACATTGGCACATCCACTGGTCGTCTGCTCCAGGTACAGCATGGAGAGCACCAAGGACCAAAGTTTGGCGTGGCGAGATGATTTCAAAATATTAATATCAAGATATTATATAATATATTAGATTAGCAAATTATGACTCTCTGTCTCTCACATTACGGTTATTAATGTTATCTTTTTTGTCGAAAGCTTGTACTGACCAGATCCAGCCCGATTATTTTTGCAAACTACTCTTTGGTGGAGAACCAAAGAGTGTCGTCCATTGCTGCTGTGTACTCTTCAGAGTATCTGCTGTTCGTGGCTGGAGACAAGGTACAAGTCACTGCCACAAAGTCAACTGTAGAAAGTACAGAGTTGTTTTTTGCCTTAGAGAAGAGAGGCTTGTAAAAGCAGCATGGGTAGACAAAGTTTACCTTTGCATACTGTATTGTGTTAAAGCTTTTCCAGTAAAATGTAAAGTAAAATTACTAATTCTGTTGTTGCCAATTATTCTATTATTATTAATGGTGTTGTGTTCTGCTGAAGTTTATATATATATATATATATATATATATATATATATATATATATATATATATATATATATATATATATATATATAATATATATTTTTTGTACATCTTGATATGAGCATGCGTGAGCATTTGTTTGTGTCCCAGATGTTCCAAGTACCTCAGAGAGGTCCAGGCTGTCAGCACTTCCTGACCTGTGCCATGTGTCTGACCTCTCCGAAGTTCATGGGCTGTGGCTGGTGCTCTGGAATTTGCTCATGGGAAAGTGAGTGCCACAGCCGCTGGAGGAATGAGTCTTGTCCTCCTGGGATTTCTGGGGTAAGAATATTTTTAGTTTACATTTCAAATTCTATTGTCGCTGTATCTGTATTCTTACACACTATGTGTTCTTTACACACTCATGCAGTTCTTTCCACGGACTGCGCCCCCTGATGGACAGACTGAGGTAACAGTTTGTGGCTGGGAGTTCCAGTCACCTTTGAGACCTGCAATAAGCTCAAGAACACACCATGTTCGTTTGGGACAGAATGCCTGTTCTGTGCTTCCAGTCAAAAGCAACAACACACAGTGAGTCTGTTATGTTCAATAAGTCCTCTGAGCGTGTGCAAGTCTCTCTGTGTTTATATGAATCTTAAAAGAAAAGGTTAGTGTATGTCGCAATAATAATGATTTACCTTCCCTATAGTTTGGTATGCAAGATCCGCTCTGGAGCCACAGAGCTGTCCAAGCCTGTCAGTGTTACCATTGAGGTACATGAAGGCAAGGTGGAGGGTCGCTATTCAATAGACGGGAGAGCGGAAATGCCAGGATTCACCTTTGTGGTACTATTTCCTTTCACTAGTACAGTGTATATAAATGTATGCTAAAACTGTGCTTGCTGGGCCTGCAGATACCGAATATCACAGAAATTCAACCTAACTATGGACCTCTGGTGGGAGGCACACTGGTCACCATTACTGGACCTCATTTAGATGCTGGAAGGACAAGAAAAGTCACTCTCAATGATGTTCCCTGCCCCATAAAAAAGTATGAATTTAGTAATATTATCATTTGACTTTCTGATTCAGGCATTGTCAGGGATGGCATGATTTATATGTTGTGTGTGTACAGAATAACAGAACCAAGAGGCAACCTGTCCTCCATCATCTGCCTTTCTCAGCCGATGTTAGAAGTCAGAGATGTCCCACTAAGTGTTTTTATTGATAAGTCTCCTGTTCTCACCAACAAAGTGTTCTACTACAAAGAAAACCCCATGATTACATCAGTGCTACCTGACTGCAGCTTTGACAGGTTGGCTGGTGTCAGGAATATTGTTAATTATTGTCATTTTGGTTCTGTGTTTCATGGCAATGCTATATTTCTCCGTAGGGGTTCAAAAATTATTATTGAAGGAGCAAACCTTGATTCCGTATATCGTACTATTGTGCGCTTCAAACCCAATGAGAGCCACCTGAAGCCTGTCACCAGAGTAAATATATAAATACATACATAAGATTATGTTCATGATCCCATTTGAATTACTTGTTTTTTAACATGTTCCAGGAGTGCATTGGTAAATCCTCTCCAAACAGGTTGGAGTGCATCACTCCTGTTTTCCCCCGAGATGAGACTGAGGAGGGAGAGCTGTCATTTGACATGGATGGGGCCCTGGGGCTGTGGAACAGGGAGTTCTCTTACCACCCATACGGAGAGCCCATACCCTTTGAAACAGATGGAAATGTACTTAGTCTGTACCCTGGGTTCGATGAGGTCTCACTACATGTAAGGGAATGCTTTGAGGGTATTTGTGTTAACATTTCATATAACACATTATATATTTATACTTTCTATTATAGTAGATGTAACACTCAAATTTTGCATCTCTTCAGCATCAGAAGCTGAACCTGGTAAGCTCTTGCATGACCATTGTTATGACAGTAGCAGGAGTCGACTGTGATGCTAAAGTCTTAGATAATGAGATCACCTGCAGAATCCCTAAAAACATGACCATTCCCAGTGAAGGCCTGCCTGTTAAGGTGAGTCAGTAATTTACAAAGAAACCGCTCTATGTTTAAGTAAAAGCCATAGACAAAAGTCATTAACAACTCCTGTGTACAATGACAGACACATATTTTTATGTTTTAAGTTTTTCCATTTTAAATATGTATTGCCACATCCTGCAGATATCCATTAATGGGCAAGTTCATAATGTTGGTACTGTGGTTAGGGTCAGTAACCACTATATGGTTGGCATTGTACTGGGGATCCTGGCTGCCCTAGTTGCTGGGGCGGTACTTGCCTTTGCTGTAATGAAACATCTGAGGAAGAAGAAAAAAGGTAGTGGACCTTGTTCTAACATAATTTTCTAACGTATAACCAGCTGTGTCTGAAATTGTGATGAAACCATTCAACTAGAACACTCCTGGTGTTACATAGGATGTACCTCTCCAGCAGTGGTAATGATTAAATGATATTGTGAAACATTTCAGCTCAGATGGTGGAGAGCCGCTTGTCACACAGTGCAAACCGCTCTGGCTCAAACACTGTAGAGCTCACTCCTGTTGGAGACTACAGAAGAGGTGATGTACAGGCCAAGCACTTTTCATAATCAGAAATACAGCTAGCATACATACCTTTTAAACCAACTGCTCTTTGTCTGGTTTGCCAGTGGTATCCAGGAGTCCTCCCACACCTTTGGTTGGGCCTGTTGGGCCAGTGTTGTTCCCAGGCCTGGCCTATGGAGCTGGCAGCATAGACCCCACTCTCACCCCACTCATGCCTGCAGAAAAAATATCCATCACCAGTTTCCGCCCAGAATTATTGGAGGAGGTGAAGGATGTGCTCATACCTGCTGAGTTACTGATTGTGCATTACCACAGGATCATTGGCAAAGGTGTGGTCAGAAAACATGTCTGACATTGTAACATAATTCTTACACTGGTCACATGGAATAACTACATTTGATCTTTTTTCTCCAGGACATTTTGGGACTGTATATCATGGGTACTTTACAGACCACAACAACAGAGAAAGCCACTGTGCTGTAAAGTCTTTAAACAGTAAGTCACACTTACCTCTCTACCTTCACCAAAGGGATGCAGTTTGTTACTGTGTAAAATGTAATGTTTATAGCATTAACAAAGTCTGCCACATTGGAGATATTCTGAGCCAAATTACAGTTACAGGTTTATTTTCCAAATCCTAAAATTGACTGTACACCCTCCTTCATTTCTGAATAATATTGTATGGTTCATTAACAGGAATAACAGATGTAGAGGAAGTGGAACAGTTTTTGAAAGAGGGCATTATAATGAAAGCTCTCCATCACACAAATGTGCTCTCTCTGCTGGGCATCCTCTTGCCACAAGAAGGACTCCCTCTAGTGGTACTTCCATACATGAAACATGGAGACCTGCGCCACTTCATTCGCTGTGAGAAGAGGGTATGGCTATTACATGATAACATCTGCTATCCCTCGCAACCTGTAACACTTTATAAATTTAGTGTGTGGTTTTATGTTTATTGGATTTCTAGAATCCGACTGTGAAGGATCTGATTGGCTTTGGTCTCCAAGTTGCCAAAGGAATGGAATATTTAGCTCAGAAAAAGTTTGTGCACAGAGATCTCGCTGCTCGTAACTGCATGTGAGTCACAGATATTTGCAGTGTAATTCATGTCTCTTGTGAGATATGAGCTATAGTGAAATATTCTTCCGAATGGCACTTATTGCTATTTTCCTCAGGTTAGATGAGTCATACACTGTGAAGGTGGCCGACTTCGGCATGGCTAGAGACGTGTTTGACAAAGAGTACTACAGTGTTCAGGACCACAGGAAGGCAAAGTTGCCAGTTAAGTGGATGGCTATTGAGAGTCTACAAACGCAGAAATTCACTTCTAAATCAGATGTGGTAAGGAAAACATGATTTTAAAAAATAATAACTGTTGAGTATTACTGCTTTGTTAGCTGTTGCTTGTTACTGCAGTGGTCTTTTGGTGTTCTGATGTGGGAGATGCTGACTAGAGGTGCAAGCCCATATCCAGAAGTTGACCCTTATGATGTCACACATTACTTGATGAAAGGCAGGAGGCTTCCCCAGCCACAGTATTGTCCTGACCCTTTGTGAGTACTTTGCTTTTGCAGTTTGTATGTTTGCATCCAATAGTGCAATATCCTACAGTATATGCAATAAAGAAAAAGTTCTCTTTGTTTTAAAGTTTGGAAAAGTTTGAAATAAGTCAATCGTCTACCTGTTATTCCACCATGGTTAAGCTGTGCATCTTGGGAGTTAATGTGTACATCTAGTAATAGTATATTAGTGTGTTTTTGTATGTATATGATGAATCAGCTATTGACTGGCTTTCAGGTTTAGCTGTGTTCTCACTCTGTTAAGGGTTAATGAAAAAGAGCCTTTTGAACATATAAGAGAACACAGACGTGACTCATAAACGGCATCATAGTTCAGAGGGAATTATAAAGGGTATCAATGTTTTGAAAATGTATGATTTAATACCAGTTTGATGAAACATTTTTTTATTTTTTTTTTTTAAATGAATACATTCATTGTCCTTTGTTCTTTACTAAACAACATTTCAGTTAGTTATTTATACTGTATAGTCTTGTGTGTCTACATGTATAATACTTTCTTTTTGTGATTTTCATAAATCTACAGATATAACATAATGTTGCAATGCTGGGATCCAGAGCCGGACTGCAGGCCCAGTTTTGCGACTCTGGTGTCAGCTGTGTCCACTATCCTTTCCAGCCTGGAGGGGGAGCACTACATCAGTCTGAACATTACATACGTGAACTTGGACCAGCCTCGGCCCTATCCTGCACTCACAGAGTCGGCTGATGAGTACGACTCCACAGACATGGACGACTCTGGCTCCTCCTCTTGATCCTCCTCCTGATCTGGGTGCAGCACATAGACTCTACACAAAAAGCGTGTGTGAAATGCAAGATTATTGACATACACTTCCTGGAAATGTGTCACTTTGAAGTTCTTTTCAAGTTGCTGATTTTTTGTCTATTTTTTTATACAGGCTGTCTACATTAGATTGCACACTCAAAAATATGTGCTTTTAAATTTTGAGGATGTGGAGATAAAGAAAATTAATAATAGGACCCAAAAGGAACACTGAAGACACATTTTACTCAGCCACGGTCCTGTTACCGAAGTGGTCATGGCAGAAAGGTTGCGGCTCGAACGTGGAAAACTGCCAAAAGTACCGCCATGAGGAGTCAGAGTGAAGACTTGGAGACTTTCTAGTTAAATCTATGTTCTTCCTTTTCTGCAGTTGCTGTATTCATTTACTACATATGTATGAATACGCATATAGAGTTGCACTGAGCAATTAGACAAAAGGAGCCAGTTGATGGAAAAGTAAAACTTTACTGCTTTACAACTTTACTTTATAAAATATTTGTTAGTAATACTATGCACAGTACAAAAAGCTGTTACAGTAGCAAAGCCATGCACTTTCATACAGAATTTACTGGTGTAACATTTCCACATATTTCCATGTGACATACTGTCATGTTTATGACACCTTCATGTTGCTTGTTCGTTTGACGCATTTTGAATAAACAAATGTATTTATTTGTTTACATAATTGTTGCCACTGTTTTCAAGCAGTTGCATACTGTTTTTTTCTTTCTTCTTTTTTACCACAGTTTATTTTTTTCACTCTCCTGTTATGAAAACATAGGTGATGATATAAGGCACTAATAGAAGATGATAGCAGCCATTTATGCACCTTTTATGAGCCAAGGCGTAAGTCCAGCAAGTTACCACTAGAGGGCAATGTTTGACAAGGATTTCATTCAATGTCACTGGTCCAATTGTTCATTCAGTTTTTTTTATATCTTTATATTAACAAAATCTTTTATATGTCAGAAAAGATTAAAACAAAACAAAAGAACAGTTCAACAAACGAAGCCCAGTTCCTGCATACATTTTAACTTTATTTCTACAGCACTGCACATAAAATTACGTAGTTGTAAACTTCAATTAAAATGACTGAAAACTGAAGCAATGAGGAAAAAAATATAGGCCCATGGAGATTCAAACTATGCCCTCTTCCTCCTCACCAAAACCAAAGTCAGATAGAATCACAGGGAAACAAACATCATAAAGTTTTCTCTTTTTTCAGGCTGCCAACAACAAAAGTGGGTCCCTGTGCACTGGCTTCTTTGATATAGACTGAGCTGGGTCCTGGAGTACATGTCAAAATATGTGTGTTTGTAGAGTGTGGGCCAGAGCAAAAAGAGTCAAGAGTTTTCTATCCTTGTAAAGCTGCCTATGTTTTACTTTTTTCTGTAGTAGTGGTACTAGAAATCTATATGTGGCACTTTAGCAAGTACTATTACTACATACTGTATGTAATGGATCTGAGTGCTGGCAGCACATACCTCTGCTTTTACCACATACTACATCACCACTTACTACTAAGTTTCTAGTCACTTGCATCTTAAAGGTGCACCGCGTAACTTTTCTGGTGGGGGGTTTGTAATATGCTTTTCTCCATAAAGATGTTATTGCGTTGGTTGGAGTGTTCCACAGTATGGCATTGCACATATTTATCTCAAGTAAGCACAAGCAAGTGACGCCACAGGGCCAACTTACAAGATCAAATCTGTGGCGATTTAAGGACACTCACAATAGAATGCATGTTTTTAAGACAATAAAACCTATGGGATTGAATAAAGGCAAGATGGATAGTTAAAAACCATACTGTGGAACATTCAAGACAAAGCAATAACATCTTCATGGAGACAAGCATGTGATGGACTTTCCATCTTAAACATGACAAAGAGTGAGTGGCTATTTTTAATCAAAGGAAAACCCCATAACCAAAATAGCACTTATTATGCTCTGTTTGTGATCTGAAAAAAAAAAATATATAATAAATAAATAAAACAAACAAACAAATAAAAAATACAAATGTAATCAAAACTCCATAGAGTTCAGATTAGATATGACTGCACAGGCATGCTGAGGACAGACTCAAAAACAAGCCAAAACAACAATTAATTTCAAGAGCATAGCAGATGGCCACTTCTGTCTAAATATATTATCAACATCTATTTTTGACTATTTGTTATTGCCAAATATCTCATGGGTTGTAACAACAAATGTTAGACAGTCTGCTTCATGTTGTCCCCTATTTGCCTTACATAACATTGCACAGAAATGTACAGTTTTAGGTATATGAAAAATTTAGATTGGTTCTAAAGGAAAGATATTTAATTACTGAATCGTCTTCTGAATTTACTCACTTTCAAAAGCATCAGAGCATCTCTAGTTTCACTCTCAATGCGCACAAAGATAACAGAATTATGTCAATTTAGATTTTTGTAACATTTCCTTCCAGCACTGAATAAGGTGAAGCTTTTTTTTTTATTGCGGCATCATCATGGAACATCATCAGCACTAATCTCTCTTTACCTAAGACTGGGATAATGTAAATACCGTAAATAACAAGCCAACTATACTAAAAATGGGCAACTGCTGTAGAAATCAAGCATTAATAAATCATAAACTCGTATCTGTTGGTAATCTCGACCCTTTCAGTTTACTCACACACATACAGAAAACATTGCATGCAGTTTATTTTTATCACGTCCTGTTTAAAACAACCTTTCCCTAACAATTTTCTATGTATATCTTGCTTCTTGCTGGCTCCCGCATCATCAGTGGTGCATTGTGTAAATAGAGATGTTATTGTTAGAGATGTTATTGCTTTGTCTTAAATTTTTCACAGTATGGCATTAAACCTTTCTACCTTCATAGAGACCAAACCAGGCCAAGTTACAGGTCAGATCTATGGAGAGGTAAACACAGTCAGTCCGGTTTTTCTAGGTATTTTTGAGTTATAAAACCACCTGTAATTGAATAAATGTGAGGTAGAGCTGTTTAATGTCATACTGTCTAACATTCCAAACAGAACAACGGCATTTACATAACAACAAGCAGGCGACGGAACCCTAAGCAAAAAGTTACATAGTGCACCTTTAAATGTTCTCACTGGAACCATATGACCATCGGCGAGCCATGACACAGTCCGTAGTCGAGTGATTAAAACCCAGTGTGCAGTAACACTGAGGTGAGAATGGATCTGCTGTTTACCACCAGGGGACCGCGAGAGGCCTGCCACAGCTAGATAAAGAATAATGGTGACAGAAAATCATTAATCTTGCACTCCATTTTGGATCTGTGGAGTCTTATGTCTTTGGATGAGCCACATTATATAGCATTATTGTGATTAATGAATGAGAAGGAGTGAGTTGAAAAGTGCTGAAGGGCTGGCATGCTTAGCCAATTAAAATGTATAGAATGAATGGATGGCCAATCGGAGGAGACATCTGAAGATACTTTTTCTTGTGAGGGTATGGTATGATGTAGGTTCAGAAAATGTATCATAATAATCATACCAGAACCACTAATAGACATCTTTGTATAGCACTTGTCAATATTGGGACAGTTAACAGTGTGATTATTTTAACATCTGTGCTTGTTTCTGTGTAGACCCTGTACACCTGACTGAGCACTTAGCTGAAAATACTGTCAAGAAAACCCCCGCACTCAGTTTTATTTATACAACATTTCAGTCCCTCTGACCTTCCTCCAGTATAATGATAGCCTCTTCCGCTCCTTACAAGTTCAGGGACAGCCCACTTGAGAGTAATCAACCATCAAAACAGTGAAAAAATAGTGAAACGATATATTCATAATTAGACCCCAGATATTGCACATAATTCATTTTCCATCACTGCTCTCTCATGACCTGAACGCAGAGATAATAATTAGAAAAATATAAATTACTGAATTAATTAATCATTGCATTTAGATAGCGCCTTTCAAGACACCCAAAATAAAGATTATGATCACCATTAAAAAAGGTAACAACTGCATTTCATTATTATACCATTAAAATCTGTTACTTTCAAAAGCATCTAGTCATATTTAGAAAGACTCATAGCAGACATTTACTGCAGAACACTAAACATTATATTGATTGTATATTCGCTTCATTCCATACTTTCCATGGATATTGGGTAAAAAGTGGAAGAATACAAATGAGGTGTAGACATAAACATAGGGTCAAACTAAAGGAGCAGTCCAGGGAATAAAGGTGGGGCACGGCATGGTCTGACGCAGAAGCAAAGCAGCAGGCGTGAGATTTGGTTGGGCTGACATCTCTGTGGTCAGCTCCCAGCTCCACATGAGTCCAGCTTTTGAATAATTGAGGCTCTTCTGGAAGCTGGAGATATTTCAAGAATAAATACATACCACTGCTGTATGTCAGAAGGTACCATGTTGATGCTATTGGCTTCCCAGCGCCCCATGTCTGACCTAATCTCATTCATATTAGTGTGATGGTCTCACAGCACACAGAATATACAAGGCTGTTTATTTTTGTGGGCCATGCTGGAAAAGAGGTTTATCATTATTTTGACTGCCTCTGCACACTCATATATTGTCTTCCATGAGTTTAGGTTATTATTATTACAATTATGCAGATGACACTCAGATCTACGTCTCTCTGGCAGCAGGAGACTATGGACCAGTGGACTCACTTTGTCACTGCATCCAACAGATCAGTGTGTGGATGCAAAACAACTTTCTCCAGCTAAACTCTGACAAGACTGAAGTCATAGTGTTTGATCCACAGAAACAAAGGGACAGTGTCAGCATCACCTCCAGTCTCTGTCTCTAAAACCTTCAAATCAGGCAAGAAATCTCGGGGTAATAATGGACTCAGACTTGAACTTTAACAGCCACATCAAATCAATAACATCTGCAGCCTTTTACCATCTAAAAAACATAGCAAAAATCAAAGGTTTACTGTCTAAAGCAGACTTGGAGAAACTTATCCATGTGTTTGTCTCCAGTAGGTTAGATACTGTAATGTTCTGCTCACTGGTCTCTCCAAACGAGCTGTGAGACGCTGCAGAACATCCAGAACGCTGCAGCTCGGGTCCTGACTCGAACTAGGAAGTAAGAGCACATAAGTCCTGTGCTCAGGTCTCTGCACTGGCTTCAGAGAATAGACTTTAAAGCAGTTCTGCTTGTGTACATCTGTGACATGTTAGTGTCATATGAACCATCTCACACTCTGAGGAGCTCAGGGACCGTTCTCTTGCTGGTGCCCAGAGTCAGGACTAAACAAGGGGAGTCAGAGTTTCAGGTTCATGCAGCTAAAACCTGGAACAGTCTGAACATGCGAGACAGACTCTTCTGTGACGCTGTTTAAATCCAGGCTCAAAACGGTTCTGTTTGACTGTGCATATAACTGAAAGGTTTTCATTCCGCACTCTTCTAATTTATATCTCTCTTTTAAAATTTTAATCTTTATGATTATTTGTGTTTTGATTTGTTTTTATTATGATTTTAATGTATTTCTTATTCTGTAAAGCACTTTGAATTACTTTGTGTACAAATTGTGCTATACAAATAAACTTGCCTTGCCTTGCCTAGGTGTTATCACACTGACATTCATTTTCTGGAGACTGATCTGAACCATAACCATAGTAAATAAATGGTAAATGGTCATATTTATGT